CGCCAAGGGAGACAAGTCAGGCAAGTCAGGTTGTCAACAGCGTCGACGGGGACAGGGCTGTGCAGGATTTATTCCCCTGATCGACACAGACAATCTACGAAATTCCAATTCGTCTGATAGCAGACTCGTACACCGTATGGGAATTCCACTCACATCTCACAATACGAACCACGGAGAACGAGCCAAGCTCTCGAGCCCAGCCAAGTTCCCGACGAGGTGGCCATCAGCATAATTCTGAGCAGCTAAAACTCCCCAACTCCGGAGCCTACATATCTGTGTACACAGTACTTTGGAATTAACGTCTCAGAATTTCGCTGACAGGAAAGCCCACACCATTTGAGGCCACCACTCCGAGTTTGTGACAGCACACTTCATCGCCCTGAGCTGTTGCGACATGATCTGCCTCCGTGGCATCCAGTCGAATGTAGCACGGAGTGCTGACTCGACAGGTCTGGTCCACCAACAATGGCTCGAAGGAATGTTCGACCTGCCTGAGTTGGATAGCGGGGCTTCGCAAGGACTCGCCAGTCCAGGCCGATCTTGATCTTTCGAGCGACGAGCGCATGTGCCTAGCCCGACAAGAGACCTCCCCGTAAGACGATCAATGCTGCCCGCATGGAGCTACCCCGTAGATCTATCGCCGTACCAAGTGTCGACGGTATACGAACACGCAACTGCCGGGTCTAGGTTGCCTATTGCATTCCGGACGCAAAAAGGCGGACTGGTTCTGGGCGCCCCAACTGACGCAGTGGACAGGTCGAGAAATTGTCCCGACACCGCATACACAGGACATATCTTACTACCTTCCAAAATGAGGTGATGTGCGCTCGGGACGAGACAGTCTCGATGGTTGATCTCGCGATCAATTGGCGATCAGCTGGCGATCCTGTCCCCTCTGTTACACACAGGCTTACTCCGTGTCTCTTTGGATACGCGACGTGGAGCCTCAGATATAAGGCTGAGTCACGTGCCAAACCCAAGTATCTCAGATGCTGTGAAGGAAGTATGACGAGCTTGTATGGAGGAAGATCAGGTGGCTGAAGGGACGAAGCTGTCATACAATCAGCAGGAAGTACTAGCCAGTTCGCCTCCCAATGGAGCAATATCCTATTGTCTTTACATGATGTTCCAATGCTATCGACGGATTAAGGAACGCGCATTGGTTGTCCATAATTTGTCTGTGACGACCACGCAAAGTCTGGACTTGTCCGAGGCGAACGAGACCGCGTAGAGCTGGTGCAACCCATACCCGATGTTGGGATCACTGTTCCCCGATGTATAGCCTGATCGGGGCATGTCCTTTCGCTGGAGTGGAATAGCCAAATGTCACCTTTCGGTGAGCCCTCACCGTGGATTCTTGGGGATCCCGACCAAACCCAACCGACATCTATGTGGGGGCAACGGTGTCGACGCACTGGTGGCGACTTGGTCGTGCAACCGGCGGAAGCCAGACACAAGTGAAGCTGATTCTCATGTTGTTGTGAATGCGAAGCACAACCAGCAACTATTATAATATGGACAACACGCTGCTTGGTGGGTATTTCACAATGCTGTTGCGTTGCCCCGCAACGGCTGGGTAAATAAAGATTCCGCTTGCTCTGCACCACCCGCCATTTGTGTACATCATCTCTAACGTTGGCTGCGCTATCTGCAAGCAAGTCCCCAGTCCCCAGTCTTTCTTACACTGTCGCTGTTAGTTGTTGTCCGGGCATGTTCCTTCCATAGCCATATCAGCAAGTTTCAGATTGCGCTTGCCTTCTTACTCACAACCCGTCGACGAGGCAAGCGCCATGGCCCTCGAACCTGCCGACAATGACAAGTACGAGGTCAAAGAAATCATTGGTAACTCTAAGACTCTCTGAGTTCTGCCGACCGTCACTCACATCGCATAGGTCGCGGCGCCTTTGGAATCATCCGCAAAGTACACCGGAAACAAGATGGACATGTACGCCACACCCATGCCGTGCACATGAACTCTACTGACTGGCCGCAGGTCTTGTGTCGCAAAGAGATCAATTATCTCAAGATGTCCCAGAAGGAGCGTGACCAGTTGCACGCCGAGTTCTCCATCCTTTCGTCGCTCAACCACCCGAACATTGTCGGCTACTTCCACCGCGAACACCTCAAACAGACGCAGGAGCTGTACCTGTACATGGAATACTGTGGCGGCGGCGACTTGGGCACGGTGATCAAAGACTTGAAGCGGAAGAAGGAGTTTGCAAAGGAAGAATTTGTGTGGAGGATATTCAGCCAGATCGTTACCGCTCTCTACCGATGCCACTATGGCGTCGACCCGCCTGAAGCGGGCAGCGACTTTTCCAGACAGGTCCTTCCCCCTTCCACTAAGGGCAAGATGATCCTCCATCGGGACCTGAAACCGGAGAATATCTTCCTGGGTGCGGACCAGTCTGTGAAGTTAGGTGACTTTGGGTTGTCGAAGATGATCCAGTCGCATGATTTTGCGTCAACCTATGTTGGGACACCCTTCTACATGTCGCCCGAGATCTGTGCTGGGGAGAAGTACACCCTTTACTCGGACATCTGGTCGTTAGGGTGCATCATGTACGAACTCTGCACCAAGGAACCCCCATTCAACGCCAACACCCACCTACAGCTTGTTCAGCGCATCCGCAAAGGAGACTTTCCGCCTATCCCAGACATATACTCCAAGGATCTGGCCAACGTCATCGCGCATTGCCTGAAGACAAATCAGAGACAACGTCCTGATACCAGCTCATTGTTAACAGTGCCCTACATCTGGCTCGCGCGAAGACAGCAAGAGATGGTCGCGCTTGGTCAAGGATTAAAGACGCGGGAGGAGGTCGCGGAGCACAAGATCAGACAAGCAGAAGAAAGACTCTCGGCCCTTGAGGCAGATCGGGCTGTCCTGAAACATGAGATTGACTCTCAGCTACGTCGCGAGTGGGAACTCAAGGCTCGACTCGAAATTGACAGACAAGTCCAAGTGGAGCTGGAGAGACTACGCAAGAAGTTCGACAAGGAGGTTGAAGAGCGCGCAGCACAGGTTTTGGCAAGACAAAACCCCTCAAATGAAGGGCCAGTACCAAGAGAGATTCGGAACCCTCCTGGACCAGTCTACGGCAGAGAAAACCTGAACCCGAGCTCTTCATTCAACACTGCCGGCGAGGAAGACTTCCCCTCAACAACCGATATCACCGACTTGTCAGACCTCTCGATCCAGTCCCCAATTACATCCTCGAAGCCGCCCGCCAAGAAGACGAAAACTCCATTTGCCCGGTCCAAGACGACATTTGACTCACCGGTTGATGTGCAAATGTCCGAACCATCACCAATGTCCATTTCGTCCCTTGCGCTATCACCTCGCCGAAACGCCACAGCTCAAGCGACCGCCAACACGACAGTCACTGCCGCAGGGGCAAAAAACATTTTCGCCGAAGCAGCACGTCAGAAGGCTCGGTGGGAACCTCGGTTGGCGTACTCATCGGATGAGGAAAATATCGACCCGGCTGACGACTCCGACGATGACGAGTTCCCTGACTTGCATAGTCCTACGAGACCGAAAGCAAAGGTAGCAGACACCGATCCGTTCAAGAATCCCTCGCCCTTGAGGAACCGGCCAGTTATCACCAGGCAGAATACGACGGCGACCATGCAGAAATTGATCACGAAGCCGACATTGTTCCCGTCAACTAACACGGCTGCCCAAGTGAGAGCTGGAATTGCTTCAGGAAAGATTGCCAATGCCATCAAAGGTATCCCGCGAAATGCCACAGACGGTGATCTCAAGGCTACCGCAATCAAGGCTACAAGCCCTAATCGACGCCTCAGCAAGATCCCGAGTCGGAACGACCTGAGGGAACATGCCATTGCGGAAGAGGGAAGCACGAGCCCTCTCAGACGAGCAGCAACCATCGGCGGCGGGCTCCGCAGCAAGCTTGCAGGGGGTAACGATCCGGCCGGTGGGCTGGGTGTCGCAGGCCGAACGCGCGTCGAACTGCATCAAGCGCGTGCTGGAGGCCTACCAGCGAAGGCGAGGGTTGCTGAGAAGGACCTTCCCCCTGTTCCCATCTGGGACCCCGAGATATGTGGAGATGAGATGCCGAGTCCGTTCCTGAAGAAGGACGTCAAGCAAATCCGGCTCATACGGTGACGCAGCGACTTCCTCTGGCAAATATCGGATACGGCGAATGATCTGACGACCTTCATGTGTCAATGAACGCAACACTCCGCTGGCCTACAGGTGGAGGTGGATGAGAGCCGCAACGGACCGCCGTCCTCGCCGCCATCTGGTTTCTGGTGAGGCGTCTCTGGCCGGCGGATGGAGAAAGAACTGTCGTCACGAGTGTGCAGGCCAGGCTGCTTCGATGAGGGCATACTTGGCTGGCCAGCGACGATGCCACCAGATCTTTACGAGTACAGACTCCTCGGAATACTCTCTTTTGTTTAGGAAAATCGGAGGCCTTGAGACTTGTTTGGGAATGCTTGTACACGACTTTCTTTGGTGCGAGCATGACGGTCTGGATAGCCTGGTGCAAGAAGCCAATGCGGACGCGAAGTACGACGTCGGCGAACGAGGCGTGATTGCTCACTAGTGCGGGAAAAGATGACCGTCACTGGGGGCTAGTGAAGCGGATAAAGATTGCAGGTTGCTTTGTATGGTCCTGCAATCGCTCAGAGGGTGCCTTGTCTTGCTTAGATCAGGAATGGCCACTACAAACCGGGGCGCATGTTTACCTTGGTTGATATCGACTCTGAGCTGAGCAAGGGATGGACACCATCACCGCCAGAGTAATGCCACACATCTCCAATGATTTCTTGTCTGTTGAATGTCTCTTGATGCCCACTAACGGCGAATTGAATTGAACCTCCCCCAAGTCCATATTTAAGTTATAGTCACCAACGAGATGAGATCGGGAAAGATTGTTCCGCCACGCATGGGTCTCAGACTCTGTAACGGTGGAGGAGTACGGGATGGGAGGGAGAGATGACGAACAAAGGGCCCTAGAAGGACGGTATCATTATGTGTCCTCATCGTCGACCTCCTCGATCTCGACATGCCGGCTGGGTTTCTGACCACTTCGCTCGACTGTCCCAGCGTCAAGTCGTGCATCGTCTTCAACCTCCTCGATGTCGACACGCCGCCTGGGTCTCTGATTACTTCGCTCGACTGTCCCGACCTCAAGTCGAGCATCGTCATCCACTTGGCCAGTCGTGTCCTGGTCTTGCATTTCCAGTTCTCGGAGAAATCGCGCTTCTTCCTCGGCCAGCTTTCTCGCATGCTCCTCGTCTTCCGGCGTCCCTGCCGACTCCTGCGTCTTGTGATCGTTCCGTCCTAGATATCCCTCCGCCTCTAATCTGTCCATCTCTTCAGGCTCGAGCAACCGACCGGCCGGTCCTCCTTTGGCGGCTTGTTGCTTTTTGCGGACAACATCTGGCACGAATCTGTTGACGGCCTCTTTACGCAAGTCGCGGATCTGAGGAGCACTTTCGTATGTCGTCTTCACCACGGGCACAGAGCCTGGTTTGGATGGCAACGCGGTATCTGGTTGTGAGGCGTTGGTCTCGTCCTCATATCGCGGGAAATAGCGTCTGGATTCCCTCGGAAGGGGCGGAGGAGTGTCTTCGGGCATAGGGATCCGTCGGACAGAGTCATCTGTGTCGCTTCCGGACGATTGTCGTCGCTGATGATGATGTTTGCGTTCGCCATCGTGCCGCCTCTTGCCCAAAACGTTGTTATTGCCGTCACCGTCTTTTCTTCGCTGACCCGCACCAAAGGTTGGCGCTTTCTCGCCCAGTGATTCTCGTGCTTTTCTGATAGCCTTTAGGTCTCGTTCGAGGTCTTGCAGGATCGCTCGTTCGCGAGGTTTGATGTCGCCGGCGGCCTCGAGAGCCTTGATGTCGTCAATCTGTCGCTGGATGCGCTCGGGGTTGCGACGCGCCAGTTTTTCATTGCGTCTCGCCTGCAGTTCCGCGCGACTCTTTTTCAGCTGCTTTGCCTTTTCTAGCTTTCGCTGCTGCTGCGCCGGGTTGAGCGCCCTTTCTTTGTCTTTGGCCATTGCGTCGGGAACTTAGTTGCAAGGCACGGGCTGGTGTGTATAAAGATATAGATTTATCGACCGTGCTGGCCGCGGGAGCTGCAACTCGACGTCAGATGCCAAAAACTCGGGGAATTAGTGTACGATCGGTAGCGGCCGTCTGCAGCAACTGTCGCACCCATGAAACGTTGGGTCTCACCGGTCAGGAGCAGACGAATCCCGGCAAGCGGGAGCCCTCTGCAGGCTGCAGGGTGACGATCAGGAGCGGTGCAGAGAGCTGGATAGGCTGCAGTAGTCTCGCAGTGGTGGACGCAGCTACTTCGTCAAGAGAACAGTGACTGCTCCTTGAGGAGCCAGACACACGAGCCTCTGCAGGCCGAATGGAAATCAAGCTCTCGCAGCTATCACAGTTCGTGCAACACGGCGTCTGAGTGACAGCCTGCATGAACTCAATGCGGCTCGTGGTGCAGTTGGTGATCATGTGGAGGACGTCGGTGCAGAAGGACTCGCGAGGACAGCAGCAGTGAGCAGCCCAGCCCAGCACAGCACCAGCATCGGCGACCTTTCTTGCAGAGGGAAGAGAGCGTGAAGTATCGTGAGTATCTCAGAGACGGCACAGCACAGCACAGCACGGCGCCCACGCTCCCACCACTCCGCTCGTGGTGATTTCGGAATTGGGTCAAATCAAGAGACAACAGCCACACCCTCGTCTCGGCCGTCAGTTGCTACTCGCTCTCGACCATGCTGCCCCACGAATTGACCCTCCGCTCCTACTCAGATGCATCGCGGCGCAGCCAATGGCGCCCTTGGTTCCCCCATCCTGCCACAACATAGTCATTGAATGCCAGTCACCTGCTGCTCGCTGCTCACAGTAGCCAGGCACTAGACTGCCCACTGAAGGTACTCGACACTAAAGAGCGAAGTTTCAACAATAGCCGCGCTCCTCTTTTCCTTTCCTCTTCCACACAGTTTCTGGGTCGGCTCAGCTCAGCTTCGACCTTCTCCTTTCTGGAGCGTGTGTGTGCATGGTATCCATTCCTTCTTCCTCTCCCGGTCATCGTTGCAGGCGATGAAACATCCTCCCTCCTCGACCGTCTCGACCGTTGCAATCCCCGCTCCCCGTTCCGCATCCGCGCCTAGTCTCTAACTTGTCACTTTGTTACCCGCCGTCTTCACCTGCTACCGCTCTGCCGACGACCGTCCTACCCCTCTTGGCCTGACCAGACCTCGCCCCCCCCGGCTCCCGCGCCGCTCACCTTTAAAAGACGAGAAAGACACAAGCGCAGCCGCCCAGAGTCCGAGGCCGAGCAGAATCGGCGGGCTCGTTTGAGACGGCGAAATTATAGTACGAGCGCTTCGCCAAACCTTGAGGCTCTGCGGTGGCCAGCGACGCGCTCGATTGATACGCCCAAGCTACAATGACCAGGCTCATGCCGACTGCCATATCTCGCAGCTCGTTCGCTGTCTGGTGTCTCTTGCACCACTCTTGACGGCATCCCGCAAACCTATCAGCTCTCAGAAGTGCTATGTGCCGTTTGACCATCACGGCTACCTGTCGAAGCTCATCTGCCACCACGCCTAGATTGGTCGCTTTCACGACTGTCCCTGTTGTCCGCTCGGGACGTCCATGTCCGCGCCTCAGTCGGTCGCCGGTTCTGCTCTGGGCGTGTTTACTCAAGCCGAGCTGTTGACCCTCCAACACCAACAGCAAATCATGGCTCAAAGAAGTCACCAGGGCGGCGTCCCGGCTGACCGTGGTCGTGGCACGAGCCGGCAGTCGCAGCCCAGTTCCCGTGCGGTCAGTGCCGCCAGCAGTCAGAGCATGCCCGGTCGCGTTATGCTGGATCCCCACAGTTTGCAAGCCCTCCATACGCATCTGGAGAATGTCATGAGGACCATTCAGCGGCGCATCGAAGAGGTATGAATACTACCCCCAGGAAATGGAGATCCCGTCTAACGTATGGCTGGCTAGCTCGAAGACGCAACGGAGCAGTCGGTCAGAAATTCCAGCGGTCGGGCGGCAAATTCCATCCAAAATGCAGACCATGAAATTGCCCGAATGCGACGAATCATGCAGGACATAGACACTCTCGAAGAAGAATTCCAGAAGATCAAGCGGATCCGGGACAAGATCAAGGCCATCAGAAACAACGTTGATCAGCTCAGCGAAAAACTCGACCGCAGTCGCCCAAGTGGACACGGCTCCGGAGGGGCAAGACGACGATAAATTCACCGCCCGCTGGCGCAGATGACACCGAATTTCTGGGATGCGTGCGATCAACAACCACACAGAACTAGCATCAGGGCCACGACGAATGCGCTCTTCCTGTTTCCGACCATTCTACGCTTCTTGAGGTTAGGGTTCCACTCGATACGGCCATCCTCGGATTTTCAATATTGTCTTATCACTTTCCTTTTCGACGGCGAACGCAGAGATGGAAGCCTCACGGCTGGTCATGGATTAACGAACTCATGTTTGATGAACTGTACGAGTATCGAGGGGTCATTTGTTGCCATATCACACCAAGTATTTGCTTTTCCCCGGCGCTGGAGGATGAGCCGATGGCGAATTTGTGCATTTGACTGGCCGACTTGAAACCGGTATTTGGAAGCTTTGGTGTGATTATAATATTATGCTACAGGTGTCAAGGCTCACGCCACAAAAGAGACACGTCCAGGCACGGTAATCTCTGGAAGCAAGAACGTCGGAACCAGACGATCGATATCGACTTTATGAATGGTGATGATCAACCATCCTTTGCACTTGGCTCCAATTTCGCTTCACCCCCCCGATCCCTCTTCGTGCCCACCGGAAACCGTTTGACGGTGTTGCATCGGTGGCACCTGATCTCAAGGACATCTGCCCACGCTTTCTTGCCATTCTTGCTTGGGTTGGCAATAGATTCAATGCTTGTCTTTCCTGGAATGAGGAGAGCGTCGCACCGCTTGCAGATGGAATGCTTCACGTCTGGTGAAAGGCGGATTTGTGATTTTCGAGACACTCCACGAACTTGCATGAGAAGTCGACTTGCATCATCCGAATGTGATGAAGTCGTATGCCCGCCCGTCGTAGAGGTGCCATCCACGACACTTGAATTAGGGCTTTCATTGGAGGCCCCGGTTCTCGCCGTAGCTAGATATGAGGCAGCCTGGTGAAGGAATGAGAGTCTCGAGTGTAGGTGTTTCTGGGGGACACCGGGGCCGCCACTTTTTGACGGCTTGTCTTTAGCCATTGAGGGGATTCTGTGGCTGGCTGAGGATTCACGTGGCCAATCTTCATAGTTGTCTTCCTCACTGCCCAGTGGTGTCTGCGGATGAAGCAGTCATGATTCACTCCCAAAAAGATCCAGGGCGCAAAAGTGGGCGAGCAGGGACAAGGCTGTGCCTGACTAAGCAGGGCTTGGCGAGTTTGCGCGGCTGCCTTTCTGGCTCGCTCCTTGCGCGCCGCTGAAAACAACCGAAAACATTCGCACTTCAGCATCATTTCTTTCTCACTTCTCACTTCTTTGTCTGAAATCCATCATCCTCCTCCTCACCTTCTCATCGAGTCTGTCGCATTGCGATTCTTAGAGACACTGCCTGGCTGTGTCATTGAAACTTTTATCGCTGTGCCTATTGCGATCTTTTAGACAACCCCTTGGGTCTCGCCTCACCCTCTCTTCCCTCCGCCCGCGAGGTCACCTTCAGCCTCACGGACCACTTCATCCACCATGTCTGCCGAAGAGGATCTCATCGACTACTCCGACGAGGAGCTCCAAGCACCCGAGGCGCCGGCCGCCGGTGCCACGAATGGTGCCGCGAAGAAGGGTGACCTAACAGTCAGCGGGGGCAAAACAACCGATAAGGGAAAAGGCAGCTACGTCGGCATCCACTCGACCGGCTTCAGAGACTTCCTGCTCAAGGGCGAGCTGCTCCGTGCCATCACCGACTGCGGTTTCGAACATCCATCGGAGGGTTAGTCATTCATCCATCCCTGCAAGCAAGACGTATATCCACCCTCCTGGTTGTTCCTGCTGCGAGCGCGTCCGTCCATCTCCAAAACAAGAAAAGAAGAGCAAAGCAAGATGAGCAAGATACTTGAGACTGCACCTCACCGCGGATGCGATAGCTTCCAGCCAGTGGTACCACGGTCGAAGCATGGCGGGCAATAGAATGCCACAGCCTGATCTCGTCTGCCGGCACCTTCGAAGAAAGTCGCAATTCCAGGACATTGTTGGCGACAGCAGAAAGCTTGCGGGTGCATTTCCGAGTTGGCATGCTGAGAATTGCTGCCAAACACAGTGCCGCGCAATAGCGAAACCTACGTTGTGGCTGCGCAGGACAAGAGCTGTCCTGGAGTTGCGTTGTCGCTGGCTCGTTAAAAGAGCCAATGAAGAGATGGAATTCATAAGACTGCGCTTGCTACATCTGGACTGCATATATTCGGGAGATGGACGGATCGACCTGCGATGCTCTTTTGTCGTCTTCACACATTCATTGTCGAACAAAGTCTAACATCATCGATCTCCTGCAGTCCAACAAAAGTGTATTCCACAGGCTCTTCTCAGTGTCGACATTCTCTGTCAAGCCAAGTCAGGTCTTGGTAAGACGGCAGTTTTCGTCCTGACAACTCTGCACCAACTGGAACCTGTTCCTGGCGAATGCTCGGTGCTGGTCATGTGCCATACCCGAGAACTCGCGTATCAGATCAAGAACGAATATGCCCGATTCAGCAAGTATCTACCCGATGTGAAGACGGCAGTCTTCTACGGTGGTACACCGATCCAGAAAGACATTGAGCTCCTCAAGAACAAGGAGTCGTTCCCGAACATCATTGTCGGCACTCCGGGTCGTCTCAATGCTCTTGTCCGCGACAAGTATCTCTCACTCCGCAATGTCAAGGCGTTTGTGCTCGATGAATGCGACAAGATGCTCGACCAGATCGGTAAGCAATGTGACCCGACTCTTCCACTACTTGTTTCTCACAGCCGGAACCATAGATATGCGCCGCGACGTCCAAGAAATCTTCCGAGCCACTCCGACCGAGAAGCAAGTCATGATGTTCAGCGCCACTCTTCCTCAAGAGATTCGACCTATTTGCCGAAAGTTCATGAGAAACCCTCTCGAGGTCTTCGTGGACGATGAGACGAAGCTCACCCTCCACGGCCTTCAACAATATTCCATCAAGCTCAGCGAAGGCGAGAAGAACCGCAAGCTCAACGACTTGCTGGACAGCCTCGAATTCAACCAAGTCATCATCTTTGTCAAGAGTACCCTTCGCGCCACTGAGCTGGACAAGTTGCTGCGTGAATGCAATTTCCCCAGCATTGCCGTCCACTCCGGTGTCAGTCAAGAGGAGCGGTAAGTCTGCAACCAAACCGGGTCAATCACCGTTCTAATCTTCCCTTTAGGATCAAGCGCTACAAGGAATTCAAGGAATTCAATAAGCGTATTTGTGTTGCTACCGACGTCTTCGGTCGTGGTATTGATATCGAACGTATCAATCTTGCCATCAACTACGACTTGCCCGCCGATGCTGATTCGTACTTGCATCGTGTTGGTCGGGCTGGTCGATTCGGAACCAAGGGTCTCAGTATCAGCTTTGTCAGCAGCGAGCAGGACGAGCAGGTGCTCAAGGAGATTGAAAAGAGATTCGACGCCCAGGTGCCGGCTTATCCGGAGGGTGGCGTCGACTCGAGCACGTACATGGCGTCCTAGACTGTGAAAGGGCGGAACGAACAGTGACATTTTGTGCCAGTGGACCGAAAGGTTGGAGGCCGACAGTCACCGTGGACGTATGCTGTATTACCAGATTGCTGGAGGGGAAGCAGCCAGGTTCAGGGCACGAAAACACGGGACCACAATTCAGATTGATCACTTATGAGAGCCTGCAACAACTAGAGCTAGTCTTTGCACGGCAAAATCCTAGACTGACGTAGTGAAAAGTGATTTTGATGCCACCCAATATTTCTGCTTCGGTCCATACCTATATATTGTTTCTTGCTTGTTTCGTCGGTGGGCACTTCGGCGGTCCAGCTGTTCCAGCAGTAGAGCTGGCACTTGGTCATGGATTCGGACGGTTCATGAATTAATTACACAGTATGTACGGAGTAGAACGGCACGAATAGTCCTTTTCATCCTGTATTTTATCTGAACATAGCGGTCACGTATTTATACTCAATCTACGAAGGGTCTCCCTCTCTCTCTTTCTCTTTCTGTCTCTCCCCGTGTGTGTGTTTCTATATTTATATATGTGTGTGTCTATTTTATATTGACGGCTCCGACAGGAAAGGCGAAGGACATTCATAACATCCTGCCCCCGCCGGCCGGCCTTCTAGCAGTTTTAATTATGCATCCAACTTCAACTTCTCGAGCAAGCGATCGATCTTGTCCAGCAGGATCTGGTAATCCACCGCCATGGCGGCGAATTCGTCGCCCGCCAATTCGCCGTCGAGGGTCCGCACGGCGCCGGAGGCGAGGAGGGCCTGGATGGATTGCTGGTCTGGATTGTGATTGGGATCTTGATCGACGTCTGTAGACGGCGCAGAGGCGGCGGTGGCCACGGACGGAGCACCGCCGGTTGAGGGCGGGTTCAGGACCGAGGACGATGCTGTTGAAGGCGTGGATGTCGGTGTCGGGGTTGCGGTAGAAGTCGACGCGGACATGTCGACGCCTTCGTCCTCGTGAGGGTGTTTGGGATCGGTGCCCCAGCGTGGTAGTGGCTGAGGGGGCTTCGCAGGTGCGTCTTCTGCACCATTCTTGGTCCGCCCTTGAGACTCAGATTGGGCCTCATTCTGTATCTGTGTCTGTGACTGTGACTGTGCAACCGCCTCCGCCATGGCGGCTTCCTCGTCCATGACGTCCTCGAGCCCGGAGTCCTCAAATCGGAGCCGAAACCGCTCGCTCAGGTAATACCGAATATCATCTAGCAGTTCGATGCTGTCGGTCTCTTCTCTGCGGGTGATCCGCTCGGCGCTCTCTTTCACGAGCTCCGCGAAGTCGGGCGTGTCGATGAAGGCTTCCAATCGATATGCAATGTACCGGGCGGCGAATTCCTCCAGGCGCTGGACCCGCGTGAGCCAGGCCGCACGGAGAATTTCGTAGATGTCAAGTTCATCGTCTGCGGGTTGGGAGTTGCTGGGTCCATGGGGTGTGTCTTTGGATTGTGGTGGCGGCTGCAGTTGGGACACGTTCTCCTGGTCCACCATTTCAGGTGACAGGGCCGAGGAAGCGGGCATCGCGATTGCACTCCCATTGCCCAGGGAACTAATCACCAATGCGGCCTTGGCTTTGACCTTTTCTAAAAACAGCATGTCCGCCGCGAAAAGCACGTCCACGGCAATGTCTAGTCCAAAGTCCGCTTTCTCGGTATACAAGAACGTGAGGATGATCTCGAGCACGGCCGGCGAGCAGTCTATCGAGACGATCTGAAGGTGTGGGGTGGGTTGGGCTTCCAGGAAGGACGACGAAAACATTGTATTGAAGAACTCCGAGCGCATGAGCATGGCCTTGTGGGCCGGATAGATTTTCGAGCGGCGGGGTTTGCGTGTACGCGAGGGCGAGCGCGACCGGTCTGAGTGGGAAATGGGAATGCCGAGGGCGTTGGTCGAGGATTGACGTTGGAGGTCTTTGTTTGTCGGTTCGGGTACGTCTCCTTCATCTTCGGCTTCATCTTCGTCCTCGTCGGCACGGAGGAGGATGTCCGCGAAGATGCCGTTGTTGCGGTCCCATTTTATGTCGTCCGCCCGTGAAGATTCGATCTCGATGGCGTGTTTGATTACGTTGTCGCGGAACCATCGTTCCAGTTGGTCGCGACCTCTTTGTACTTCGTCTTGGCGCCGTTGTCGTGCCAGTCGACGGTCATTGCCGTCGAGGATTAATTGCGAGAGGTTCTGGATCTCAAGATGCTTGCTGATTCGATCCACCCCGGCGAGGATTTCCGAGTCGGTGAAGCCCGTGCCAGGACCGCCGCCGAGATCTCGTGGGATTTCTCCGAGGTACAAGTGCTTCAAAGCGATTGCGAACGACTGCGGTGGAATCGTGGGTGCTGGTTTCCAGACTTTGGTATCTGGTGCTTGGGCGAGTTTGCTCTGGAAGTAAGGTGATCGGGCCGAGAGGATGAATTTGTGGAGGTAGAATGTTTCGCTGGCGGTGATGACCGTGATGTCGTATGTCTTGGGATGGTCTCGGGTCAGCAACGAGACCAGATGTGACGCTAGTGGCTGTAGAGGGTCCGTCGTTTTCGAATAATCGTATTGTAATAGTAAGTTTCGTATCCGGTCGTTCAATGCATTATATAGACACCTACAAGGGAGTTAGTGTCTTCTCGGTTGCCTGTCGAAGTGGACTCGAGTGGTACCTTTCGCCCTGGAATGTATCACGCTCGCAGAGTGCGCCAGACTCAAGCAATAACTGGACAACTTCATAATGCCCACATAAACTAGCCTTCCTGGAGTCAGCAGACGCACACCGACAAAAACATAGTAGGGTGGCGACGAGCAATGCCCGTGAAAACCCAAAAGCAAGACTTACCAGAATCAAAGGCGTATAATCGTACTGATCCTTTGCATTAATATTGGTACCCTCCTGGATCATCTCCTGGCAGACCTTGAGGTCGCCTCGTCGGCACGCATCGCATAATTTCTGGAAGTTGACACTGAAGTCGAGGGGATTGTCTTCCTTGAGAATGCCCTCTTCGATCAATCTCCTCTCATCGAACAGGTTGCGCTCGAGTTGGTCTTTGCGGAGGAGTCCATTCGCAGTCATTGTATCAACCCTGTTTTGGAGGGAAGTAAAAGCCAGTGGCAACAGCAGGGCGTGGAGGAATCGAGGAAAAGAGGAATGGAAGAAGTGCAATTGTTCGTCATATCGAAGCGTTGCCGGCGTTAAGATTAGATTAGATCCGATCAATCAAATCGCCTTAGCGCCACTCCTCGCCTCCGCAGCCCACATTCAGCCTCGCTTTGAATTTTGGCAAGGCTGTGCCCAAATTTCACTCGATCTTTGACCCACCACAGCGTATTTCGTCCTGGAGCCACCACAACACGAAGGCTCTCACCTGAACAAGAGAGAGGTGCTCCCACCACGATACCACTTACAGCGACGTTATCTCGCCCAGCATGGCTGAACAAGATGGCTTCCTCCACCTCAGCCGTCCTCTGGGTCCCACCGCAGTCGGCGCACAACCCACCACAGCGCCTCTTCGAGTCGTGATCCAGCCGCAAGTATGTTACGTCGGGGAAAAGTGCAGCGCTACATCCCGCCGCCGCTGCCGAACTCGAACACTAACACCGATGTCTACAGGCCCTCTTCTCGATCCTCGACCACTGCCTTCGCCGCCCGCCAGACCAACAGCGTGTTATCGGCACCTTACTAGGCACGCGGTCCGACGCAGATGAATCCCAGGTGGTGGTGCACTCGTCTTTTGCCGTCCCGCACACCGAAACCACCGACCAAGTCGAGGTGGACATGGAATACCAGAAGGCCATGCTCGCTCTGCACCTGCGCGCAAACCCCAAGGAAGTGCTGGTCGGATGGTACGCAACGAGTTCGGAGCTGAACACATTTTCCGCCTTGATCCAGAATCACTACAGCAGCCAAGGGGAGGGCACGTTTCCGTACCCAGCCGTGCATGTCACAGTCTCGAGCCAGGCGGGCCAGGACGTCGAGGTCAGGACGTATATTTCCTCCCCCGTGGGCGTCAGTCCGGAACGGGCGGCCGATTCCGCGGCCTTCATTCCGATCCCTTATACGGTGAACTATGGCGAGGCCGACCGTGCAGGGCTGGAGGCCGTGGAGACTGCGAAGGAAAGTGAGAGCAGGACGGCGACGATCCTCACCGATATCGAGAACCTCGAGAAGTCACTTGAAGATACGCTGGGTATGCTGGATCGAGTGGCCAAGTACGTGGAGAATGTCATTGAGGAGGAAGCGGAGCCGTCTACTGCGTTGGGACAATTCCTGCTCAACACGCTGGCTTTGGCGCCCAAGGTCGACCCCGCGGAGATTGAGAAGGACTTCAACAACCATATTCAGGATGTACTGACCGTCTCATATCTCGCCAATATGATCCGAACACAGATGGATTTGTCAAACAGGTTAGCGACCGCACAATTGACCATGGGTGGCGGAGAAGGCGCACAACAAGGTGATAACAAGGAAGGGCGAGGCGACCGAAGACAGAATAGACAAGGTGGACAACAGAGACAGAACAGGGCAGAGAGTTTCTCGATGGCCTAAAATAAGGGAGACATTTGCCGCGAAAGCAGCATTCTCATATTGGCGGCTATGGAAATTGTTCTTGAGCTATCGGCAGTGATGTTCACAGGACATGTCAGGAGATGGTGCGGAGATTGTCTCCAAAAGCACATGGCTTTTACCATTCTCAAGGGATGCTCAGACCGAGCGATCGTCGTCTCGAAGCTCATTGCGGTGGCTCTGAGATGGAAATGACCTGGGACGCTGGTGTGTAGGCATACCGCGGCTGGGAGGAAGAGGCTCAAAAATATGCATGCACGCTGGAATATGCTTGCACAGATAGATCACCCAGTCAGAACTGGGTTCTTGAATGAGCCATATCGGCCCTGTCGCTCTTCGATCTGGCTTGTAGCTTAGCATTCCGTGGTGTGATGACCAAGCTGCTTGACTGATGTTGGCCACGTAAGGGGGGCCGGTGTGTTTTCGACTCCGGGTCAAGCCCAGATAAGCAGACCGAGTTTAATTCCGACTTGTATGGACGACCGAGACCAGCACTGCAATCGGGACTGCCGGAGACCGCGCCATGTTGTAGACAGGTTCCAACTGCCGCTGATGTCCGTGGAAGAGAAGCGCGAGAACGCTCAGGTCATTCTGCGAGTGAACCAGGCATGGATCAGACTCATCTTCCTGTCGCCCCTCGTCACGTGGACTGCTTCAGGGATCAGAAGTTTCTCCCTTTCAATTGCCCTTCTTCAACCCACGTCACTCCTCGCCCGCTTACTTGCCCTCTCCTCGCCATCGTCCTCGCTGCGGGCACCGGGCGTCTTCTCCTTTCCCGCTTCACTGAGCGTACTTGGCCCCTCGGCCTCCTCTCTGTCCCTCTTCTTCCTTCGCCCTCTCCCCCTCCCCTTTCCCTTCCCTGTGCCTTCCTCGCCCACAACCTCCCCGAGATTGACTAGATCCCCAACCGCCAGCTTCGTACCCTCTCGCCCCTCATTGGTATCGAAAAGCTTCTTCTTGTTGTCGATGTCCCGCTTTTTCTTGAACATCTCCTGGACTCTTCCCAGCTTGATAGAGTCGCGACGCAGCACGAATTCAAAGTCCGAGAGCTTGAGTTTCGCGCGGCCGGAGTACGTGGCGACCGAGACGGCATCGTGGCACGTCTCGATGATGAAGTCGGTGAGCATTTCATCCAGCACGCGCAAGGTCTCGGGAAAGGGGTGTGTGAACGGAGTGGGCGGGTGGGTTGTGTTGGGTGTATTCGGGCTGGAGAGGTATTGACGCGAGGAGGAGCCCAGCGGGTGTACTATATCCGGGTGCGTAGGCGCACCGTAGGCGTAGAGGAGCGAAGACAGCTCGGGCCCAAAGTTCAGGTTGTTCTTGTGCCGGCCGGCGCGGGCGCGTGGCTCCATTATGGCGGATGCGACTAGACGAGGAGAGGAAGAGGTCGACTAAAGGCCACTCCAAGGGATATAGACATGGAGCAGGTGGAGAAGGTCACATGCATATGGGGCGCATCTGTCGCATTTGACGTGGAGGGATAGTCCAGCAATACATATACGTGCTTCTTTAAAGTGACAGTCGATTCACGACCATGGAAGGATGTGGCAGGGTTCGCGCACCTCACCGTAGTCGCGGGTACGGAGAATCAAGGCGGAAGCAGACGCAAGCGTAGAAATAAGCGAAACTCTCCGCCCACGGCGTCGGATCAACTCTCAATAAACCACGTTTCAACATCCCAGCATCCTCGAGGACTGGCCATCTGTCTACTCGTACGCTGAACGACAAACCAACGAGGATACCCAGTGCATTCACCTTTCCTCTCCCTTTCTCAATCGCCCGGTCTCTCGGAGTTTGATCGCCTCCCATCCATCTTCTGAGGCCCTGATATTTCAACGTTGGGTGGAACAGGAAACCAGTGCGACAAGATGGTACGTATATTCCTCAGCCAGCCAAACCAGCAAGCCGATTCAGTCGCATTTGATTTCATGGGCCCTAGCAAATGGAGAGAGAACTCCACGATCCCATGGGACAACGCAGAGCCCGAAGCATACGGACAAATATTGTTCACTTGGGAATCTGGCACAGACAAAAGTGACTGACCCGTGGGCCTTGAATGACAGACAGCGATATTCAATTTCCAGTCCCTCCTCCTGGTGATCATCCTCCTCGTCTGCACGTCCACATACGTGCACTCGATGGCCCCTTCACTCATGGATCGGAATAAAGACGGGTAAGGTCTTCCCACTCGAGCGCGCTCACTCTACTCCTGACGTCTACTCCGCCCGCCCTCGCCGCACAAGGACTGTCTGATGGCGATGTATGCTAATCATGTTTGATCACGAGCAGGGCGCTAGGAATATTCTGGAAATGCGCACGTATAGGCGAACGGCTAAGTCCGTATGTTAGTATCATCTGCGTTGCTATGGCGGTGAGTGTTGGAAACCCTTCAAGTGCTGCTCTCGTGACATTGCACTTCCCGCCATTTCCTGCACGAAACTGCTTGCCGTTGCATCCGGAGTGAGGGTGGTTTTTGACGTCTACTTCCCAATGTGCGCAGTCGGAACCTCTTTTGAAATACTTGATCTCTTGCTGACCAGAAGGGCACAGTGCTCCATCATGCTGGGCTACTAGGACTGAATCCCAGACTGTGCCCCGGACGATTGTTGCATCAATACGTTTCTTCTTCTACTCGACATATATGTATGGTTCATTCACAGCTCGGGAAAGGAACCGGAACAACGACAAAGCACTACCTAGATACGCCCCCCAGAATCCATCATGACGACCTCTGTGCGCAATGCCATGTTACATCGGGTCCTAATCCCTGTACCGGAGAATCCTTGGTCATGTACATGAATCTGGTTTCTCTTTCACACATTACCAGTGCGATGTCCCACCCTAGCCCATTATCACTCGAAATACCAGGCCGTGAACTGGAAAGAGAATAACCGTGGAAGAGATGTCGTCGCGTCATGGGTATCGTCACTGCGGCCTCTGACCTGCCTTATTTGCAAACTCCCGATTCATTACAAGGAAAACCTTTTCTTCACCTTCTGCTCGATCTCCACGGCCCGCTGGAAGATGACGCTGCCGCCCGTCCCGAAGCCGCTCACCATTCAATCCATCTACTTAGTTGCCGCCTTCCATGAAAGCAAAGACGTCCGACTCCATCTTGCGTCTCGTCCTTCCGTTCCTCCCGGCGACACGTTGCATCTGTTCCTTCTCACGAAATACGAGTTGGTCCTTCCTGGCCTCGATGACCGGATTCTTCGGCGCACCCAGAAATTCTCGAAACGTCATGGTAGCTTTCTCCGTCTTAACCTGCGGATCTCCTGGTGCTTCAAAGTCGATGCCCAGCTGCACGTCCGTAGTGACTAGCGCTTCTTCCGGGTAGCGGCGCACTTCTTGGTGAGGATTGCCAAATCTCTTTTTGCGTTCGGCGCACTGGTACAACAGGAGGTTACCCATCAGTTTCTTCTTCGACGGTCTCGTGCTGGACGGTAAGATCCCCGCTGCTGCCAAGCGGTTGGCTGGGTCGGTCATGTCGAGAGAAGGATCGATGTCAAATAAGTTGCGAGATCTTTCGGGTCGTTGCCAGAGTGGGTCGACACGGGGTGGAGGAAGTGGCTGGAAATCACCCTCGCACTCCACCTCTTCATCCTCGTCCTCGGAATCAGACTCGAACATGACGAGCATGGCTTTCAGTTTCTCAATTGCTCGCGCATCATCTTCTTTGACATCGGCCGTCTTCTTGCTCACAATCCTCGGACGAGAAACACTCCGAGACTCAGCCGGCGTCGTAAGTGGGGAAGCTCTTGGGCTAAGACGTCCTCTTGTTCCGAGCGTCGAGGGCGACTGAGCATCTGAGGCGCTCATGTTACTTGCTGCGATGGTCGTCGATTCGGCTGATCTGGAATTCGGCGAGCCACGCCTCGAGTTTGAAGGCCGAGAGTGCGTCGTTTGTCGTGGCTGCACATGGTCTTCGTCGTGCTCTTTTGATGGAGAGTCCTCCGGTAGAAATTCATCCTCACTGTCAGGCAATTCGCTGGCCGTGTTTTCGATATCGTAAAGCCGCATCGCTGATACTTGATCACCTCCCCCATTGGCATCATTCTCCCGCATGGTCTCGCCTGCAGCCCCTAAGGCCGCCATCTGCTCATTGGGTGTGGCCAGGGAGGGCGCTTGTGGTGCAGGGTCGTGGGCGGACGCCTCGCACTCCATCGGGTCCGCAGAGTCGTCCTTTTCATCGATTTGATTGACGACCACAGAGCCAGATGGGTGTTGGTCTTTAGCCAGCGACCTGGTACGCTTATGAGTGTTAGGTGCGAGCGCATGCTTCCGATTGACCGGCTGGACTGATTTTGCCTTGCTAGCTGTCTCTGGTTTAGACGTCGCGCTATTTCCCAGCGACATAGCGCGTCCTACCTCCGTAAAGCCATCCTGGTTCACAGCTGATGGCGTGGTAGCGTCGTCTGCGGAAACTCGTTCTGAGGCTGCTTCCTCCTGCAGTCCGGGGTTTGTCAGATTCCTGAGGGGATATCGGTCTTCCTTAGGGGATCCGGTGTCGGGCATGTCAGCCGAAAGACCACCTGCTGATTTCCGACATCCTTGTCGTAGGTTGGCGATAGCAGCTTCTCGTACTTTGGAAGAATTCTTCTGTCGCTTGTTCGTTACGAACATGACATCTTCTTTGGTCGATCGCTTACGTAGATTAGCACATGCTCTTTCCTGGCGTGATACACCTGGTGTAACAGACGCCTGGTCAATGCTCTGAACATCCCCTAGTGATGGGCCGGGCAGAGACAAACCTGTAGAGTCGTCCGGTGTTGTGCATAGTGGTTCTGTCACAACGTACGAAGGGTCAGGGACTCCGTCGTTAGGAGCTTTATCAGGGTCCATCTCCTCTAAGCAGCCCCTGCAACGCTTTGCTGGACTGTAGAGCCGTAGACGGCACAACTCGCACTTCTTCAAGGCCATTGAAGGAGATTTCGAACCGCGTCTGTTCGAGATCTGACTCTCAGAGTCTGCACTAGATATCGTTCCCGCGTCCCGAGGCGGGCTCACGGGCTGCTCAACGTCCCTTGCAGAGGTGGCTTCTGGTTTGTTTCTCCCCAGGGGCGGGCGGAACAACAAACCGCCTCGTCTAGCAGCCCCGGCGCCCCTCGTGCGAGCTGGCGGTCTCTCTGTGGTATGTTCTGGAGCCACGTGTGCAGTGCTAGATTGTGACGTAGACTGGCCCGAGGTGCAATGTGAAGATGTTTGCTCAGCTTCGGACTGTCTCACTGGGTGCCCAGCTGGATAGGCTCTAGACGCTTTGAGTGCCCGCTTTGCTAATTCTTGTTCGAGAGCATCAGGAGGTGGCAAGCAGATACCAACGGCAAGCGAAGGTTGTGGCTGAACTGGTTGAGTCGTAGCTTTGTCTGTGTTTATTAGACGACTCTGGAGTGCTTCTTGTCTGTGAATTGGTAGACTGGCGGTTGGCTGACCGCTTTCGGTGCAATTTCGCGACAGACGCCCCGTATCTGTCGGTGATTCACCAGAAGGCGGTGCCTGGGCCGCAGAATCACACATGCGCGAATGCCTGACTTGCTCCTTACTGTAGTGCTCGTGACATGATTTTGCGGACCGGTCGTGAGTGTAGGGGCATGTGCCACTCGAGTGGAACTGGCATCGGCCACCTGTCTCGAAGCGAGGACACAGAAACTCCCTGAGAGAGTTGGGCCCTGGATGTTCACACGAGTCTTTTACAGGTTGCCAGGCAGCTACTCCAGTCTCTGCATGGGCGTAGAGGCAACGCGCACTGGGCAATCTGCAACCCCCTTTAAACTTCCAATACCAGCAGGTAATATGTCTGAGTGATGCTTTCCCATCGATGCCCACATAGAGACCAGTGTCTTTGTGTGCGTACTTACATTCCCATGTCTGCCGAGTGCACGAATCTTCTCGCCATCGCGGACAAGTGAAATCTTTAGCTTCTGTTTCATTGCCGCGAGGAGCCACGCGGCCTGTAGTTTTGTGCGCAAAGATGCAATGAGCCTCTATGAGGCGGCAGCCGCTGTGATTCCAACTCGGACAGGTGATCTGCTTGTACCTATCTGCTTTATTAACCATCTGCGCCGACATAGGAGGCTTCATGCCTGGGTCGGTCCGTGACAGCTGAGCCTCGCGAGGTCCTGAAAGAGGTGACTTCATGTGGGGAGTTGAAGTGTGAAGATGCGCCGCATGAGAAGTAGAGGAGTGTGCCATCCCGTCCATTTGCTGTCCAAAATTAGGGTGCCAATCCGGCGGCTCGATTGGTAGCGGACGCTTGTCACGCTCTCGAATTGAAACATCATCGCGGACGCCTGGATGTACAGAAGGACGGCAGTCTTGTGAAAGGTCCTTCAACCTGGTTTTAGGTTGAGGCAAACCTAAGCCTTTCTGCATCTCTTCCTGCGCTCGCCTCTCTAAATGTTCTCTGTCCGTGTGATCGCGGTTTTGGGGTTTATCATCTCTTAACCCATGCTTGACCCGAGGAGTTTTTGTGTCTTGACCTGTTTCACCTACGCCCGCCTTGACCGGCGAGGAAGTGCTGACTTCCTGCCTTACTTTTGCGCCGACGACTCTCACAGCCTCGCGCTCTTTGGAAACCGCATCTTCGACGGGGCTTGGGCCTGTCGCTGGGTTCGTCGCCGCAACCTTTTGCGCACTATTCGCAAGAGAAGCTCCATCCATCCCTCTGCTGGACTGATTTACATGATCTGTCCTGGGCCTGTTGCATCTTTCAAGCGCATCTTCTAGATAGCGGAGGTACCTCGCATCCGTAGACGGAGCCCCGATCTTGTAGTCAGCCCAGCTCATGCGAGGCCGGTGTGTAGATAATGGTTGGTACGAATCAGTCACAGGAGCTCTCTCGGGTCTTCTGAGGTCACTGCCATAACGAGATTGGCACGGTCTGTAAGACTCGGAGCGTTCCGAACCATGCGGTGCAACGTCTCTGTAAGAGTCTACTCGTCGCAATGGTGGTGGTGGTGGACTAGTATTTTGCCTCATTGAACGGGGCGCAGTTGGTGGTGGTTTGTCAAAGATCTTTGACTGGGATGCGGTATCCTCTGGACATGCTTCCTTCACAGAACTTGCAGGCTTCGACGCCGATGCTGGGCTTGAACTATCATGTGCGACCGGAGTCAATGGTCGACTCGGCCCAGAGGAATTGTTGGCAGGAGACGGAGGGGAATAGTCCACCCCGGTTGAGTTCTTAAAGCCTCCATCTCCGGGCATATTGGCTTGGTGTAATCTGCGCAAGGGAGTGTCATGTCAGGATACTCCGCAGATCTCGGGTGAAGGCAAAGGGGAACTGGTCAGACGCATTTGTTAGCAATTGATGCACACCAGTGTTGATGTAAACGAAAACCAATTGTGAAAGTCCATTGCCTCAGGTCTTTTCAGTTTATCTGGGTCTTCACTTTGCGTCGATATGGTTGCTATGACGAAGAGGGCAGCACTCTCACTGCAGGACGCCGACAAAGCACGTGCAAGGCGCAGAGGGCTCGCAGAGATCATGCGCTCCCAGCAATCCGAAACCACAACTCCGTCCTGCGGTGTATGGGACCCATGGGCCATGTACGCTGCTGCCATTGACAGAAACATCCATGGTGCGTGGAGATGCAAGCCCCATATTAGCAGCGCTGGTTTGTTCCTTTACACAAAATCTCCAAGGATGCAATCTAATAGCTCAGAGGGCACCATTCTAGCCTGATTACTGTGCCTTCAGGACAGAGGGTTTGTAGAGATGCGGGTGCGCAGGGACGCGACTCCGGCGTTGCACTTTCCTGTATCAGCATACAAAAGCGGCCCTCACGACAAGCAACCGCTGACCGACGGTGATCAATCAGACCTTTTACCATTGACTCATCTTTGTAGCAGTTGGGCGGAGCGGGCGAGCGATACACGCCGGAGAAGGAATATACATAGACTCACTGGAGAGATTAGGCCATGATACCCGGACATTAGTTGTCGCGCCGCAGTCTGGCTCGGTCCCATGGTTCACCCGCCATGCACGGGAGTTGGGTTTCGATATTGAGCGCAACGGCTAGCAACATGCATTTGACGCAGAAATTTCTCTTTATAGGCGGGGTGGCGACCCGGCGGTGACAGCGGAAAGACGGGTGAAAGGAGCAGATAGATCAAAACCTAGGTCCCCACTACGATGTAGAGACAACGGACACTTCGTTTGGTCATAAGGGAGATAGAATCTGTAGTACCTATTTGCTCATTATGTAGAAGAGGTCTGTAGGCAGCTCGGTGGCTGTTTTGAGGGGAAAATGGTGATTTAAAGGTGAGGCGTGATTGAGGTCTACCTTTCTTAAATACCTAACTCGAAAGTGGAGAACTCGCAACGCTAGGGGCAATGTGCGACTTCCCCGGTTGGCTGCTGTCTGGATTGGACGGGAGAGCAATCGTTGACGCCTGAGACTTGCGTTGAGAGGCTAAAGTAGCCGAAGGCAGGGCCCGTTCCAAGTGCATCACAACCGTAACAGGGCGCGATAGCGCGTGATAGGGCGCAATGGGGCGCAAATGGGTCACAACGGAGCGCGACAAGGATCCCAGCAGTGCAAGTACTGAGAGCCAATACACTTGTCACTGCAGCTATCTTTACTGATACGAGGACACCATCATACATGTGCTATTGAGACACACTCCTGCCTGCAAGAGCGGGGATTGCATCGCCGGCTTCGATCTCAGTCTCGCCCCCAACCCCCTCGTTTTCTGCGACACCGTGACTGGCTTGCTGGGCTGCCTTAGCCTCTGTCAGTGCGTTCTCGACGGCTGTATTTGCAGTTGGCCAGCCCAGGGCTTTGTCCATGCCTTCGGGCATTTGGCGCTCATCAATGCACTGTTTTACCAGATCGGCAAGCCGAGTCTGGTCGTAGTTCTCGAGCAAGAATGCCCACCCCTTCTCAGTTGGCTGGACCTCCCGCGCCACCATCATGTGCCAGATCTTTGCCGCAGTCTCCTCCTCGCCATGTTTCATGAAGCCGCAAAGTACTTCGCTCCAGGTCCGCTCGGTGGGCATGCATAGATTATGCTCGATCATAGCTTCAACCACATAGACCGCTTTTCTCAAAAAGAACCGACTTCGTGCGTAGAAATGGATGAATCCGTTCCACATGACGTCATGTTTGGCGCAAGCCAGAATGCTTTCATCCTGCTGTTTGATCATGTGCATTATCCAGAACCACAATGCTGACACGATGCGTTCGTCGCGTTGGCAGAGTACATAAGCCCAGATGGTGAATCCCAGGACTGCTGGTGGAGGCTCCTCGAGTCTTTTCTGCAGGGTGTGCTGAGGCGGAAGTGCGTTGACGATACCAAGCTTGACCAAAGGCGTCCTGTCGTAAGCTCTGTCATAGATGGCCAGGAGATGTGAGACGGACGTCTCGGGGGACAGTTTGCGGTCGATCGTGCAAACCACCCTCACAATATTCATCATGTATGTCACCAGGTAAGGATACTGGTAAAGGTCCTCGTGTCTGTGGATAGAAGACATCATGGCATCCAGCTTCTCGCGGTCATTCTGCTCAAAGCTATTCTTGAGTAGCATAAGGTAGCCATTCGCTTCAACACATATATCTCTAGCTTCCATGAACCGGAAGACTTCCCATGCCACTTCAGGCCTACCCAGCTCGAGTGCTCTTTCGAGAATGCGGTTGTGCACTTTGAAATCCATCGGCAGGCCGAGTCCAACCAGCCTAGGGAGCGCCCTGAAGTTGGCCACAGAGTCAGACTCGTCAATTGTGTCGATGGAAATAAGGTTGGCACAACGCTCAAGAATTCGCACCTTATGTTCCTCCCTCTGATCTGGAGGGATCCGCGAAAGGAATTCAAGTGCTCGGTCGGTGTCGCCAAGTTTCGTAAAGTGGTCGACTATGACTAAAATGACTCGCGGTGATATGTCCTGGTAATTCTCGATGATAGTGTCGACGATGTTTTCGATATGCTCGGGGCTGTTGTGCCGCAGGAAAAGGACCAGGAAATACCAGGGCATACGTTTGGTGTCCGAGGGCCACGTCCAGATGCGCGAGACCCGCTCGATTTGCTGCGCGAATAGTTCTTGGAGGTAGACGTCCCCATCGATCTCGTCTCGGTATGCCTGATCCAAGAAACAAAGGCATTCACACCGATGTCTCCAATCTCGAGGGAAGAGGATATCAAGGGAGAGCATCAGAAGAGTTCTCCGAGCACTGTCGACCAGACATCCGAGCATGATGGTCGCCAGCTGCAACTTGTTGCGTTCTAGCACCGCGGTCCAGGCATCACGGAGCTCTTCAAGACTGCGATCACCGACGAAAGTAATAGCAACTTGTCGGTGTACATCGAAATGTTGACGTGCCTTTGGCAAACCCCCCTCGTGCCACAGGGAAACTACCTCCTTGTAGTACGTCCACCAAAACGCGCGGAATTCGTCATGTTTTGTCGGACTAATGCCCTCGGTTTCAGGGGAGATCGTTCTCCAACCCGGCGGAAAGGACCATTTCGGCGAAGCTGCGCTGCCCAAACCAAGTGCTTGAGGATCGGATACCGCCTGCGGGCCTGGCCGCTTGAGTGCGACGAGATGTTTGGAAATGGGTCTGTCTATGTGGCCAAAGATCCTTGTCGCGTGGTATTCGACGCTTCGTAACCTGTGATCTAGATCCTCCGTCTGCTTGCCCACCGACTGTCCGCTAGGTTCTACAGGCGAATGAGCTTCAACGGTTGAGTGCGTAGAGGCATCTGGCTCCGGCAGCCTGATTGATGCCGTGGGCTGCTGAGGAGGCGATTGTCTGTTGTCGAAGGCTCTTTCAGCAAGGCGTTGTTCGTTGAGCTCCGCATCTCTGTGTCTAGAAGAAGCGAATCTGGACGAATTGTGGAATCGAGCTTGGAACCGGCATCGGCATCGGCACCGGCCGTAGATTGGAGAGTTACGGTGTAAACATCCTCGTAGAACGATGGTTGAATTAGTGAACATTCAGGTTCGCAGACATCTGGCTCTAGATCTTCTCCTAGAGATGGGAGTGGAGGATGAAGAGGTGGACCATTGATAGCTGTCAGTCGGGCGCATGCAGGTATCGCTAACAGTCGAAAATCAATTCACCTCGACTGAAAAGCGCAGCTTCTTTGGGGAAGGTTACCCGAGGCTGCACGCCCCATAACTTATTCTCCTCCAAATCAAGAACAATCACTTCTTGTCGCGGAGTCGAGGAAGCGCCGTCATGTCGGCCACACATACCAGTCTCGATGCCGCCGCCATCGATAGGAAGGCCCGGCTCGCAAAACTTGCGGGAATAAAACGCAAGCATCCTGTGTCTGACGCACCAGCCTCCAGTCTACAAGCAGATACAGAAGAAGTAGACGGAACGGAAAATTCCTCCAAGACCACGACTGATCGCTATCTCTCGGGGCGAAACTACGATACAGCAACCAAAAACGCCAAGCTTGGCTTCGAGAATGCGCCCGTCAGCGCTGAGGTTGGGACTTTGGAGGAACAAGCCGATCGCATAGCCGCTGCTACTGCCGAACAAGCCGCCAAAGACGAGGTCGAAGCAGAGAAAGGCATTGACCTTTTCAAGCTGCGGCCGAAGAAGCCAAATTGGGATCTGAAGAGAGACCTGGATGAGAAAATGAAGATTGTGAATGTGCGGACTCAGAATGCCATTGCCCGGTTGGTTAGGGAAAGAATTGAGAACGCAAAAAAACAAGCGCTGGAGAAGGCCCAGCCTGCGCGGTCAGCGGGTCAAGATGCGAGTGATGCGGAGGAGGTGGGCATTGAAGGCAACACTCTTGTTGAAGGAATACACCTGCGAGAGCAAGAAGAGGAGCGAGAGGCCGCCCGTGAGAAAGAAGAGGACGACATTCCCGATTGAGTCTCTCCCGTCGTGCTTTAATGATCTGTGACGACAACAGCAGCACTGTCCTGCCCAGAGCCAGCAGCTCTGGCCCGTTGACGCCCCAGGATTGCCCGCCATCCAGCGAGATGCGGACTATACTCTCGTGCCTTCCCGTAAGACGAAACCTGCCTTTGAGGCGCGACATCTTGCTCCTTATCGCCCCTCTTAGGATAGTCCTTCGGCGGAGGAACCCAGCTACAGTCACGATGCCGTCAAGCGATGCAGCCAGATCTGAAGGGGAAGGTTTAGCCACGGCGTCGCATTGGCTGCCACGAGAGGATATCTTGACGATGTACGCTGCACCCTAAGCAAGCAGCAGGAGAACCATGCATGCCATTACAAGCGGCGGCCAGCGGGATAAAATTTCCAAAAAGCCAGGACCTCGGGCAGAATTTGGCAACCAACTGCGAATCCTACAATACTCATAGGGTGTGATAGAACAACGGAGCCACTGAGTGATCAACAATAGTCCACCAACGCCATGCGGGCTAATACAAAATAACCGACCGAGTCATACTGCTTTGACTTCCCCTTGGTATACAAACCATCCAATCCAATCCAATTCCACATCAGACAGAATCACACCGCCATGCTTTACATGTTCATGGCCTGCGTCAGCGCTAGCCTCTTGCTATACGGACTTGGACTTCTTTGCTTCCTCTCCCTCCTCTGTTCTCCGGCCCCCGAGGGGAAGTCGAATTGAGGCATTGGGCGCTTTTCGTCGTCGCCATCCCGTCTCCCACGTGGCCTATCATGGATATCTTCACCGTCAAACGACTTCCTCTGTCTGGTGATCTGGCTCTTGTCCATACTTGGGCTGTTACTACGGCTGCGATGGCTTCCGCGGCGCATGGAACTTGGCCTACCACGGTTGACGGGGCTGATGGTGCGGTAACGTCGGCTTTTGCGGTGCGACCCGGGCTCTCGGCGGGGTGACCGGGGTGATCGAGAATAAGAACTGGAGATGGAGCGGTGTCTTCGTTTCCGCGGTGCATCTGGGGTGGTTGAGCGGTCTCGGTCTGCATGACCGCTTGTCGGAAACCTGTCTCCTTGTCCTCTTGACCGGCTGCGCGATAGAGGCCGGGACCTGTTCGTCGATACAGTCGATATTGAATCTGAATCTGAACTTTGTCGGGGAGAGTCTGGTGTGGATGACCGAGGTCCCTCGCGCGGCACCTCGCGTTTGGATCGTCTTGCATTGACCTCAGCCAGCTGCTGATCCGCCACCCCTTTGCTAGATAAAGTCAGACAAATAATACTTCGTGAAAGTCACATTGAGGATTTGCTACCTGTTAAGCAGATTGTTTGGTGTATCGCTCGCGAGCTTTGGCACTAATTTTGGGTTGGACAGCTGCTGCGTCCTCGACGGTCTTGAGGCATATGGTCGTTCTTGTACGCTTGCTTTGCACTCGTAGCTGTAATGGCGTACAGGGCCGGTTAGAGAGACGTCACAGCACCGAAGGTGGCAGAACTTATCCTTCTTGAGACATTTCTGGCAAACGGTGTTGGTGGTGGCTCTTTGCGGCCCCAGGCCGAGAAGTGTACGATATCGGTTCATCAGAAGTTGGCCACTTGAACCCAACAGATCCAAATATTTGGCAGCGGTCTCACAAGAGACGGTCAAGGCGCCACGTCAATCGCAGTCGCTTCCCAGACGACAGTCTTGTGTTGTCAGAAGTTATATGAATGGACAAGAGCCGATGTATGAGTACCTGCTGATGCCGAGATGATTGCGATGAATGTGAATATACTGCTGCCTCGATTGCGATGCGGCAGCCAGCGATACAGGTACCAGAGAAATACTACCCAAGACCAGACCCGACTGCCAAAGTGCTGCAAGTCAAAAAGCTAGATGAAAGAAGCTGGGTCTGCGACAGGCAGCGACAATCCTGGGGCTCGTCGAGGCAAGAGAGAGCGAAGTGATGAGGGCAGAGTCACCCAAGCCAAAGCCGGCTCGCTCGTGATTGGGCACGTGCCGACTGTCGAAAGGCACTAAAGGGCAAACTTCGCTTACCGGCACCGCAAATACTTTGATCCGTCGCCTTGGCATTTCACATCACGGCCTTGCGAACCATGTCTGTGAACGACAACTGATCTCGGTTCGCTGGCGTCGTCGACCTGTCTTCTTCCGGTGGTGATAGTATGCCAGTCATTCCCGTTGGCCGTGGCACCATGGCTTGACTTTTTCTACCAGACTTGCTATTACAGGCTCCCACACTCCCAACCATCTAACATCTCCACTGCGTACCGCAGCCTTAAAAACACTAAAACCCCCATCATCGAGCTGGGCAAGACGGAGTAGCCTGCTCTGGATTCACAACCCGATACCCCTCCATCTCATTAACCTCTCCGCCTCGGTAACTTGGTCCACAGCTGCACCGTACAGAGGGTGGAAGAAACGTTCAAGTGGACTCCACAGCGACTTTTCCGGATCGTCACGTCTGGACGAAACCAACCGGACCACGCGCACACGTCGAAAGCCCAGCAGATCTCCTTGTTGAATCCATGGAGCCTTTCAGGTTGTGCTATGCAGGCTCGTGTGATGAGCAACAATCTGTGTGAGACAGCGGAAGGAACAATTGACCCAGCATTCTTCGCTCGGACAACTTACATTCATTTTCAACCTCAATCCTCGGCTTGGTAGCTCTGGCATCGCGCTGCTTGGATACGACGTGACGAATCTCCTTGGGCATTATGGCGTCTCCTCAGGTTCCATCGGCACCTGCCAAGTTGTCGTTTGCAAAGGTTTGCTCCGCGCTGTCATGTGTCGAGTGATGTCCGCTAATGTTGGCTAGGTGGCCGCTATGCGCGCTCCCACTCTCCCTGCATCGACTCCTCATCCTCCAGACGAAAAGAAGTCCCGGCTCGTCGAGAGCAACAACTCGAAGCCCACTCATAGCAATGGCTTCAAAGCTCCCACAACATCACCGAGAAAACCGGTTGCGCAGCCGAAGAACCTCGGTGAGCGCAGTCAGCCAGACTATGTGGCAACCGCAATTGAAGGTCTCTCGTTGGTCAAGGACGCGGACACTGCCTCGGGTGGTCTACAAAGTGCAGGGAGCGGAGAATCTCTCGAAGATGACCAGTCCCATCTCTCGACCTCCTCCATGAAACAACAAAGCTTCGATACCAAAAGCATGGCTTCTGTCACTACCTTCGCAATGGATGAGAAGGAGAGCATTCGTCCGGATGACAGCGCCAGTGTCAGGGCTGTAGAAGACGACGAAACGTCGAGCGTCCCACAGAAAGAGGACACATCAGCATTGAATGCACGCCAATCCCTGCGACCAAGCACTTCTGGCGTGACAATCGCTACACGCCGATACCACACATTGACTTTGACCAATCCTCCACAGTTTGGAGACCTCCCGGTCCCAATTGTACAGGCTGAGCAGCCCGAGCCTGCACCTTCTTCAGAAAGCTCGAGCGAACAGCAAGCTGATCCTCACGAAAGAGCCCCATCGCTGCCACTTGCCCCCGATGAGAAGTTGCTCGATGCTTTGGCCTCAGCCAAGGATCGTCTGCCTTTGCTGCAACTCGAGGAGAAATTTTTGGCCTTGATCGCAAATCCATCGTAGGTTGTTCCATCTGCTATCGAATGCCCCTAACGCATGGCAGGACACAATTTTTCGACTTGCCTCCCCAGAACTCCTTTGCCCGACTGCTTGCACACAAATTGGCTGATTATTACTCGCTTGCCCACCACATCAACGAGGATGGCACCTCCATACGCGTCTTCCGGACACCCAATCCCACTTTGTAGGTTTTCCAGCAATGGCCCAACACCATGTTACTGACCCATCCTAGGCCGACCCCATTGCATGTCCTCGCAAGGTCCATCCCTGCCGGTCCGCTACAACCACCCTCTGCTGCCACTTTTAAGATCATGCGTAGAGCTGGCCTCGGCCCACAACATGGTTCTGCCGGCGCCAGTACTCCTGCAAGCTCTTCTGGACCCTCAAAGGCCACCTCAGAAGCGGGCTTGGAAACAACCAGCGAGGAAGGCATCATGTCCCCAATTGAGGGGACGCCGAACAAGGACAAGTCAAAGCCCACGCGAGAAGAGCGTGAAGCCCAGTACAAAGCAGCAAGAGAACGCATCTTTGGCGATTTCCAGGAGTCGGTAACGAGCGAGAGTGCTTCGACTGGCGAGAATTCAGCGAGTATGTCACGGTCAAGCTCGTCTAGTGGAAAGAGGAAAGCTCGAAAACAGAAGACGCCAAAAGACGACAGCTTCGAAGCACGTTCCGCATACGTCCCTAGTTATGCTCCCATGCACATGGCGAACATGCAGTCTCAATACCAAACTCACTATTCGGATCAGGGATACCAAGGCGCCTACCAGAACCCGACCAATGGGTACGGCGGGAACATCAACTATGGAACGACTCCGACTCAAGCTTACCCGGGCTTTGACCAGACCATGTCTTACAACAATGCACCCATGGGCTATGGACCGGCCAATACACAGCCATTTAGTGCTGCGGATTCTTGGTCATCAATGCAAACGCCCCCCAACAGTGGGTATTACAACTACTCAGCCTCCCCCAACAACTACCAACAGAGTATGCCGCCCATGCTGAATCAGATGAACAGCCAGTACTTGCCACAGTCCCACCCAGGGATGCAGCAGCCACAGAATTGGATGAATAACCAATATCAAGCTTCTTATCCGCAGCCGCAAGGCCAAGGAAACCCCAACGTCAATGGTTGGTCTGGTTATCAGCCTAACCAAGGCATGAATAACCCGGTGCCATATGGTTACGGCCAAATGCCAAGTCAGAACTTCGGCAGCAACCCCAATCAGCCCTATAATGCTCAGTACGCGAACCAAAGCACATACTCCAGATCACTCTTCAATCCCCAGACGCGCTCCTTTGTCCCAAGCAATACCACGAGTCGCAACGGCGGACGCAACGTACGGAAGAAGCCCTCGCCAGCCTCAAGCCAGGCGCAGAGTCGAAACAATAGCGTTGTCGCTGCCTCGAGATCGTACAGCTCTGAAAATTCTGGGACACCACCGCCACCATCAACGCGTGGGTTTGAACGGGGAATCACGGTTAATGCATCCTCACCTCAACAGCGAGTTCCATTCAAGGAAGATTCTCTCCAACAGAAATACGGGGCGCCTGCACATTTGCCTAAGAAGCCTCCTCCGTCGCAGGTGCTGTCGTCGTATGATGTGGAAAATCTCAGTAATACGGCGATCGCCGTGAGCTCAGTAACTCCGAATTCACAAACTGCTGCGATTCCATCTGGTGCGCGAGGCACTGCTACTAATGGCGCATCTGGTCCAGCCATGGAACAAGCTAACGCACCATCTGGATGAGGCATGGGCGCATGGGAGTCTCAAAAGGCTATGGTTCGAAAGGCGGGCGTAATGAATGATTGCATTTGCATACAGACTATGTCGGGCCATTCCAAAATCAATGATCGCATTGTATCCGAGGGGGCTTGGACTACCTAAGTAACGAGGTATCATCAGTCCATGGGGGCGACTTTTTCAGAAGAGAGGCAGAATCCGTCCTGGAGGGGGAAAAGAAAGTCCTTCCACAGAATACCCATTGGACCTCCAGCTATTGTTTTCAAAGTCTGAGTAGTCGTGGTCAACCCGCCTGATTTGAAGAGCCCCTGCGACGATCGCACTTCCAGCACACCTCACCCAGTCCCAATTGGTCATGCGTTAACCATTCCCCTCTCTTCTCGAGCTTTGAAATCAATGGGACACCACTGCAGAGATCGTGATCCTACCGAGGTAAGATTGCTCCGCGAGGAGATTGTGGCAAGCTTGACCACGGCAGCATCGGGGACCTATATCTTGTCGCTGTCCGGATGGCATAAACAGGTCCCCATCTATTTGTCTGTAGGCGCCTGCTTCTCAACACTCGTGACTAACACGACAAGCAACCGCAATCGCCTACGTTCCGTACCGGAGTACTCCAGCTCCTCTCTATACGGTCCTTCAAGCAACCCGGTCGTCTTCCTCCTCTTCTTTCCAGCGAGACTGTAGCGGACCATCCATTCATCCCATCATGGTGCCGAACAAATCGCTGATCTTCAGCGCCGTGCCAACCCATACCCCGGTTCCAGGCGAGCACATCACGCTCGAGAACCGGCCGTTCGACCCCACCCAGCGACCTCCTCAGCATGGCATCACGGCCAAAACCCTCTGGATCAGCCTGGACCCGTACATGCGCGGCCGCATGCGGCCGGCCTCGACCGCATCGTACTCGCCGGCCTTCACGCTCGGCGCTCCCCTCACGGCGTACGCGCTAGTGCAGGTCCTGGCCTCGGACGCCGACGCCGACGCCGAGGAGGCGGCGTCATTCCACCCCGGGGACATCATCTACGGCCAGTTCCCCGTGGCCGAATACAGCGCCATCTCGCGCGAGATGCTCGCCCGGCCGGTCGTGCGCAAGGTGCACCGGCTGGACGGGCCCGCGCCGCTGAGCCCCTGGCTGAGTGTGCTGGGCTCGACGGGTTTGACGGCCTATTCGAGCTTGTACAAGATCGGGGTGCCCAGGCCGGGGGAGACCATCTTTGTGAGTTCCGCGGCCGGGGCCGTCGGTCTGTTCGTCGGCCAGATCGCCCGCATCGAGGGCCTCACCGTCATCGGCAGCGTTGGTGATGATGCCAAGTTGCGGTTCATCAGGGACAGCGGCTTTCACGACGGGTTCAACTACAAGAAGGAGAGGACCGCGGATGCACTGAAGCGCCTGGCTCCGCATGGCATTGATATCTACTATGATAATGTGGGCGGGGAGCAGCTGGAGGCGGCGCTGGAAGCCATGAAAGATTTCGGCAGGATCGGTAGGTACTGTCTTTCAGCGCGGTTTGTTGTGTGTTTGATCTAATTTCTGTGTTCTTGTTCATCTCCCCCTCCTTGACTTCTACGGTGGGTTGAGATGCTGAGTTGCTGACCTCCTGAAACGCTCGATCACTCAATCACTGGCTGCGATGCTGCGTTGCTAATTTCCTGTCTCATTGGCTGACTCGACGGACGGGCGTAGTTGTGTGCGGCATGATTTCGCAGTACAACAAGCCCGCGGCCGAGCAATATGCCGTCAAAGGACTCACGAATGTCCTCTCAAAACGGCTCAAGATCCAGGGGTTCGTCGTCACGGATCCGGAGTTTTTCAAGTACCGAGAGGAGAGGGACGAGAAGATGATCCAGGTAAGCCTTAGCCCGACCATTTGCGACGCGGAGAGAGCGCACCAATCCTGTCTTTATCCGTGCCTCTGTTTGTGCTGTGCTGATGTACCCCTCTCTTCCGCAGTGGCTCAAGGAAGGCAAGATGAAAAACATTGAACACGTTACTGAGGGATCGAGAACGCTGCCGACGCTTTTGTCGCCATGCTGGAAGGGACCAAAGCGTTTGGGAAGGCTTTGTTGAAAGTGGCAGATCCGGAATGATGCTTACACTGTGCGCCTCTCAGCCATGGACGCCATGTGGCGGAGAGTCTGGCGGTCAAGACATGACTGGGAAGAAAAAGAGCAACGTCCTAGATCAGGTGGGAACCCCCTTTCAAACTTCGATGGATGATGGCTTCACGACCGCTTGACACGCAACAAGCTATGACTTGCCATGGCCAATACCCCGGCTGGACGATCCTTGTGGGCAAAGTGGAAATGATAGATCCGCGCCGATGAGGTCAAGGAGGGTGCCTCCGAATTAAATATACCGCATTGAACCCCTCGTACCAATGTCCGCACCAGCCGCAGTCTTTGTCACACAAAGTCCAGTCCAAATTGTCCGAGAAAGAGTAGGGGGAAGGATCGTGACGCGACAGTGGGCCGGCATCACCACTATTGTGTGCCGATGGTGATCCCTCCTTTTGCTTCCCTCTTCCCCTTCTGCTTCCGAGGTTCTGGGACATACCCTTCCTTCACAAAAGTAACCGGCCGGTGGCGGTGCATCATCTGCCCCGTCGCCTTGCAACATGTAAGTGGAGCATCGTAAGCGAATGGCAATCTCTTACCTCGTGTATCTCGACAGCGCTTTCGGATGTGCCAGCTGTCAAGGACAAACTGTGTAAGCGAGCCACGACGCTGTCGCTGCTGTCGCTGCGGTCGAGTTCCATGTGTCTCACTGCAGGCTTAGCTTTTTCCCCTTGAGTTGGGAAGATAGCTGAGGCTTTGACCGATTTTTGTTCCTGGGCCTCCTGGCTTCTGGTTGTTTGAAGGTGGCTTTCGCCTTACCAGGTACATCGCTTACGCTAACCAGAGCGTTCACACGTCGGGGCAGTCGATATGGTCCTTTCCATTTCAATTTAGCATGCGGGTCATACTCGGGCTGCCTCGACTGTCGGAGCCTCTCTGGCCTGATTCACCTGGAGTTGCCAGGCTCCTAGCGACAGACCCTGTCGATGAACAGCGCGGTGTGGGCGCTTAACCATTCATCGTTGCACGGCTCTTTCTCAGATGCTAAAAGCGCTGAAGCTGAGGATGTGGCGCCGTAGTGGCGGTGGTGGCAGTGGCAGTGGCGCAGGCAGTACGGAGAAGCAAAACTCCACGAGGTGCGGGACCTGATTGTGCCCTGCGAGCCTGCTATCGCTGTCCCCAGCTACTTACTCGTACGTACATACGTAACATACATAGCTTCAACTGGCTGGTGACTACACTTGCCATCTGCTCAAGCCGCTGATCAGCCTTGCATCCTACCTTCGAGGACTGACTTTCTCAGCTTCTCTAGCCTTTTGTTGTCGTCCCCAAGAGCTACAATCTGCGGCAAATCATTGTACCGAGCTCAATTCGGAGGCAGACACCTATTCGGAGGACCTGGTGCTCGTCACTGCTACAACTCCGCTCCTACAGACTGCGTCGACCAGCCCGCCTTCTCGCGGTCGAGCTTCAAATACGAGAATATCCGGCTGGGAACCTCTACCGTGCACCGTCAGCAATCTTAGATCAACCGCCATCATGTCGTCCCAAGCCCTCTCGGACGACCAGGTAGGACTACACTCTGCCCATATCCCGAGAAGTCCTCTAACAATGGTCTACAGGTCGTCTCGGAGCTCAAAAAGATGACGGCCTTCATCCGTCAAGAAGCCCTGGAAAAGGCCCGCGAAATCCAACTCAAGGCCGACGAAGAATTCGCGATCGAAAAGTCCAAGCTCGTGCGCGAGGAAATCGCCGCCATAGATTCACAGTATGAGAAGAAATTCAAACAGGCGAGCATGAGCCAGCAAATCACGCGGTCGACCATGGCGAACAAGACGAGGATAAAGGTCCTGAGCGCAAGGCAGGAGCTGTTGGACAAGTTGTTCGAGGAGGCCAGGAAGAAGCTTGCCGACACGGGGAGTAAGAGCAAGAACTACGAAGAGGTGTTGAAGGGATTGATGCTCGAGGCGATGTATCTGTTGGCCGAGAAGAAGGTGAGTGTCAGGTGCCGGAAGGTGGACAAGGACAAGGTGCAGAGCGCGGCGAAGAAGGCGAGCGAGGAATACAAGAAGCACATGGGTAGTGAGAGCGAGGTCGTGGTGGATGAGAAGGACTGGTTACCCGAGGACTCGTACGTTCAACCCCTACACGAGGCAGGAAGCTACGGTACTGACATGCGTGGACAGAGCGGGAGGTGTCTTCGTCCTTGGCAGCAATGGCAAGATCGAATTGAACAACACTTTCGACGAGAGACTGCGCATGCTGGAGTCCGATGCCCTTCCTAGCATCAGACTCACGTTATTCGGCGACAACCAGAACAGGAAGTTCAAGGATTAGGAGCGGAGACTGAGATCGGCGTAAAGATGTCTGAGTTTCCCAGTCAAAGGAGGTCCGCTACCCTCTGCAGCGGCTGTATCGAACTGTCAAAGGCAACGGAAAGCAGTGATAGATTGTACTGACAGGAGCTCTATTTGCTAGAACGGATGGGTCTCTTCGGTGGACTGTTACCAATTCTTATATTCGTTGCAAGCGAATTGAACTCTTCGGTACAAAGGGTTACCAGCCGCTTCGGTAGGGGGTCTCTATTCATGAAACTCCAGAACCACAACACAAATGCCGCCGAACACCATGCTCAGAAAACAGACCAGACGACAAACATTCCCAGCAGACCTATCCACGCAGATCATGAGAACGTCCCATCAACGACGTTTAGTCGTCGAGATTCAACTGCCTGCGGATCTGCTTCTCCGTCTCCGATGTCCCACTGGATGACGTGGAACTCGCCAACTTCTCGTCGTGAGCAGCAAGCGTGCCGTCTTCATCATCTCGTCCCTTCACTGCCTGCCTCTCCTTGACCCGTCCAAAAAATCGCTTCATGAAATCCTTTCCCTGCTCCTCACTCCTAACCTCGGCCGCCTCCCTCATTTTCGTGCCGTCGAAGATATGGCGTTTCGGCCGCACCTCCGTCCTCACACCGAAGAGTAATCGAGTTTGCAAGGCTCTCAGATCGTCCTTGGCTTCTGTCCTCGTCATGTGTGAGGCCCCGGGATCGTTAATGGCAACTTCGATCGTTTTGACGGCGTCGGCGAGGCGATCGACGGATTTGTTGAAAGCGTGTTCATCAGCACGGCTGGTGAAGGAATCTGGGCGGCCGCCGTCACAGATGGCGACGTCCAAGAGGTGAGTGCGAGCACGCAGAGCGATATAATCAATTGTGCTGCCCCCTTTTCTTCGTTTCGTGTCGAAGTCAGGCGATGTGGAGATGTGATTGGTCAGAATGTCGAGGGAGACGCTGAGGGAGACCAAGGTCGACTTTTTGAGGACGGACAGGCCGAGAAGGAAGACTTGGCTGAGGAGGACGCGTACTTTGCATGCTAGTGGCGATGTCGGCGGGATGTGACATAGGAGGTGAGCCTGAAGGGTTGGATCTTTGAGATATTTACCCACGTCGGCTAGCAGACGCTCAGCGACATGGGCACGCATTTCGACATCGGGGAGAGAGAGAAGAAACCCCAGCAAATCCTCGACTTTTGCGCTGATAACGCCGTCGCTCATAATTTCTGCGTCAATGGCGAGCCGACAGAGCACAGAAGTCAATTTGCTTAGAGCCAGGAAATCCATGTCTCGGCAGATCGCTCGGAAGAGGTCCAACACTGCGAGCAGATATTTCGGATTCTGCCTGGCCGGTGCTCTGAGCAGTCGATGCCTAGGCTTGATCTCGACAGAGTCCTGAAGGCTGCTGTTATCGGCGCCCATTGTTCGAAAGATATTCTGGATGTCCTGGGCCGAGACGTGGTTTCTCGTCCACGTCGAGCTTGCACTCCGTAGACAATCGATGTATGCTTGTCTGACTTCATCTGACCGCTCGAGTAAGACGTTCTCAAAGGTCCAGTTTAGGACTTGGTCCTTAACGCCGCGGCGCGTCGCCAAGTCGGCCATGTAGCCGGACAGATATGCCCTTGACCTGGCCTCATTATCTTCTTTCCTCCATAGATCGTCGGGAATCGCATCTTCGGGGAAGGGGAGTTCAGAAGGCTCTTCATCGTGCCAGTCGTTAAACCCGTCCACCCCGAAGAACAGGAAGACTTGCTGCGAGGTCAGGGCTTCGGTGCGGTCAACGGCATCCATAAGTCTCGCAACCCCGTGCTCGCCATCTTCTGTCGTTGCAACAGCAGCCAAAAGTTTCTTGTCCACATCCGGAGCGTTAGCTGCTTCTTCTACCTTGATCGCCGCGTCTACCTCTGCTCTGGCTTTCCGCACATTATTCTCCACCTCCTCGTCCTCGAAATGGTCGTCCAAAAGGCTGGCCATGTTGAACGTGAAGGCCCTCTCTTTCGCGCGCAATTCCCGTATCTTGTCTTTGCCCACCAACGGCCCCTGCTTGCGAGAAGTTCCCAAAAATAGACTCAACGTCCTTACACGTTCTGCCTCGAGCGCAGCCTGATCATCATCATCAGGTGTGGACGACAATGAGGCAGTGTGGCCGGTCTTCTTCCCGATAAAGAAATCCTCCAGCGACTCGAGCGAGTCTGTATCGTCCTCATCCGAGTCAAGCACTTCTATGACTTCGCCATCCTTGAGTACTGCTTGCGCCGAACTTGGGAGGTCGGCGAACGAGAAAGACTTGGTTTGCGGTTGTTTCGGGGTCAGGTCGTTCTGACTCGGTGAGCTGAATATCGAGGCTTGTTTGTATATCGATGGTGGATCTACAGGAGTCTTTGCGTGGGAGGTTTTACTTCGGATGGAAAGCGAGGCTCTAGAACCAGGCGCCGAGAATGGTGATCGTGCAGAGGATCCTGGTGTCTTCATGCGACCGTTGTCAATCTTTTGTCTGTCCTTTGCCTTGGGCGTCCTTGTGTGCGCCTCATCTTTGCGTGAGGTCCCGGCCTCCTCTGACTCTTCGATCGACGGCGATGGTCTTTTTGCTGGAACAGTGCTTTTGAGGTAGGGCTTAAAGAAATCATGTATTGTCTTCTTGGGTTTGTTCGCCGGCTGCGAAGAAGACATGAGAGCCGCTAACTTGTCATGTCAGATTGAGAACGTGGGTATCTCCTTAGAAAGTTGGCGGCAAAGTCAAGTACAAATTGATGTTGTTAGGCTGAGGTCATCGGCGGGCGACAGGCGATTGAAACTCGTCTAATTAACGCGCTTTAACACTTGCCGATAACGCAACGCGTTCGCGATTGGAAGCCAATTAAAGGGCGCCTAACTAATGGGGCTAGCCCAGAAAACACCCTACCCATGCCACAGCCATATTCGCTATTAGCGGCCTATTCACTATAGAAACCACCGCAAGTGCTCGCATGGCTGTACGGAGTACGCATGGCTCAGAGGAGTGCGCGTATCTCTAAGCAGCAGCGTGTTCGAGGTTACAAAGGCTAGGTAAGCCCCGCTCCGCCATTCTTGTGGTGACCGCGATGTTCGAGGCAATATCATTGGCCGTCTCGTAGGAATGAGTAACACGACCATCTACTGCCACAAGCAGACCGCCCAGATTGCTAAAAGCTGCCGGTCCGAATCATCTCCTGCCGACTCACATCCTTCGATATTGAGGTCATCGCAGAATAGGACCGGCAGAGCCAGTTCTGTGAACGCAGACTCGAGTATGTGACAATGCCAACGACAACACACCCAAATCGCTTCTTGGAGCCCACACCAGCTGATACACCAGTACAGACCAGAGTTCATAGTATCGTCCTCCATAGGGGCTACTGCCCCTCTACACCGGACCGCTAACCGTTGACAGAAGTTACATACATAGAAACACAGACTCACCTGATTCTGCGCCGGGCTTCACCTTGTTCCGGATCACATGCGGTCAAGGGTCTTGTCGTGACGAGGACAAAGGAGAGCTCCGGTCCATCTTGGCAATGCACCTCAGGGGTCCAACCAGTCTTGCTTGCCTACCTGACAGCAATGCTTTCTGGGTATTGAGGTCTGTCCGATATCAAAGACGAACTGAGCATTCATCCCATAGGTCCAGCACAGCAGATACAGAATCGGGTTCGTTTTCTTTACCACCAAACAAGAAGCCCAAAGGAGCATCTTGAGAACAGCAGAATCTCAATGAGAGTGATAAGATCCTGCGTAGGACTGTGATGGAAATAGGTAGGGGTTTCAGGCGACAACTCAGCTGGAAATTGCTCTTGGATGGGTGCCGTGGCCGCTGCTGCAACGAATACACTCCCGCTCCACAAATGTGACGCATGTTTGAGTATAAATCACACAGGTGGTGTTTCGTCTGCAATAACCTGGTCTCGCGATTTGCAGCCCTTGGAGAACGTGTCGTTATAGGCGCTGTAAACTGTACACGACAACCACTTCGAGGGCTTAGACCCTTCCTACTTGCACGGATGGCATTCTGGATTGAGTGAGTGTTTCGGGCGAGATTGTCAAGCTCTCCAATGCCGACGGAAGCGCCCGGGAGATGTAAGCCGAATGTATCGTCACAGTCCCAATGGTAGCCTTTCTGAATTAAGCGGCTCGCCCTTTCACCGGAGGCATAGGAAACTTTCAAAGATTCTGTCGGTCTGCTCCTGAAGTGAGTGAAAGATATGTCGATCTGGACTGGAGATCATCAAGCTGTTCCGATATCCAGTGGAACAGCCTGCTACTCCATCCGTGCGAGGGAGCTAATTCAGCGACACATTTAGACTTGCTGCTTAACGATGATGACAACAGTCAATGGTGGGTTTGAAGGCGATAGTGAAAAGATTATTGTGCGTTCAAAGGTACGAGGAAGTAACAGGGGATGGACAGTCCGAGTGTCCTCCATATTGGAGAAAATTCTAACATGCTCAATAAGCGAAATGCAGTCCGTGTCGAATGCCCGGCCATAGTCAACCGTAGAGAGCACTACAGCGGATCATTGCGCACATATCTTGCATCACGTCCGACACGTTCTCCAGCTCTGCGCATTGAACATTTTAGCGATATCGTCCTGCAGAAACTGAAGAGACTTCTCGGCCACTTATTAATTACGACGCCATCGACTCATGGAAGCATTTCACAATCCCACCTTGTGCCAGTCATGCTAGCATAAGCACAACATACCTCGACCGTGCAAAAAATCCGCGGTCACAAAACGCCGCCAGTACATGACGGACAACCCAGCTAGGGGTGTTGTAGATTCGCTGTTATATCCTACTCCGAAAATTGCGAACACGCGACCATGTCAACCCTCAAATACCGGCACCTGGGCCGGGATTCAGCCCATCGACGTGCCCTCCTCCGTAACCTCGTCACCTCCCTCATCGCCAACGAATCCATTTCCACAACCTGGCCCAAAGCCAAAGAGGCGCAACGGCTGGCCGAAAAACTCATCACACTAGGCAAGAAAAACACCGGCGCGGCCCGCGAACGCGCGAAGACAATATTCTTCGAGCCCGAACGGGAAGGACATATGGATAAATTGTTTGGCGAACTCAGAGAACGATATGCCGATCGGCCGGGAGGCTATACCAGAGTACTGCGGCAGGAAGCGATAAGGGACGATGCTGGGCCCAGTGCAATTTTGAGTCTGGTCGATGGACCCCGGGATATGCGGTTCAGTATGACTGCGAAGGCGATTGTGAGGCAGCGGAAGGAGAATCTGGATTTGAATGAGATGATGCTGGCGAATATGCGGAAGGTCACGAGGTTCCGAATTAATGGCGAGCAAGCTCTGGATGAGGAGGTCCAACGGCTGGAGAGGGATTTGAAGGAGCGGGAGGAGAAGGAGAAGATTGATTTCGAAGAGGACGGCACGATGTATGAGTGGGCGAGGGGTGAAAAGTCCCGTCCTAGCGGGATCAAGAGCAAGGAGAAGAAAGGACCAGGTCGTTTAAGGAGACAGAGAGTCGGTGAGGACAAGGAGGTGCCCTCATGAGAGTTCGGGCGAAGATAGGAGTGGCACACCTGTACCATCAAATCTTGGAGGCGGATCTGGGCCTTAGTACTGCATAGCGCTGAAGCTTGCCGGACAGACAAAATTCCTGTTGTACAGTAGATTTCAGGATTGTAAAAATGGAATCACATTTCGAACATGCGCGGTTCAACTCTTGTGCGGATCTGTTGGGTATCGTGGTCTACATCTCGTACATATGTCTGTCGTCGCGAGGAAACATGCATCAGCTCCCAACTCAGGGGCTGCACCGCAAGCTGAGACCGCTTTCATAGGTCACAGCTCCACGTCTTCTTCATCATATTGATCCCTTACGACCCTGTAGAGGTAACACGTGCTCACGACAGCAGGGACTTGGTTGGTGACAAACAGGTCAATATCTGCAGCCTCGACAAAGTCGTATAGGGCATTTCTGACACTGGTGTCTAGTCCTCTTCGCAGTTCACCATCTTGGAATGGCACCACTCTTCCAGCATCGCCGTACTCGATTAGTTGAAAAGGGTCGTAAGGATATGCCGGAGACAATTTATACGTGGGGGCCAGCACAATGACGGGCTTTCGATAAAACTTGGCCGCTTTCACGACAGCCTTGCTTCCGGCCGCAGCGACTATCGATCCATCCTCCAACACGGCGTGGGCATCCACTACCACTTTGCTTGCGCGAGACATGGCAGCGAATATGGCCGAGTCTGGTATCATGACCACAGTGATACCAGCGGAGGTTAAAGTCTTGGAGAATGTGTCATTCGGCAGGTTATCTTCGTCCTCTGCAATCACATCCTGATTGCCCGTGAGCAAGGCATGTGTCTGCTGGTGATTGTTGGGGTATGCTTCGGCATGAATGACCGTAAACTTCCGCTTCGACGCGGCTCTGAGCAAGAATCTTTGCACGGTCAGGGATGAAGAATAGGTGAAGATGCTTTCTTGAGGGTGGATTTGATCGAGAGCAGCGGCCGAGATTTCATCATCAGCGCCGTTGATTTCGTCGATGATTTCCTTGATGCCATGTATGACTTCAGGTCGGAGATTTGGTAGGAGACCTGAGGCTCCTAGCTGGGGCGTACCAGTACCGCTGCGGTTTGAGGGGGAGTCGACACCGCCCAGATGTCTCATGGTCGGGTGGGCGTTGATGCTGAACATGGAAGTCACTGGGCGGGCGGCGGTCTCCGCGGCACCAGTACGCGAGGTTAACAGAGGAGGTCGAGAGCTGCCCGGCCCACGCTGAGGTGATGGACTGGAAGACGACAGACCGTCCGGCAGGGTATGGAATACGGAGGATCTCAGGTGCTGGGGAGTTTCCGAGGGTGTTTCGAGTGGACTATCGTCGGCGACGGAGGCTCCGTCATCTCCCCCTCTCTGGCCGGCAGCGTCTTCTTCGTCTTCCTCTCGTATTATGCTCAGCACCCGCCGGACGATGTTGCCCACGGCTGGCTCATGCGGGGCGGCTTCGATCAACTGCTTGCCCACCTCCTTGACTCTTTGTATCAGTCTCTCCGAGTCGGCTTGCTTGGTCACTTCGACTGTCCGGAGTAGAAGAAGGGTGGTGACTACGGCGCATCGTTTTGACCCTTTGAGCTGCCGTCGTTTAAGCAGTCTGGACGCTCATCAGCAGGAATAGTGGAGGAAGGTAGATTCAGGACTTACGAAACTAGGTATGCTGTAGCGGATTCCAGGGACTCTGTAGATAGGACTTTCTGAAAGGTAGCAAAGCCCGGCGTCGAGGGGGCTGTGGTTGGCGCCATGCCGGCAGCAGCGCTTCAGCACCGCAGCAGTGCAAATTGACGGTACGTCAGTCACCAGCGGATGTTGGTTGGTGTGACTCTTGTGGTTGAGAGGTCTGTGGTGCAGAGCTGTGGATGTCCAACAGTCTCAAGCAGTTTCTCTTGTTCTCCGACCGAGCATGTAGGGTTCTATCGTCCACTTGCCGTGTCCTTTGGCCGGCAGTCTGCAGAATGTGTGTGTCTGTGTGCGTGTTCATAGTTTTGTGACTCGCATGCTCCAAAATCGAGACGCGGAAGTGGGACCGCCGTTCACCCATCCCGCATCCCATTCACACCCGAGTCTCGATCCGATCAGCTGCACCAGCCAGCCACCTATTCACTTCTACTCTTTCACTTCTCGTCTTGCTCTTTCAGCGCCTAGCTGGGCCTGACCTTGTCGACTTGGCTCTTGCCATCATTCTTTTGTGCCAGCGATAGGCGCTGAGATGATCTGGCAGTGACAGCGAAGCCTCTCCCAAACTATGTGAGCACATCGTGTCATCGCTTTGCTTCCTATCGCCCACTCTCGATCGTCGCAAACCATATATGCGAGCACCCTAGTCATACAGAAGACCGCCGTTGCGACAACTGAATGCGCTGGTTATCAGCGACCTGCTTGTGCCCCCCTTCTGGTACGGGAGATGAACTCCCTCAACCTCATATCCTCCCGAGTCATCGGACAGTCAACCTCACCTTCCCGTCCTCGCTCCAGGTCACAGGGAGACCATCTGAAGCAAGATGGCACAGACGATGAATTCAGAGGGAGGTCATACAGCGCCGAGCTCACCGCACAGCTTCAGAAGGATTCCAGCCCTCTCTTTTCGGAGAAACTATCTGCGGAATCGGCAGCTGGGGAGGAGGATGAGAAACAACCTCTGCTAGCAGACACGCCCGCTACTCCATCAGGCTGGCCAACCTGGGTCAAGAGACTCGCGGAAGCTATCACTGCCGTTCTGGCCGCAATCGGTGCTCCTGTCGTCTATGTTGCCAAGTATTTCCGGGATCCGAACGGCATGTTCACCATCGTCCCAAGATGGGTACGTCCCGAAAGAGGGCCGAGTGGTAGTAGTGCACATGGCGGCGGTCTGACCAGCGCTCAGCAGGAAAGCACATGGGTTTCCAAGAAGCCTCAACGGCCCACGAACCGCGTTCTGCAGGAGACAAAGCTGAGGCACTCGTACTCGAGCGACTCACTGGAGACTACCACATCCGATTCAGATGCGGAGCAACGGAGGGCTGAGCAGACCAAGCAGAAGTCTAAGCGCGACAAAGCAACGCGTGAGGACTCCGAGACCCGGAGATCCTCTATCAGGATTAAGGAGCAAAATGACCCTGCCTTCAAGAGGCGGAAGCAGAAGAAGGGCACCAGCCCTCTGGCTGATTCCACTCCTCTAACTGTGGACAACATCAAGTCGCCAAGGTCACCATCCCCTTCGTTGAAAATGACAAGATATCCCCACGCTCCTCAACCACCACGACCCCTCATCCCTCGAAGACAACCCTCATATGCCAATGCCATCCCCCGAGTCCCTACCCGGTATGGACCTCCTTTACAGCAGAAGACGCTGATTCTGGATCTTGATGAGACCTTGATCCATTCGCTAGCTAAAGGCGGTCGCATGTCCTCAGGACACATGGTCGAGGTCAAGTTGAACGCTCCTGTGGCGCTATCGGCGCCTCAACCAGGACAAGCAGCACCGGTGCTTGGGCCTCAGCACCCTATCTTGTATTACGTGCACAAGCGGCCTCACTGTGACGAGTTTCTCCGCAAGGTAGCCAAATGGTACAAACTAGTCGTCTTCACGGCTTCGGTGCAAGAGTACGCAGACCCTGTCATCGACTGGCTCGAGCAAGAGCGGAAGTATTTTGCAGGCAGGTACTACCGGCAGCATTGCACGTTCCGCAACGGCGCGTACATCAAAGATCTTAGCAGCATAGAGCCGGATTTGAGCAAGGCCATCATTCTGGACAACAGTCCCGTCAGTTACATTTTCCATGAAGGTAAGCACATCTGGCCGTCATTTGCAAGATCGAAACTGATGTGGATGGGATCAGACAACGCAATCCCGATTGAAGGATGGATCAATGACCCTACGGATAACGATTTGCTTCACTTGATACCCATGTTAGAGGCCTTACAGTACGTAACTGATGTGCGGGCGCTGCTGGCGCTCCGGAGAGGAGAGGCAGAGACAACCTCGTAGACTTTCACGCGTGTCTTGTTGGGGTGGAATATGCATCGGCTGAAGATGACCTTGTTTGATCTCTTGTACAAAAGAAGCCTCACCCACGCATGTCCATCTCCGTACGTGGTCCATTGTGCCGGTGATGAAAATGCGAGGAACTTGTGTGTGATATCGATCGAAGAGCGGAAGGTGCTGCGGCACACTGACCTCACTGACCAATCCCAAGCAGGTCAGTGGACGGAATCAGCACAACCGACTTCCGGCGGGTACGTACCTCACCCAACGGTGAGCGCGATGGCACACGTTGATGATTACCGATTCGCTCATCGTAGGGCGCCCTGCGGTCCGTGTGCCGCAACGGGCACGAACTGGGTCTCTTTCGCAGTCCTCCGTCCACAGTAGTGTCCGTCCTGGTGATGATGAGCGCAGGTCGAGTCACATTTCCCGCACCATGCTCCAGGCTCCAATGCTCCAATGCTCCAAAAAGTGAACCCTTCGTTCACTTCTTTTTTTGTATCATTATCTTCTATTATTGCCGTTTTGCTTTCATGCCAGATACCAAGTCCTGTTCGTGCCTTTTCGTCCGTTGCTCTCGGTTTCTGTCATTACGGCTCCAGTGTTATTCCTGTCAGCATTTCATTTCCGTCAGCCTGCACAGCCGTTGATGCCCTTCTTCAAGTACTAGTTCCGGGCACTCACTCTTCTCTTTCTTTGGGACCAAGGCTTCAACCGAGTGCGGGGGGATGGCGTATACTGGACCATGTCGATGAGCAATACTTCCCCTCCAGATGGCTCTGAACCAGACAGGCCTTCTTCGAGCGACAGCACCGTCGTGGCTTCTCCATCTAGCTGGAAGGAATCGCCGACGCCGGTCGAGGAATCGGGAAAGCCGAATGTCAAGCACCCTTACCTCGACGTCCCTTCCTTTCGTCCTTCCATTGACAGCACATATTCAGCATTCACCGAACTGTCGGTCTCGTCGAACGAACTACCTAGCCAACACCCTCTGGTGCAAGGTATATCCCACGATGTCGCTATCTCACGCCAGAATCACCGGCCTACGGCATCCCGCTTCCGGGCGGCGTGGGACTCGTTCATCGAGACGAACTACGGTGCAATTCTAGTCTTAGCTTCACAGGGCTTTGGCACCGGAATGAATATCAGTACTCGACTGCTCGAAACACCGGGTCCTCATGGCGAACCAATGCACCCGTTTCAGATCCTCTTCGTTCGACAATCCATTACCGCGATCATCTGCACAGTCTATGGCATGTCCACCAAGAGAATACCCGACTTTCCGTGGGGCCAACGCGGCATCCGCTGGCTCCTTGTCCTCAGAGGCGTCACGGGCTTCCTCGGAGTGTTCGGCCTGTATTTCAGTCTGCTGTATCTGCCGCTCAGTGAGGCGACAGTGCTGGGTTTCCTGACTCCGATCCTGACCTGCTATCTCTGCAGCTTTATCATCCCTGGTGAGACCTTCACCGGACAGCAGCAATTGGCGGGTTTCGTCAGTCTCTTCGGTGTCTTCTTCATTGCTCGACCAGCGTCTCTATTTTCGCAATCTGCCTCGTCAACACAGCCTTCAGACGCAACAATGTCTCCTCCCTCAAACTCGACCGTGGGTGCAGACGGCTCTCAACACATTACTTCAGAGCAGCACCTGGCGGCCGTCGGGCTTGCAATGCTTGGCGTCGTTGGCGGCACTGGCGCCCTGACATCAATCCGTGTGATAGGGGAACGAGTCCATGCGTTCATCAGCATTAATTACTTCAGCTGGTGGTGCAGTATTGTTTCGCTCTCGTGCCTGGTTATCTTCAAAGATGTCAAGTTCCGGCTACCGGGAAACGGTACTGAGTGGGGCCTACTCGCTATGCTCGGCTGTTGTGGTTTCGTCATGCAATTTTTACTCACGGCTGGCCTGGCATACGGTGGCCGTGGTGACGACGCAGCCCAAAAGCAACCGGGCCATAGGATTGGGGATCTCGAAGGCGACGGGCCTCCTCATCTCGGACGTAGCGGTCGGAGGACACCGAAACCGAGAGCATCAGGCACTCGGGCCACGGCCATGTGCTACACGCAGATGCTCTTCGCGCTGGCTGCTGACAAGTTCATTTTCGGCATCAGCCCGGACACGATGAGCTGGATAGGTAGCGTACTGATCCTCGCTGGCGCCGTGTGGGTAGCTGCCGCGAGGGACACGGCTGCGAAGCATAAGAAGGACCAGGCTGGCAATGGTAGCGAGAGCCACCATTCGGCTTTTGGAATGTTAAGAAGAAAAGAAACTTCAGGGCCCGAGGCTAGTCATGAAGAGGCTGTAGGATTGATGAACAGTCACAACGATGGAAACGATATTTATGACGAACACGACAATGATGCGGCCGAAGTTGGACGACGAGATGACCGACACAGAAAAGGAGTTGAGGGCGTGGAGATGCATGAACTACGACCAACAACGAGCAGACTGAGCTGATTACGTCTCAAGCTATCTGCCGACAGCGCTCGGAAAATATGGCGTGCTTATCTCGAAATCAGCTATGGATAGGTATACAGGCGCCGTGTGGCAGAGGGGGACAGGAGCAAAGCACGAGTTCAGGCATGGGATCCGCCCAGGGCAGAGTACGCAGCACAGTTTGGCGCAGGATACTTATACCTATACCTATCTCAGAGGGTACTAGATTTACAGTACATTTCATGTAGTTAGAGCCACGAACTGTTGGCATGGGAGCCATGCTCAATGTCACCCAATGTGGAATTTTCAATTTGAAGCACCGCCATCTCTGTGCCATCTTCGTCCAAAGTGGCAAAACATCAGCACTGCGGCCAGAGTCATGCGTGGCGCGTCGAGTGTAAGAGAGAAAAGGACCGTCCCATACGCGGCACAGAAACGAACAGCTTTTCCGCAGCTGTAAGTACCCGCACATGCTGCATGCCAACCAATCCTCCCGAGCCGCGAAGGACTCAGCCGTCAGTCTGGTGCTATAGGCAGATGTGCACACGCATCCGGAGACTGGTGAAAATGCCGCAATGAATTGCTTCCACGGTACGTCTGCCATCCTAAGGGGTGACGTGGGAGTGACTTTGCCGCCCATCCTGTCGGCAAGCCAACTCGGGTCAACCTACCTTACTGTCGCGCATCCTTGAAGATGCCTGGGGACGGGGGGATGAGAGAGTCGGAGCGGGAATGCATAGTAACTCTGGGTCAATACTGCGGCTTTGGAGGGTGACGGCTTTCGTGCCATCCTTTGGCTCTTGCTGGACTGTAGCGTAAAGCATAGTTACCTTAGTGATCGAGTTTGTTCAAAGTGATGTTGACGGGTGCTCCAATGCTGCGCCGTACTCACCTCCTCCGGTGAAGCACAAATCGCTCGTACGCCGGTCCAGCGGAGCTCAACGTCCATGAATGAAGCTCCTGCGTCCCTCTGGGTAAAAGTCAAGATTTGAACGGCTTTCTCATTTTTATTCCTAAGAGACCCTCTGTGTCAGATTCGAACTCCTCCTAAAACCCCTCGCTCTCGTCTGTCACCTATCTAAGAGACTCTTCACGCAGAATTTCGTACGAATCGTCCGTTGACTTTCAATAAAACCAATTCTCGACTGGGTCAAGCTAGCTCGAACGGCGAGTTGGTTGCAGAGGACCACAACCCACGTCGAGCCCGTGAAGCTTTGCAGTCGCCCACAATGGGCTTTACAACCGGCTTCGTACGTCTGTCCCCTGCCTTCCTACCAGTCAAGCTGATACGGTACGTGAGGCTAACGATCTGTAGCTCGGCGGCGCAACTCTGACGTACTCGCTCCTCTACCTCGGTCTGTACGTCCACCGCGCAAACCGCAACGTCCAACGCACGCTGTTATCCCAACAATCTGCCCTCCTCAACAGCGTGGTCGAGCCTTTACCGCCGCTCCCTGACCCGCCAGCATATGAAGTCCGTCGCGCCGGACTAGCCGAACAATTAAAAGATCGATGGAATCGCGAGGTCGAGAAGCTGGTCAGGAACGTGCAACAGACGGACTGGACCGCCGCCAGAGAAGATGCGGAGCAGAGACTAGCGAGCCTCTGGCGGACCGTGAGGCAGAGTGAGACGGGGCGGGAGGTCGAAGGGAAGGCAAAGGAGCTGGGAGAACAGGTTCGGACGGGCGTCAAGGACACGGTCGCGGACGGACGGGAGAAACTCAGGGAGACGGTCGACTCGGGGAAGGAGAGAGTGAAGGAGGCGGTAGACCTCGGGGGACAAAAGGTGAAAGACGTGGTGGGTGCCGGGCGTGAGAAGCTGGAAGATCTCGGAAGAGCAGGAGAGGAGAAGGTGGAAGAGAAGACGACGGGACGACCGAAGAGACTGCTCGAAATTGGTTGAACTACCATCTCTCCGCCAGGTACTTTGCACACGAAGAGAGCTCCCCAACCCCTCGTCTTCACCACGCTCGAAGCTCCAGTCCATCACTCTGGAAACAAATTCCCGCCGCTGCCATTAGGAACAGCTTCACGGTCCAGTCTCATTTCTCAGAGAAGGTCCCCAACGTCGTGGCATCGACTGGGGTCTCTCTCTAGACGCAGCCATCCCAGCTTCCGCGGCATAGAAGCAACGCCAGGGAGGTTGCTCTCGTCATTCAGGTTGAGGATTGAAGTCCGGCTCTCTGGGTGGGATCCGCTCCCAGCGTCGACGGTTACCTACGACGGTCCTCTATCCACAGTTTTCTCCTGCTACATGACCTTGGAAGCCTATCAGCGACGTCCTCGCGCTGACACGGTTGAGCTTTGTGGGCCTGCTCGGTGCCTGTGACTGTTGTTCCCGCTCCGCATGGCCGTGAGACAATTCAAGGTTTGTCGGGAGTGCTACAGAGACGAGCGTCCTAAATCGTCAGAATACAATGGACGGCTTCGACAAAGACGTAACAGAGAGACGCTCGGCACGTGGAGATGCTGTGCAGGCAAAAGGGCTGCCAAACTTGCATGTGATAGTCTATTGTTGCAAAGATTTCAACGTCGGTTCCCCCCCTTTTTGATTCTGGGGGAAATAGCTTTTGACGGTCTGCGCTCACTGGAGCGTCTGTTTGTGAGACAAGATGAATTGCCCGCACATATCGTTCTTGGATTTGCCCTCTCTATCTATCTCGTAGTCGCCGTCTCGAATGTGAAAATTGCAGGCGGAAAGCGCCGAAAACACCATGCTCCGCGTGTCCCTCTGCCGTATCATTTCCCCGTCCAGTCGTGAAATCAATCTCGTGGCAACTTGTGGAAAGCTATATTTTTGGGTAGCGTACTTCGTCATCGTCAATGGTTCATCCTCCAGCATTTCATGCCGAGCCAAAGCCACCCCCTTTAAGAATCTCAGGGAGCAGTCGACGTCGACGTCGGCGTCCCCGTGGCCGTGGCCATGGCCGCCTCATTCGCCCTCTGTAGACTCTTCTCCAGATCCTTGACGCGGGCCCTCAATGCCTCATTCTCCCTCTTCACCGCATCGAGCTCCGCTCGCTGTAATGCTGCTTCTTCGTATCTCGCTTGCGCCAGGGCCGCATTCGAGCTGGGACTCCTCGTCATGGCAGCATGTGGCGGCGCCGCCGCTGAGGAGGCATCCACGTTGGAGGAGGACACCGAGCTGCGATGCGGGTACGCGTACGTCGTCCCCTGCGACAGGTGCGGCGAGGACGTTATGGAGCCGGAGCGGAAGCCCGACGCCGAGATCGAGTTTTGCCTGCTCACGTCGGGCCGGGACATTTCCATGCTGGGTCGGGCACTCGCCTGCACGGACTGGTCTCGCGGTGCGGCCACGCCGGAGACGCTCGTGTTCGCGGCCGCATTAACCAGGCTTTCTCGGATCGAGCGTGCGGAGCGGGTCGAGAGGTTCGACGAGGAGCGGTGGCGCCGGGTCGTCGTCGGGATGACGGCGTTGCCGCTGGTGTTTGTGCCGTAGGGGTCGGCGGAAAAGAAATGGTCGGAAGTCGAGGATGTAGTGGACGCGACCGAGGCGGTTTGAGCTCGGAGGGCCGAGAGTTCGCGCGTCAGGCGATTCACCTGGGGGCAGATCGCGAGAGAGGGTCAGTTGTCAAGCGGCTTCCGTTTCTCGCAGAAATGTCTCGTCAACGCCCCAGGCAGGAGGGAGGGCTCTCACAATGCTCTCTTGCTCCTTTTCCAGCTCCAGGTGTAGTTCGGCTGCTGTCAGAGGTCTGGGATGACGGATGGGCCCTGTTTCGCGCGATCTTGACTCAGTATCTCGCACTCCTGCGATCCCAAACATCGGCTCGACTGACCTGGCCCGATCCCGACCCCGGTATTGTCCATCATGGCGGCCTGTGTCGGTCGAGGGGAGCTCGGCAGGCTGGTATTCTGGGGTAGAGGGGGAGGAAGCATCTGTGTTGACGTCCTTCTTGAGGCTGTCAATGACGGCGGTCGAGGTGCGGCAGGTGTGGGCGCCTGCGGACTGGACACACCCTGCGGTGACCTGGGTACGGAGTTTATATCTGGCATTCTGGAGTCTCGTGCTCGAGATGTACAAGCACTCGTCGAAGCCGTATATGAACAGGACTTGTCAGCTGCCTTGCTCAAAATCGAGATAGTAGACGGTGAAGCAGGAGTGGAAGGGCACTGTCAAGTTTAGCTTGAAGTGACAGCCCCCCAAGCACACACGAAGGTTCAAACACAAGTTCAACTCTCAGTAGTATTTGCCTACGACAAGCGAAATGAATCCATCAAAGGGGCTCGGCTTCCGTCCAGCAGTCAACACGTCAAGGATTGGATGCGGCCTCGCAAGCCAACACAGCAAATGCTCCTTTGAGCATTCAAGTGAAACAGGTAGTCGCGACGCGCCTTGAGCCAATCATCTTCTATGAGGCCAGGCTCAAACAGAGGCCGTCGGAGTTCGGTGCCTGAAAACAGAACATTAGGATTGGGTGTACTGTGTGAATGAGCATGGAAGCGTTCTTGGACATCCGTCAAAATCTATAGACCTATTTCGAACTCGCACGTCGCTTTCAACCTGCTGCCGCCGCCAGCGAATGAGCCGTTCCAGGAGCACTGCTCCCTTAGGCACTTTGGCACGACCGATCCCGTAGTTGACCGTGTCTTTCAGAGACCGGTTGATGTGGTCGTCCAGTACCTTCCGTAAGTGCCGTAACATGCGCCGCCCTCTATCTTAAGCACCGTGAAACCAGTAATGAAGCCATATGGGCATAGCTTGATCCGACTGCCACCAGACACTTGAAGCCCTGCGATCAGCATATCCGCTAGCCAACGGTTAACCCTATCCCTTGGGATTCCAGATCTTGGGGAGACCCTGTTCATAGGTGTGACACCGTTGCAGATGCTTCGACAACAGGCTGTGCTTTTGTCTCTGCCGTACCTAAGTTATCCTGCTGCTTCGAATCAGCATTTGAGGACGCAGCGCGACTCAAATCATCAACGCTCGAATCCTCATCCGTCCTGAAGGGATTCTCGTCTTCAGAGAACTTCCGGGTCTTGGGTGATTGATCGCGTGTAGCATTCTCAACGTGAGCACTGTCGTTATCTTTCTCGTCCTCCCCGATCATAGCGGCAAGACTTCTGAAATTAAACATGGGCTCCAGGCTCCCCGGCGGTGGCGTTCCTGTACCCGGAAATGTTGCCGCAGGGCCCGCTTCAACGAATGAGGACGATGTTGATGAAGCATTCGACATCTGCCGCAGATGGGACCGCCTGAAAGGTTCGGCCGCCGTAGGTATCGGAATAGAGCTGGCGACAGACTCCTGGCTGGCGGTCCCAGAAAGCGACAAGGCCGGGACGTAGAATGGCCGCGGAGGCTCGTCCTCGGGTTTTGCTCCGTCAACGGGCGGCGTCTCGCTGCGTTCGACCCCCTTGCCTTTGCTAGTTGTGGAATCATCATCCTGGCCCAAGGAAAGGTTGCTTTGTGACCTTTCCATCTGGCTGCTCGATGCATCCCCATTACTACCATTAGAGTTCACGGTGAAAAGACTGTTCTTGCGAGCTGCTTTCTCGGCCTTCTTGGTCTCTTTGTCTTTCTTCTTCGCCGCCTTCTTGGCGTCTTTTTCTTCTTTCTTTCGACGCTCCTCTTCAGAGGCAAGACTCAACCTTATGGCTTCCATCATCATCATATCTTCTAGGTCATCCATTCGACTTCGCCGAGAGCTACTGCCTCGTGGAGGCGGCAGGAACGCGCTAGCCCGGGTCTCACTGGCAGCTTCTTGCTGGCGCTGTGCATGTCTTTCTGCCAGCATAGCAAGCGCGCTCATACTTGCGCTGGGACCGTTCTCACCATTTTCCAAAGTCGGCCGCCTTAGCACGCCACGGCGACTAAAGGCGGCAAAGGCTCGAGGATCAGCGGCTTGACCGTTCATCAGGTAGGCTGCTGTATGCAAAGCCGTAGCTGCGGCGGACCGTCGAGCAGCGTGTGCGCGAGCGGCAGCCAGCTTGTTCGCCCAGTCAGGACGAATTTTGTCCGTCGTAATGACTTCTGGAGCATTTGCAGACAAAGACGTTCCCCGTCTGCGGCCAGGCCCAGGCGACAAGTTCCCCGAAGAGAATGAGGTTTGAGACGACATGGCCGACGTGACTTGGTATGGCTGAGATCCGAGTCCATAAGCAAGCCCCCTGCGGAAAGGAGGCGGTGTGTAGGTAATACCGAAATCGGGAGTCTTGCAATAGGGGCAAGTGGCGATTTCAGAGACAAGTAGACCGTCCGCTTGCGCTTCGCGCTCCGCTTCCGACACGGGCGGCGCATTCGGATCTGGTTGCTCGTGTTCCGGTGGATGAGGATCAGGTCGCTTGATCTGCACAAAGCATTCCGAACAAATCGGCTGTTCGCAGCATCTAGTCGTGTTGAGATATGGAGGATAGTATAGGAAGCAAATCGGGCATTCCGATGCGTCCTTGTATAGGTAGACCTCGATGGGCTGGCCGTTGACGAATGGATCGTGCGGCAGTTGGAGTTCTCTAGGGGTCATATTCGTGTGAGAATTACCTCGTGATGAAGTCGCTAAGGATGCCAATGTTTTTGCACGAGCCCTGAACGTGGTGCCACCTGGTGAGCCAGATAATGGAGGTGAGCCGGGAGACGGAAGTGGGAGTGAGTGGAGAGTAGGAGACAACGGGCCAGAACTATCTGACTGAAAGGACTGCGACCTGCCCCCAATTGGCACTGTAAGGCTCTTCAGGGCGGATTCTTTATTCCAATCCTTGGTGACATTTTTGGCAAGTTGGTATTCGAGCTCGGGAGGCACTTCGTCGGCTGGAGGAATGGCCATTCCTCGAGCGGCAGCCATCAACTGATGCTCGGCCCATGACTCCGAGTAATCGTTGAGTCCTCTCCAGAACGGAGCCAGGCGTCGCTCAATCTAGATGGTATCAGCAATCGCTCACCTCCCCAGTAGGTACGTGCTTACCATCAGCTGCCGGACGACTGCCTTGTTGAAGTCCTCTGCACCGACATAGACGCCTTGAGTGACGAGATATCCGCCGTCCACATGCTCTTCTTTCATACTGCGCTCACGCTCCTTGAGTCTGGCTGCTCTCTCCCTTTCTGCTTTTCTGGCCTCCCTTTCCACCTTTGTCTCGCGACGCTGTTCAAGCGAGGTCGCATCTTGATCACTGGTTCCGCCGATGCCGAGGAAAGAAAAGTCAGGTCGGCTGGATCTCCGCTGTCGAGACGGATGTCCGGGGCGCAGGGAAGTCTCTGATCCGTTCGGTTGCCCATCTGGCCGTGTGGATGGGCTTGCACTGTCAGTGACCCGAGGGCCGGAGGAGCCGTGGCCACGTGCTTCTTTGGTCTGAGAGTTGCCCATGATGGATCGATGTCTGGATCGATGGACAACCTCGTGCTGTTAAGATACACCAGTACTGCTTACTCGTTGCCACATTTTAGGCCTCGTCTGCAATTCCGGGGGAGGTTCTGAATCCTCTGTTGCATGCGGAAGTTGATCCAGCAGCTTTCCGGTGAGCTACAATACGATCGATATACGGGCCGGATAGAGCGGAGCGATCAGCGGGAGAGGGAGTGGCAAGGAGGATGCTGAGAGTCGATGAGAAATAGCTCGTGAGGAGCAATGAGGGTGATGTAAAAATGGGTGTGGAATGATGCGTGATCTCACACAGATGTGATATGTTGTGTCCACGCACGCAGTAAGATATTGTAGTAGTTGATGCAGCAGCGGATGGACAAGAGACAGGCCTGCCAAGTTCCTGGCACAGTGGCTCGACGTCAAGCCTTATTGTGCCTTGCTGTGCTGCACCTGATGCAGGGTGCTTAGAAGAGGGACGGTTGAGGATGATGTTCGGCAATGCGTAATGAGCACGGAGGGGAATCTGAGAGGCGCCATCCGGGCTCAAATGATTACGATACGGAGGGTTGCCCGGTGGCCCAGCCGGCACTGTGGCTGAAGGCCCCGCTTCCCCCTCCCGTCAAGCTTTAGTTAAAGGTTCTCGTGTGCCTAAACCACCCGAGTTTGGCATGCCTTAGGCGTGCAAATTGAATCTCCAATATTGGCCCCAACCTCGTCAAGCGTGCAACGCAGCCGCCAGACATTCCAGCGCTTGCTCTTGTGCCATCTTTGAAGGCGCGTGCTGTCAGATATGCTCTCGCCATGGTCTCAGATCTGATGCGACTCCATATAACACCTTTCAGCCCCGACCTCTCGAAAGTTGTTGTGGGGCCACATCTGCTGGACGTGGTCTCCAGCATCTCCTACCATAGCATCCAGACCTTTCCCGAGAACAACTACGGGTATATTGAACTCCCTAGGATGGAAGGTGAGAAGCTAAAGAAAAAGCTTCATGGAGCAATCCTGAAAGGGAAGAAGATAAAGATTGAAGAAGCGCGGCCGAAGAAGCGAAGGCGCATCGAAGAATCCGAAGAAGAGACGGCAAGAGAGGAACCGAAGGGTACTGCCCCGGTGAAGGCGACGAAGGCGAAGAAGTCGAAACAGGAACACAATGTCGTTGCAGGACATGAGTTGCCGGCAGGCCGCAAAGTTAAGCGTGGATGGACGGAGGCACGGTCTACTAGGTCAAGCAAGAAGGACAAGCCGAAAACTCAATCATCGACCTCAAAATATACAGACAAGGACGAACTTCTATTTCGCACAAGATTGCCCGTCAACAAATCTGATCTGGGAACGAAGAAGAAAGAAAAGGGCAGGCCAAAAGGGCAGAAGAATGGAGACCACACAGTACACGAGTTCGAGAAGTCAACCCTACAACCTTCGTTCCTCAAACAAGAGGTAGGCTTGGGCATCAAGGGTAACCTGCAGTATGTTGAGGGCCAAGGATGGCTAGATGAGTCCGGCCAAGTGGTTGAGACCGAGAAGCCGGGCACGGCTAAGCTGCGTGAGATAGCCGAACCACGGCCTCGTTCGCTGCGCACACTTGCGAAAACATCGGATCAATCCTCAGCGACATCCTCGTCTTCATCAGACGAAGACGAGTCTCATGAAGCGGAAGAGATTGCCGAGCCTGCTGGGGTCGATTCCCACGATGAGACAAGTAGTTCAGGCTCCTCTTCGGCTTCAGAATCAGAAGAAACACACGAGAGCACTTCACCGCGGCCAGCATCTGACTTCGCAGAGACGAACGAGGGGCCAGAAGTGCATCCTCTGGAAGCACTCTTCAAGAAACCCAAAAATCCCGCTTCGCAGGATGTTGCAAAGCCATCGTTAGAGATTTCGACGTCATTCTCTTTCTTCGATGCCGAGAATGCTGACGATGTCGAGGAAGAGGAGGTCGTCCCGTTGACACCGTTCAGCTCCCAAGAGTATCGTTCGAGGGGTCTCCGCAGCGCCGCCCCAACGCCCGACACGGCTCATCCAAGCAGATTCAACAGCTATGGCAGTTCAGGACTCCCAGGAGATGAGGACATGGAGGAGGATGAAGAACCGCGAACACATGGACGGGCTTCCAAAGCTAAGGAACGACCCGCTGAGACGCCTTCACGTACTCAAAGCGAGTTTGAAAAGAAATTCTGGGAGAATCGAGCTGACAACAATCGAGCTTGGAAGCTGCGACGAAGGACGGTGCTTAAGGAGAAACGGCAGCGCGAAAACAAGGCACGAAGACCCCGAAATTGGTAGATGAGGGTCCGTTATCATGGGCCGCGTAGTCTAATGCCCTGTTTCACCTCAACCGGACGCCATTGGGCTGGCCGCTCATGAGCCGCAAGCCGTGGGCTGTTGTCAGATACCTCTCGCTGCGTGGTGGTTGTCACCGAGTTGTCAGGCGAGGCCTGTGCTGACTCATCATCCCATCATGCAGACTCTTCCGGCCTTCGATTGGCCGACGAGTCGTGAATCTCGGGAGCCTGAAATCCTCATCAGCTTTCCTTCGTGAGCAAGAATAACGACTTCTCCTGTCAATCTCTTGCGCTCGCCTCTCATTTTATGAAATCTGTCGTTCTGACTTCTTGGAATATGCGCCCAGGAATATAGCCAAGAAAGACCACTCTTCCAGCCCCGGCCTAGAGCTTCCGTGTAGATTCCGGACAGACCACTTCCTCAGTTCATCCTCAGCTGAACATTGATGACTTCTCTGTTGTTGTCATGACAGCTCCCGCTTTGTTGAGCACTCGCACATCGGAGTTTCGCTAGAGTCCCGCACTTCTCATGCCGCCAAAGAATCAGCGACGTTCTCATACTAAAAGCAAGAACGGGTGCTCTCAGTGCAAGGTCCGGCGCATTAAGGTCCATTTACACCTGCCCGGCCCGCCTTACTGTGTCTTGCTGACTTGATGCCTAGTGCAATGAGAGTCATCCAGTCTGCAACAATTGCGAGCGCCGCCAGATAATCTGCGACTTTTCCCTGACTCCCGGGGCAAGCAACTCGCCGAGCAATGAGACACGAACACAATCGAGCCAAGCGGGCTCTATCAGCAGCGGACTGCAACGGACGCCAACACAGCCGGTGGTGGATCCTTTCCAGCAGCCCGACCTTGTGAGCAGCAAGAAGACGACCGACTTGGACGTGACTGACCTCCGGTTGATGCACCATTTCACGAGTGTGGTTGCCCTCGACCTGGCCAATTCACAAACTCCCGAAGCGCAAGCGCTGTGGCAAGTACATGCGGTGAAGTTGGGGTTGAAGCACGAATTCCTCCTCAGAGGCATCCTCGCCGTCTCGGCTTTTCATCTCGCCTATCTTTTTCCTGACAGAAAGGCGGAATACGAGCTCATTGGGACGAGGCATCAGAGTCTTGGGCTAACAGAGTTTCAAGAGACCCTGGCGCATGTCGATGAAACCAACTGCCATGCCCTTTTCGCCTTCTCATGCTTGCTTATTGTGCTGGCCTTTGCGTCCAGTGCAAAGGAAAAGACAGAGGATTTCACACGTGACGTGCTCCATTGGTTCTATCTGCTGAGGGGTGCAAACATCGTGCTCAACATGCACCATGAGACGATACGGTGCAGCTTTCTCAAGCCGCTCTTGGATGAGATGGCTCATATGGAGACCACGGCCGCGTACAGATTTCCGGACACGGACCAGATAACAAAGCTCTTCCGAGTGTGCAATTCACCAGAGCACGATAAGGAGACGGCGCAAGCTATTGATCTCGCCATCCACTCTCTTCTCAGCACTTTCGTTCAAGCGTCCTTGCTGAAGACGAGGGGGGAAGGAACAGTCCTGGCAACATTTGTTTGGCCCATTAATCTGCCACCGAGATTTCTTGATCTCCTCAGCGAGAAACAACCTGAGGCTATGGTCATCCTCGCACATTATTGTGTCCTCATCCATTGGGGGGAGAGCGTAAAAGAAGATACTTGGTTCATCAGTGGATGGGCCGAATACATGCTCGAAACAATCACAGAGTCAATACCCGACGTCTGGCACCAGCAGCTCGATTGGCCGGCCATGATGATCACGAGGGCAGCGGAGCAACCCAGCGGCGAGCTGACGCCCGTAGCCCGCAACCGCTCTCTGACATCAATGGGCTGTGGATGATCCTATCAACCTTGATACCTCACTGAACACTCGACCTGACAGGTCCCAGGCCTCAGTGAAAACGGGTCCTTGTACATTAGGGAAAGGGGACTTTTGGTCTTTATTTGATGATATTGTGGACTGTTGTATTCTGACAGGTATTGGTACCACTATCGCGAACACAGCCCGCTCCGGAGATCGAGCAAGGTAGAAATGAAGCCAGAAGCCCCGTATGCTAAGGGAGCACCACCGAAAGAGGTGGCCCCTTTGCCTCTGCGATGTGAAGCGGAGTTGCTGCCAAGGTGGATACCGCAGAATCGACCGTTCAGACTCCACCGCTTCTGCCGCCCTTGCGCCAGCCTCGACTACACAGTACTCGTACTTCCAGATTGTAAGGACGTGTAGATGTAGGGATGGATTCTCACACATTGATCAGAGTGTCAACACGTACAAAGATAGGCAGTACAGAGTATTCGGCGCGGCCAGCGTGGCACCAGGTTGCCGGTCCGGAGAAAAGTGACACCGAGGTAGTTTTGCAGGAAGCGAGGCTGCGTGGCTGCTCGATGACATTGTTGTCTCTACACATATTCTCAGTGCTGCCCGTGACCTACAGTGTACTGTGTAGATCCGGTCTTGCTGCATATTCTGCCTCGTGCTTGCTGCCCTCCAACAGCTCCCTTCTAATTATGACGCTCCCAAAAACTAGCAGAGGACCTTGCAGCAGTCTAGACCGCAGCGCCCAAACGCTCCCAGTGGAGCCCATGTGAAACGCTTCGAGCGCCTCCTTACGACGATGAAGCTGCCACCACAACCAACCATTTCTCCCCTGACACAAAGCTCCAGTCTCCCTACACGCGCATCTTGCGTCGTCGCTATCTCGTCTTGTTGCGCTGTGCGTTTCAATCTCTCCCTCCCATTTCTTCCCTTGTCCCGCATTCATTTCTCGCGCCGTTCCCTTTCTCTACGCCAAGTTCCTTACGCGCTCACGGCCACTTCGACAGTGCCATTGCTACCCAGCGAGCAGGTCTCGTCTCTCACTTCCATTCCTTGCATTCACGAAGCATTCCTTCCACGCTCATTACATACATCTGAACGACAAGAATCGAACGCATCGAGCTTGACGACTTGAGGCGACGTCGGCAGGGCCGCAGTAGGAGCCGTGGCAGCACCAGCAACAATGGCGAACAAAATCCTCATTGTGTTCATCGTCTTCGACATCATCTTCTTGCTGTGCGCAGGCCTCCATCTGTTCATCCCCCTGTATACCCGCATGAACATCAAGAACAACACCAATGTGGACAACATCGCCTCGAACCTGCTGCTGGACCACTGTCCACTGACAGGTAAGGAACATTCACTGCTCACACAGAGGGTTCTTAATAAACATCTACTGACGACCCGTCTAGCGAGCATGGTCAATTCGGTCATCATGTTCATCACCTTCCTCCTTTCGGTGCCCGCCTTTTTCATGAACCGCAACCGCGCGTACTTGAAACTCCACGCCACAGGCGTCGTGATTTGCTCCCTCTTAACCTTCGCAATCGGCATTGACATCTGGTTCTCCACGCTACAGACCAGGAAAAACCTCGCACCCATCTGGAACAGCCAAACCCCGGCCATCCAAACCATGCTGCAAGCGAAGTTCCAGTGCTGCGGCTACAGCAACCCGGCGCTGTTTATCAAGGATGACACATGCGTCAGTGCGGCGACGGCTGCCAGGTTGGGCCCTTGCATCACGCCATTCGGGGTGTTTGCGAACAGTTTCTTAGACGTGGTGTTCACCACGTTCTTCGGCTTTGTCGCCGTGGACATGATGTTACTGTTGGCCGCGCTGTGCCTGGTCAAGGATCGCAAAGAGAAGGAGCGGTACCGACTCATTGACGAGAAACGGGGGTTCGGGCCCATCTAGACGGGTAGAGATCGTGTGACGGGGGATGTTTGGAGTCTGGGATCTGGGGCGAGGTGTCGGCATCACTGAAGCAGAGGAAGGCTGTAGAGAGGGGGTTGATATATGGTCACCCTGGCCCAGCGGAGGCTGGATGGGCAGACTCACGGACAAGAATTGTGTTCTAAATCGAAACAAGCAAAGAATCGGGACTGCGCAGATAGAAAGAGTCTGGCAAGCCCGCGATGTTTGAGAATCCGAAATGTGGGAGGGATAGCAAATGTACCATGCACGTTGTTCGGAATGGTCAGCTTAGAATTTATACAAACACTACATGTGTATGTGGAACTCATGATGGATGAATCGACTCAGTCATTTTCACTCGCCGCTTACGAGTTATCACTTGTCACTCGATTCGACTACTTCAATAGCCAGGGCCTTTTCAAATCGGGGGAAACTACATTTCTATTGAACGCGCAAGTCATAGGACGTGAGTGTCGTGAGTGTGTGCTCGTACCGCCCTGTGGCCCGTTTGACTTTCTCGTGCCTGGAAGTTGCCGCCGCTGATCGTCCAGCGCGTCGATCAGCATCGGTTATCGACATCGTCATGTTCCGCCTCGCAAATCTGCCCTCGTCCAGACAAAGTAGGAATAAGTACTGTACGTATGTAGATTGAGCTACCAAGGCACGACGGCTACTCGTATTTTCTACATTCTTTGCTTCATTTTGTCAATGTGATCAGGCTGGTGCTCCTACCCCGGCCAACGATATCGCCAAGCAGGGGCTCTCTTGGACGGCGAGCGACGTGGTGTGACTAGGGGGAGCAAGCAAGAAACTATATGACATGGTGGCGGTGGTCCGTGGGATCACTGTGACTGACTGAACCCGACGAAGCCTGAAGACGGGTCGAAAATGGCGTGGACGTTGGTCACGCCGTCCTCGAGAGGTATCGGCTTCGCGTTGACGCGCCATCTAGTGCGGACGCTTCCTCCAACAGTCCCGATTGTCGCAACAGTACGATCAGACCTACCGGGGGTCAAGGAGAACCTGCTTGCATCACTTGAGCTGTCACCAGAACAAGCAGCCAGGCTGGATGTTCGAGAGTGTGACGTCCTGTCCGAACCGTCCATCGAGCAGCTGGCAGGATATTGCAGAGATCGATATAATGACAGATCCAGGGACAAAAACGCGCACTTGCGCTTGGGATTCATGATTCCTGGCATGTTGGTCCCCGAGAAGGCACCGGACAAGATAGAGTACGAGTCGGCTTTGAACACACTGAAGCTCAACCTCCTGGCACCCATGATGCTCGTGAAGCATTTCGCCGGCTTCCTACCACGAAAACCAACATCCCTTGAGCCAGAGGAGGGTCTTCCCGATCCGGCTGTACTGGCATTGATGAGTGCCCGGGTCGGCTCCATAGGCGACAACCGCTTAGGTGGATGGTACAGCTATCGTGCGTCAAAGGCAGGCTTGGGCCAGCTCGTCAAGTGCACCGATATCTTCCTGAAGATGAAGAATGGTCCCAAAGCAACGTGCATCGGGCTCCATCCGGGGACGGTCAAAACTAGCCTGAGTAAGGAATTTTGGGAAAGCACACCCAAGGAAAAGCTATTCAGTCCCGAGTTCGCCGCGGAAAGGTTGCTCAGGGTCGTCAAAGGACTCGAAGAAAGCGGTGGGGGAAGGTGTTGGGACTGGCAAGGCAAAGAGATTCCTCCATGATTTGCATCGTATTGTTTTATACATACGGAGTAGGACATTGCCGATGAGTAAGTGAACTCCACGAGGCTGTCATGCATCAGACAAAGGACTTGATTGATGTCCTTCTAAAGCTCTCTTTGGCTCAGTTTTGCCGCACAGGATGACTGAGGATGATGTGCCGCTCAGTCAGTAGGCAATGCCGGTGGACTCCGAATACCGGGCCGAGTACAGTGGCAGCAGATGTGGAGATATAGGTATAAAGTGCAAAGCAGAATAAGTCGGTGTCATGCCTTTCGATGTGATATGTTATGCGTTATATGCGAGCTTACTGTGTTCTTCTGCCACTAGTTCCCGGACATTCCTGATGGCTATGCAATGCGGATAACGTGGGAAGCGTGGAAGCTGGAGGGCCACGGAGTGCACAGTGGTTGGTGGCGGTGATGAATCAGCTGGTCTTTGGGGCTGTGTTGCTAATCTTGGGGCTAGCCAGCCCTGGGATGCGCTAGAGAGCAAGCCTCGGGCTGGAAAACTGGGGTGGGTGGTGGAGGGGGAGAAATTGTCGAGCAAGAGATCGCCCTGGGTGAAGCAGCTGGAAGGGATCCAGGTCCGCTGGAGATTGAGATCTGAGTGTACCCAGTATTTGCGAGTACACAGGAGACCGCTATTCAGGACAGAGACGAATTCTGTGAAGCGCGTCGTTCGAGGAGCGTCTAGAGTTTCCGCTGCTCCCGGATAAGACTGGAAAACACGACCCTGTGAGCACTTGTGTGCAGCCGCAGTGGCAGCCCGTGATCAAAGTGCAGCAGCGCGCCCGTGAGCCTGAGTGATAGCCTGCTGGGTAAGCTAGAGAGACGCAGGAGCAAACTAGCGACTGGGCCTAGTTGGGTGGGCCGCGCTTCGAGTGGGCTTCCGGCAGAACTGACCACTGCGAGCCCAGCTTTGGTTCAGCCAGTGGATTTTTGTGCTGAACCTGCGAAGAGTCGGGGAAAGAATGATCCGCTACTGTGCACAGCCAATTACAGCCGCTTTGGCCCCGTAGCTGCCAGTGAGTGTCCGGCAGCCTCTGTCTACAAAAGGCAGGCAGCTGCCGCTATGCCCTTTCCGACTCCCTTTCCTCTCTCGTCCATTTGTCTGCCCGCCCTGTGCACAGCGACAGAACGGTGACAGTGCATTTCGCAACGCGTTTCGCAGTGCTCCTTTCCTCGAAGGCTCATCCGAGTATCACTTGTACCTTCTGTGCACAGGTACCCAGCCTTGGTACTTGTTGGGTGTCCAGCCGCCAAGTCCCGGACCTCGACGTCGATTGTCGGCCACTCTGCCTGTCCACTCAATCCCACTGAATCGACCATCTCTCCTGCTCGACGCATTAATATTTGTGTCGATTTCAATTGGGGACTTCCACTTCTGGGAGTGTCTGTCACTGAATCGGTACGTACGGCGTCCTGTTCTCGCTCGGATTTCCTTTTTTTGCATGTTTACTCGACCGAAAACGTGAGGATCGTCTCTCCCATCATTCATTTCGAGGACGTCTTTCGACACGACCAACCCCTTGTTCCACGAGAGCTGCTGCAGCCGACATGAATCTGGAAGAACGGCGCCTCGATCCACCCTTGTTCGAAATGGAAGTTCTCGACACCTCTCTATCCGGGGGATCTGTTCGCCAGAAGTTGAGCAAGACCACCTCGAGACCGGACAAAGTGAGCAACAGAACAGGTGGAGTCTCCACCGGGTCCTCGCCAAGACTAGGCTTCAGACCCCAGTTTTTGTCATCAGTAACTTGTCGACCATTGGCCAGCACCAACACCTAGGGCGGCCTTCAGTTGCAACCCAGCGAGACCCGGCATCTCTCAGACCACCTGTTGCAGACGTGGCCCACCAGGCTCCATCCCACCAGCCCACCAGCCCACCAGCCCACCTGTTTTTGCCGTCTGGATTCCGCCGACGACTGCCGCCCCTCTTTCAGTTGGTCCTCCCTTCGACTTCTTTTCCTCCTTCAGACTTCGAGCTCGTCCTTGCCCGCCATACCCTTTTTCACCACATTCTCCAGCCCATACAGAAAGTGGTTACTTCCTCTGTATCCAACATCCACTTCTGTCCATTTGCAGTTTGACAGTTGCACATCCCCTTCCAATCCACAAAGCTTGACCCTGCTGCCTTTGCAGTGCTCGTCATTTACCCCGGATTGCCCTGGTGCAAGTGTGATCCTCGCCTGTACCTGCGCCTGCCGCACCCCGTGAATTGCACTTTCCCGAGTACGTGTTTGTGAAGTGTTTCTCAATATCCAATGCATGGCTTTGCTCCTCCTCCTTCACCATTCTGCGCTCTTCACTTGCTGCCGTTACTGACAGTCACTTCCCAATCAGATCCTTGACCCAGTGCAGCTGCCTCTGCACAACTTGATTGCACCACTTCTAAAAAGGTAGTCCATCCGTCGACCAACTTCCGGTTTGGTCTATTGACACTTAACTTCTTTCGGCAGCCGTCGTCAGACTCGGTTTATTTCACAACGACATATCATGGCGGACATCACCGATCCCTCTGGTGGCCTTGACCATCCTTCTCCCGGCGATGACCTCGCGGGCAATGGAGTCGATTCGCGAGGCACCAAGAGACCCCGAGCGTCCATGGCAGGTGACGACGATGACGATGACGACGAGAAAGGCGGAAGAGAACGCAGAAAAATCGAGATCAAGTTCATCCAAGACAAGTCGCGCCGCCACATCACCTTCTCCAAGAGAAAAGCCGGCATCATGAAGAAGGTAGGCGCAGTCATGACTCTGAATGGCGAAGCTCGTCACTGACACACCGCCTAGGCATACGAACTGTCCGTCCTTACCGGCACTCAAGTGCTTCTGCTGGTCGTGTCAGAGACTGGTCTGGTTTACACCTTCACGACCCCTAAGCTGCAACCTCTCGTGACCAAAGCCGAGGGCAAGAATCTCATCCAGGTATGTGTTAGAACCAGAGTCCTCTATGGCCTGTCACTTACTTTTCTCCAGGCATGCTTGAACGCTCCCGAACCCTCCGGCAATGAGAATGGTGTTGATGCTACTGATGATGTTCCCTCGCCCGAAGATGTTCCGCCGATGCCTCCGGCCGCTGGTGTTCCCCGAGCCGCGCCTCATACTGGCTATGCCATGACTCCCGAACAGCAACAAGCTATGTATTACCAGCAGATGCAACAACAAAATCAGGGTGGCCAGTATGGCGGCATGCCCCAGATGCCTCAACATCAACGTGCATAGGAACCACCAGATTATCTGAACCCATTGATACCCAACCCTTCGACTGGTACGCCTGACGCAGAGACTAAAGTGTCTCAATAATCAGCTTTCCTCTTCGCTGCCGCCTGTATGGTGATGTCGGCGATGAGGCAGAGTCCGTTCGGCAGCTCAGTGAAATCGGCGTCTTTGAGATTTGCTCAGTCGACATCGACCCCGGAGTTCTTTCGCGGATAGGTTGCTTGCAGAGGTGATTTTGTCTCTCGAGTTCGGTATCCTCAGCTGCCACTGTGTATGGATCAGTATGTTGAGGACTGGAGTATTGGAACGGTGAGCAAAGACTGGCAATCGGAGCAAGAATACTTCTAGCGAGAGCATCATGGTCCATATGTCGTGCCTTTTACGGGCACAGAAAATGTCAAGAGATCCACCGCGTGCACGGTTTGCTAATCCAGCATCTTGTCTCTCAACATGTCCACTTCTCCATATGAACGAAGCGAAGATTGTGTCTACTCCCCTCCTCGCCGTCGTATCTACCTGCATTTGGTTCTACAGTTTGCTCGGAACCCATCTCGGGGCTCTCTTCTCTACAAAGGCCCTGACGCCCTCGTGAATGTTCTCGCCCTCATTCAGTCTCTTCGAATAGATCTCCACGATGCTCTGAGTCGCGTGCTCGGCAGACCCGTCCTCCCAGCCCTGAATGATACCTGCTCGGGAGATGATGACACTGTCAGGACTATTCCCAGCAATTTCCTTTGCATACTCCAGAGCCTTTTTGACGACCGGCCTCTCCAGCACGTCTGCATCCACAGGTGCGTCGTCGGTGACGAAATTCACCAATCCCCAAGCGCCCGCCTCAGCGGCACTAACTGTGCGTCCCGTGAGCGCCATTTCCATCGCCCTCGGCTTGCCCAACGTCCTCACGAGCCGCGGCAACGCGCCCGCCAGCGCAATCACGCCCCTCTTCACCTCTGGGAGAGCAAACTGAGCGGACCGAGCAGCAACCACCAAATCCATGTTGGCGACCATTTCCATGCCGCCCCCAAAGGCCAGCCCATTGATGGCCCCGATGATGGGTTTCTTGCCCATCCTCCTGGATATGCCGCCGAAGCCTGATCTGGGAGTCTCCCTCCTTCCGTCTCCGGCGCTTTTCCCGGCCGCGCGCGCGGCATTGTTCTCATTCCATTCCTTCAGATCGGCGCCGGCGCAGAACGCGCGGCCCGCCCCGGTGATGACGGCGCAGCGTAGCGAGGGTTCATTGTCGTACCATTCAAACAGGCCGTGCAGGGCGTGATGCATCGAGGTGGACAGGCAGTTGAGACCTCGCGGGTTGTTCAGCACGACTAGCAGCGTATCTGGCGTGGGGAAGAGGAGGATCGTCTTGGGCGTCGAGGGGGGCGGCGTGCCCAGGGAGGATGGGTAGGCGGGCATGTTACTGTCAATTGCCTTGCTTGGCTTGGTTTTGGTTCTCTGTAGAGTATGGCGAGTAATGTGATCTGATCTCAGAGTGTCCTTGATTGGATTCGTCGTGGGTATGTCACACGCGTCGATGTCACGGATCGAATATGGTACTGCGACTTGTACCTGTGCTTGTGCTTCTGCCTACGGATATGGCCCGGATGCTGACACCGACGGGTCCTCGACGCTGGTGTGCAAATCGTAGCGTATCGAAGTATGCTGTACTCTCAGAATATTCTGTTCGTGCCGCAATGACTATGCCATGCAAGTTAGTATGTACTGTGTATGTACTCCGTAATGTCGAGCCCTAACCCGCTCACCCACCAAGCAGACTCCTCTCCACACGGGGCCATGGGCGGTGTCAAGCAAGGAGCAAGGGAGAGGGGAGTTGTAAAAGCCAGGTACCGTATTGAGGGGCGTTCACTCAATACTCACTCAATACTCACTCGCTCGCTTCAGACACTTACCTGCTTCACTTCGTCAAGTCGTCAAATTGTCAAGTATAGCAGTCACAACTCCAGCTCCGAGTTCCAAAGTCCACCCACGACGCAGTGTCCAAATTTGGGAAAACTTCCAAGCTACAAAGATCCTCTGTCGTGCCGTCAAAATGGCTTGCTCCGTGAATCGTAAGTCCATACACGGATAAATGGCAATGATTGTCGTGAGGAATGGATAAAAGACAAACAGCACCTCCGATTCGGGGCTATCCACACACTCTCTACAAAACATAGCCGAGGCACAAATTCAGTACTTGTATCACGCCGACTGACCGACTGACCGACTGACCGACTAACCACAGTGGAACCCACGATTAGTTAAACGTCCTGTGCGGGGCCACCAGGCATGCTGTTGAGAGGGAACGAAGGCTCTGCTGAGTACGCCGCGGTGGTGTACAGACCCGGCTCGCCAATTTGCGATAATACATACGCGCTCACTCGCCGCAATGGGACGCTCCAGCGCCCGCCATATTCTGGATATGAGGCGTGTAGGCCAAAGTGGTCTCTTTTCACGGAGGATACTGAGGGCATAATGCCGCTGTCAAAGGTCTGAAGTCGGGACGTGGGCACGGGCACAAATACAGGACCTACTTTATACAGAATACTCGGTGCCTGCCCAGGCCAACTTTAGTCGGGGGTTCGGGAAAAACAGCAACAGAGATACAGTATGCAGTCGTGGAGGGTTGGCGCGGCATCAAATGACACTGGCTGGTGTGAACGTGTAGGAGAGCCCGTGCAATTCTTGAATGCGCCGTAATCGTTTGGGACCTTCTGCGCAAGCGAATCAAACCTCGACCTCGACACTCTGCGACGAGCCGCGACGGAGCTCATATTTCAGCCTTGATATGCCATGCTCTGGCGATTCCCCAGCTCGACTATCGTCATCTTGAGCTGCCCGGGTTAGATGACCAGCCCGGAAGCCCTCATTCTCTCCTGTGTCCCCTTGAAAACCACGCCACCCCATAGGCCTTCCTTATCGTCCTTCACGTCAATGACCCCTTCGGGCTCCGGAACGATCATCATCGCCCTCCCATGTAGGCTCTCGTCGACGGCGAATCTGCATGCCACGTCAACTACCTTGTCGACATGGACGAAAGTGAAGCCTTTGCCTGGAGCCATCCCCGCCGCGGCGAACACTTCCAGGCCGTTCTGCACCATCGGCGTGTCCATAAAATACGGCGCCAGACAGTTCGTGCGGACGTCTAGACGCGGTGTCTCGTGGCGGAGGCCGCGAAAGAGACCTCGAATGCCGACTACCAGAAGTTAGATATAGCACATGAGCCCTGAAGCCGTTTGCTAAGTTGCCGAAAGATAATGATGTCTTGAACTTGCGTGGGCGTCGTCTAACAGACAAGCAGGACCGTGTTGCGTAGGTCGTGCCCACCAACACAGAGCACATCAAGTCAATACTCACACTTGGATGTATGATAGTCCGCAAAGTTTCCCACATCCGTGTAGGCCACCGTCGAGCTGATCAGGATGAGCAGACTTTGAAAATTGCGATCCGTGCGAAACTCCAGGCCCGTCATTGCTCCCAGTGGCCGTCCGGTCTAGGTTCATGTACCACAGCGCAAGGTAGGCGCTGTTGTAGATGCCCAGGAGATTCACGTCGAGAGCGGGATGGCGCAATTGAGGCGGAGTGACACGTTCCTCCTCCCGTTGCCCTTTGATCACCATGTCCACAAGGCTTCCCGGCTCACCGATGACGCCTGCCACCAAAGCAGCGACGTCAACGGACTTACTTGGAGAGGTTCGAATGGCGTGTTCAAATGCTTCCACGGAGCTGGCGTGGTCCGTCACGTCGCAACGGACAAGTGTGGCGGAGAGGCCTTTGGATTCGAGCTCGGCGACAATGGGGCTGCCACCCTCGGTGTCCACATCCGCGATGGTGACATGGGCGCCTCCATGAGCAAAGCGCTCGACAATGGCAAGGCCTAGCCCGGATGCTCCGCCTGCTCCGTGGCAGCAGTATAACAGCCTGATATTGCATGCCGACCTTCTGGCTCTCGTGTCGATGGATTGTCGACGTTTCTTTGGCAATTACCCACGCACTTACCTATGACAATGGCGGACTTGCCGCCGCGGGCAGAGAGATCGACTTCATTCGACATGTTGCACGAGACCAAATGCCACTAGTGTGTAGTTGTGGATCGAGGAGCCGGGGCGGGTCTTTTTACCCTTCGGCCTAAGCACTGCCAGACAGATGCAACTGAAGCCTGATACAAAGAGCGGTCAGGGCCACGTGTAACCCGAGAGTTCTGGCAGCGGGCGAGGCCAGCCTTCCACAGACGATCCTCCGCGAGGTGGTTTGGAGAGGCTGGAACAGGCTTCACGAGCTCGTGTCCCAGTCTCACCAGTACTTGTGCGCGGGAGTTTGCACGAATGCACCAGTTTTGGCTGCGCCAGACTTCACCGTGAGAAAGTCCGGGCCGGTGCAGAATCCTAGTGCATGAAGATATAGAGAGGGTCTGGTAGAGGTACCCTAGGTCTTGCTCGGTGTCGGCCATGGAATTCCGTCGGGTTGGCCTGTTCCACAGCCTGGCAGTCAGCGTGTCACTGCATGGCCCTTTCGTGCCGTAATAGAATGTGCCAAGTCCAGCCAGCACCATGGGAGGGTCTTACCGATGCTCAGATCCATGAAGCGGATCGATTCGAACCTTTGCAAGTTATGTAGTTGAGGAGAATGTTACGTGAGCCACCGACAACTTCTGAGCCACAAGCTGTATATCAACGATGGATACGCTCTTCCGTTCCATGAGTATGGTGTGGCAATGTCCTACTGTCATGCTCGTCCTCCTATAGCATGTGGCGCCCCGGATCTTTGTTCGCGCTTTGCCAGGTCGGATGTGGCTTTCACAAAGTTAGACTCGGAGATTCGTCACTTATCTTGTGCTGGAACTCGGGGTTTCCGAAAGTTCACAACAAACCGAGCAGACCGAGCAGACCTGCCGGCTACAGGGGATGATTCCGAATCCAGCCCAGTCAGTCGCCAAGGTTCTAGCTAAAATACACATCCGCCTGCGCTGTACTATGTATGTCCTTTGGCCATAAATTGAAACCTAGCAATGAAGTACCCTTACGCAGACAAGGTGGAAGGCAATACTTAGATACCAGCTTTCGAACAGTCAAAAGCAATAAGCCGGCGTCAATGTTAGTCCCTTAGCGCCCTCCATCTTCGTGTCATAATCCTTTCACTGGCCTCCCATTGATCTCTGTGGAGCAAGATGTTGGGCAAAGTCGGTCTGGCCCGTAGATGCCGAATGCCGCAGCCTTTGCGCACGTGGCTCGATCTGGGAATGCAAATCGTTCGTAGGTTTATCTTCGGTTTCTGAAAAGCGGTACGCCTACAGCACTTCCCGATCTGAACCCATACCGTCGGCCACTTGCTCAAGAAGCAGATTCCTGCTGTGAATAAACAACACAGACCGGGGAAGACGGTAATTGGCCTCGGAAATCTCGATTCACAGATTCATGAAGCAACAAGGTCCGCAGGTACAGCCAAGACTGGCTTGAATGGTATCATCACGCTGTCTTCGTGGAAAACGCTTATGCTATCAACACTCATAGCACTTCTCGTGCAAGCGAATCTATTTGTGAGAGAACTGGTGCCCTTTCCTCGGGCGCGGCGAAAATAATCCACGAACTATCCCGTCAGTCCATAGAAGTCCACGGAGTCCTCATCACCTCTCCCAATCCACAAGGATGGTAGGTTTCATGAAGTGTCATTGCGTCATGCTTACTTCTTCTCGCTCTGCACGAGCTTCACCTTCTCCAAGACCTTGGGATACAGAGGGTGGCTAGACTCAAGGCCGGTCAGTTTGGTGGTGGCTTCCTCGGCACTCATTTCGCTCAGAATCTTGGCCAGTTCCTTACTCTCATCATCACCTTCGACATTCTGGAAGCGCAGAGCCATCTCCACACCACGGATAAGAGCGGTGACATCGTACCCGCGTTCGGCTAGTTGCGCGGCGGGGCCGATGAAGCGCTCCTTACGACCAAGCTTTCGGAGCGGGGCACGGCCGACACGAACGGGGACGTCTTCGAGGTGAGGGTTGGAAATGCGGTGAATGATGGTGTCAACGTATTTCTGTTGCTCCTCGGGAGTGATGCCGTGCTTGCCGCTAATGAGGTGTGCTGTCTCTTCCAAGGCCTCGTGGACCTCCTGCCGGATCTCTGGATCAGCCATGGCTTCATGGATGGTCTTGAGCCCCTTGTAGTAGCCGAAGTAGGCAGCTGTGGCGTGGCTGGTATTGACGGTGAAAAGCTTGCGCTCAATGTATGGCTCCAAATCCTCGACCCAGTGAATACCCTTGACCTCAGGGTGACCTGACTTGAAACCAGTGGTCTCCACGCACCACTCGTAGAAGCTCTCGATGACAACGTCAAGATTGGCATGTGGAGGTTGAGTTGGAACAATTCTGTCAATAGCGGAATTGCCAAACTCGGCCTTGGAGTCGAGGTCCTTGAGCACTTCAGGCTTCATGTTCTTCTCGTCCGTGATAAGGGCCTTGAGAGCGTCTGTTGCATTGATCATGTTCTCGCAGGCAATGACAGCAAGTGGCTTGGACTTTGTTCTTGCGGCAATGCCATCGGCAATGGGCTTAGCGATAAACTTGAGGACGTTCGGACCGACGGCGCAGGTGACAATGTCTGCATCGGCAATACACTTGACGACCTCGTCCATGCTGTACTTGGAGTTGAGCGCGCGGTAGTTTGTGATTGTCTTGCTCTTCTCTCCATCTTCTCCAACCTCAGTGATCTTGTATGATTTGGATTCGTTGATTCGGTTGATGAGATCGTCAACAACATCGACGAAGATCACCTCGTAGCCGCTCTCGTGGAGGAGTTCAGCGATAAAGCCACGACCGATGTTGCCACCGCCGAAGTGGACGGCGGTACCCTTCGTCATTTTGAGTTAATGACTGTATTTGAGAGTGATGATGAGGCTGTGTCGAGGGGTTTTTCGTTGGGAAGGTCGAGGATGTGAGACGGAAAGTTGTGCAAGTGTCTGCTTTCAGGGTCTCCTATCAAGTCAATAAATTGACACACAGAACTGACGGAGCGATGATACGGCCACGCACATACAATCTCTGATCTAGCTTGAGCTCTGTCTCAGAGGTCAAGGAGGAGAGTACTGTTGCGAGATGGACGGTCTTTGATAGAAGTTCAAGGCCTCTGAGAAGAAAATTCAGAGATCGGAGGGAAATATTTATGGCATTGGGAAGCGGTCAACAAAGACTGAGTGGGCTGGATTCACAGAGTGGAGGAAGACTAGCATCGTGCAGCTACCTGTGCCCCTCAGTCCGATGAGTTGAAAGTGAAAGACGCGACCTGTGGTGACAGCTTGATTGGCTGTGAATGTCGATCGTGCAAACTACGTCATAGAGTCACGATTGGGCGGCCACCGAGCGGGCAGCTACTCGTAGCGGGGGTTGATCCCAGGGTGAGCATTCTACGAAGGAGCAAACCAAAATGATGACTTTGTGTGCACCAGGAAGCCACAACGGTTCGAAGATCGTCGAGTACGACGAGATGTCCGCTAAAACTCCGTGCAATAATTCTTCCCTTCTGTCATTGGGCTGAGCAACGCGAGTCGTCGCCACGAATACATCTGCGATTGAGAAACTTCTAGGCCCAGTCACATCCAGCAGACTGTGTCATTAGCTGGAGCTGGACGGCTCTGCCACGGCGTGAAGCCATCCAACACAGTATCCAGCAATATTATACAGTGCGACGCCATGTGGCACCCGTTCGCAATCGTTCAGTTCCATAATTCATTAATCACCGGATATGTGCATCAGCACTTTAGTATCCCCCCTTCTCGTATCGCTTGGGTCTGCGCCTGCCCACACAGCACTGCACAATAGACACGAAGGAAGCAAGCAGCATGACTGCTGTAGCGGCCCATGTCATTGCGAGGAATTTCCCTCCCCTGGTCGCTGATATACCAACCTCATCGGTGTATTTGTTGATCCTGTCCACCGCGATAACTATCACTGCGGTAGCCACAGCAGAGGCGACACCGAGGGTCCCGAATGCAAGCTGCCGAACAGCGTTAGCGTTTCCAAGGTTACACATCGAGGCGAGACACTCACTATATCCACCAACCAGTTGATGAAGGCGGACAGCCGTCCATCGGTGAAAATACTGGCGATCGCTGTGATCATAGCGAGACCAGAGAACACTATGCCAATGATATAGAAGACAATCATGACACGACTGACGGTCTTGAGGGTGCGTTCCGCGTCCACCACATCGCTGGGCCAATGAATGTCATCCAATGTTATCCCGGCAGGCAGGTGCTCTTCAATGTATCGGGTTGGTTGAAAGTGGAAGCTCAAGGTCGAGGGGGAGCATTCTGTGATGTTTTTCTTTGCATTGTCCGCCGTAGAATTGGGCGAATATGTGCCCTGGCAGAAGTCTAGGACATGCACATTGAACAGATCGGGGAGACCCAGGAGGGAGGCAATATCGACTGTCAAATCGTTGATTATATTGTTGATGTCCTGCTGGATATCATTCCCCAAGGTTGAGAGCAACCCGCCGTCGCCATCCGATGTATCGAAGAGGCTCCCATGGCCGATTTGGGAGATGTTGAGCTTGCTTCCTGTCAACGCATATCGCTACAATAGTGTCGAACACGAGCTTACCGTCAATAACTCGGTATCCTGTAGGAACGATCGCGTGTTGCCTGCAAGCAAGCAGAGGATGGAGAGAATGAAAGCAGTGATGGCGCAAGCCAGCGTCAAGAGGGACGACAACCGCATCTTGTGTGAGCTTCGCCTGTATGGATTTATCTACAAGGAAGAACGAATGGATTTTCCAAGAAGCAACGACTCCGTAAAGTCCAGTGTAAACTGAACCAGCTTGTTTGATGCTTGGGTGATGAGGTCGGGCATCCGGTGGTGGGAATGGTGAGGGACCAGTTATACGACAGCAGGGCCATCCATAAGTATTGCCTCTGAGCCTCATTCTCGACGTTTGCTGTGTTGCGCTTGCGTCAAACTTGGCCATGACAGCACCCGATGTGTGGTCAGAATCTCGTCGTGGGTGACAACGGTTCCCACCCAGCCAGACAGGGACCAGATCCACAATGAAAAATGGCTGGGTCCCGAGCCACAGGATGGCTGGCCGCCCGGGGCGGAAGAGGCAAACCCAAAGGCCTGTGCTGATCGCTGGTTGGATTGTCGGGGCGCCTGTTCTGACTGAAGCGACCTTGGCCGCCCACCGAGGCTCAGTGTGGGGCTCTCGATTGGCGTCTGAGCCACTGCTTTAGCATGATCGTCGGCCGCGTAGCACCCAGGCGACGTCATGCCCACGATTGCCCGATCACGCGTCAACAGACACGGAGCGCTCAAGGCCAGGTTCCAAGTCCGTTGAAAACAAGGCTGAACCTCCAATGGGCAATTGCTGTGCACAGGACTTGCAGTCGGTCAGAGCCAGTCTACACAGTACCCAGTAAGTATCGACACCACGCTGCCGCCAAGTCCTGGACTCCGTCTTACTTGGTACACGTACGAGGCGCAGGAGCATAAACCCATAAATCTTATGCGTCGCCAAACATCCTCCATATCAGAATAGCATGCAGAACGGTCACGTGAACGGGCGAGGTTATGCGAACCAACCACCAGGCGCAATGTTCAGTGAACAGCCGTGTATCTGTCTCAAATATTCAGCTCGACAACGGCGCTGCGGTACGAAATACAAGTCACTACTCGGTGGAGGTTTTGCACGTTGATGGCGGACATTGTCCGGCACAGAACAAATGAGGTGGAGCCAATTCGAGACACAAATACGATGCTGATTCAAAATCCAATTCGAGACGGTGCAATGGGCCACAGTCCTTGTATTCTCGTGCGCCCCCAATGGCGAACTTCCCCGTATTTCGTAATCGCATCTATTGTATTTAGCCCGAGTCTCACAGCTGGAGCTCGTGGTAAGCGGCTTGCAAAGGAACCGTGTCTCCGCCTTGCCCGGTCGCGCATCAGCCTGGGACGCTCAATATATAAGAAGCTGCGACCGTCGCTACAAGATGCAAGGTCACTTCCTTGAGCCTGCGATGACTTCCAACCAGCTGCTGGACGTGTGCCGCAGTAGCGCCTCGCAGGATCTCACTCAGACATCCCTGATTCTGGTTGTAGATCCTGCGTCTCTCTCCGCAGTTCTTTGATGGCGGTCTCAAGCCTCAGTTAGTGCTTTGCTTCGCGAACACGGGTAATTGAAAGCCTTGACTCACCGCCAATGCCTCAGGGTTGACACCATTCTCGATCAGAGAAACACATAACGATAATTGCGTGCGATCCAGCTGTGTATTCTGCGCTCGAGATCAGCGAGAGAATGTAGGAGAGGTGCTCCACTCACCAGGAGGATGGAGATCTCCTCGAGAATATCAACAACTTCACGAGCCTTCTCGCGCTTGTCAGCCGTCGAAGGCATATTACTGACACCACTAATCGAGCAACGGGACGCTGGTCGTATGTTTCTGGATTCGTTCAGGTATTTTGCAGACTGACTTGAAGAATCAAACAGAGGGCATCGGCCAACACGCGACAATTCAACAAGAGCGGGCATCGCTTCATTTACTGTATACTCCGCCCAAATCTTGCCACTTGCTGCACCGTACTAAATCTTCACTTTTGTTTCAATAATTCCCTTAGGCGTTCTGAGACTATTTCATTTCTAACAGTTCTGGCTGCTTGCTACCGACGAGTACTTGACCCCGTTAGCGAGGGTCATTGAATCGGCCCCGGCAAGCTACGTGACCATTATGGGTCATCCGGCAGCCGGTGTCTCCAGTCCACCACGCCCCATCTTCAAGACCATCCAGCAATTACCACGTTCTGATGTCTCTAGCACACTAGAGGAGTTGAGAACACTGGAGCGGAAGTCATTTGCTGCTAATGAGGTGTTCCATTTGGATGACAAAGTTGTCAAGCAGCGTAATTTGGAAATCCTTGTCGGATTCAACCATCTATCAACAGGCTCCAGGGTTGTCGCATATGCTGTTTCTGTGACTTCCAATCGTCGCCTCCTTCTCCACAAGGTTTGCGTTTCACCAGAATGCCGCCGCCGAAGAATTGGCTATCTGCTAATGGAGACCCTCATTGGCAATGCAAAGCGTCGGTTCTGCCGCGGCATTGACCTTTGGGCCGATGAGGCTAACCATGCCGCGAAAGGGTTGTACCTTCAACACGGCTTCAATGTGCAAGAAACTGTCCAAGATTACTATTCACCTGGAAGAAACGGAGTCAAGATGACCCTGGATTTGATTGAATGACGAGTGAGTGTGTTCTCGCAGGAGAGTTTTGCACATTCCCTCGCGGGGCTATCCCTTGCAGGCTTTATCAAGTGTTGGATGCCAACCAGCCCCTCGACAATTCCAATATTACAAGTGCTGGCAGCCGCGTCATGTCGCGCACGCGTTTACCAGCTCGTCGAATACTGCCAGCTGGACTATCTATCCTGCTGGTTAAACGAGAATTCATCCTCTATCCCAGCATGCATCCTACCCAGCGGCTCGCCACATGAATGCATCTCACTGGTATCAGAAAGCCTATACTGGCATCTTCCCTTTTATCGGCGATATGTCTCGTCACAGCCGCGCCGCAGCTGGCTTTCCCGATCAATTCACAAGTCCCTCCCGTGGCCTACGTATCTGAGCCGTACGATTTTGTGTTTTCCGAGATTACTTTCTTATCAAGCGCACCGCAGATATCCTACACGATTACAAACAGTCCGAAGTGGCTCGATCTTGACAGTGCTGCCCGGAAATTCTCGGGCGTGCCAGACGCTGATGAAGTGGGAGCAGCAACTTTCCAGCTTGTCGCCTCAGACTCGACAGGGCAGACATCCACAAGCGTCACTTTCGTGGTTGCTGAATCTCCAGAACTGCACATCGATGCGCCAATACTTCCTCAGCTAGAGCGCAACGGGCCTACCTCTTCACCCAACTCGCTACTCGCACATCCCGAAGAACCCTTCAACTTTTCTTTCGGAGAGGACACGTTTCGTGGTGCGGCCTTCGCAACGAGATATTATGCTGTTTCTGCAGACGACACACCCCTGCCTTCGTGGGTGCATTTTGATGATTCCAGACTGTCGTTTTCGGGCACGACTCCCGCGTTGGTCTCCAACCTCGCCCGGTCCCAGACATACGGACTAAGACTGATTGCGTCAAATGTGCCTGGATTTGCCGAAGCAGCAATCGATTTCAACATTGTCATTAGCAGACGTGTGTTCGGATTTTCAACTGCCTCCCAGAACATCACCGTCTCCCCTGACGTCCCCTTTCAGTCTGCATCATTCCGATCCTTCCTCAGCCTGGATGGCCAGGTTGTAGCAGATAATCAAGTTGCAAGCGTTGATGCAGATGTTCCGACATGGGTGTCGTTCGACAAGAGTCAGTTATCCTTGAGCGGTACTCCCGGTATTTCAGCCAATGCCACCATCACAATCAGCGTTACAGATGTCTATGGCGATATAGCCCGTGCCACCGTCTTTCTGCAAAGTTCGGCGGCCCGAAGCGAGCTCTTGGGGACTCTCGCTGTTGTTAATGTTACCGCTGGAGAATACTTCTCGTATACTTTGGCCACTCCTTCATTATCACACACAAGCCGAGCGACAGCAGACCTGGGTGACGCACAAGGCTGGCTTAATTTCGACTCCTTGAGCCGGACTCTGTCCGGGCATGTTCCGTTGGATCTGAATGCCCAGACGCTATATATTCGAATCGCGTTTCAAGAGACAACATCAACTGCTACAGGGGATGTCGTGCTGCAAGTAGTGCAAGGCACGAGGGCGACGGGGGTCACGTCGACGCAAGTTTCAAAGACACAGACTCTTCCGCAGGCCAGTGTCACCAGCGAAGATCCCGTGCCAGCTACCGGTTCCCGCAATCAGAAGCCAACAAACGGGCATACCTTGCACCTCATACTTGCCATCGTCTTCTCCGTATTTGGAGCCAGCCTTGTGCTTCTTCTACTTCTGTGCTGCTTGCGAAGGAAGAAACATAGCAAACGACGGGTTAGCAAGACTTCCATTGAAGATAGTCCTGGGTCTGGTGAAGGACATGGGCAACGGGCTGCTCCACAGACTGCGTTGTCTACAGAGATCCTGGGTCTCGTCAATCCCCAGGGACCAGCCCCTCCCAGGCCTCCGAGACTCGATCTCCGATGGTCGAACGACTCGATGCGACAGCCTAGGCAGAGCCTGTCGGCTGCAGCCCGACCAAGGCAACTTTCCCAGCACCGAATTTCACAGATATTTACGGATGATCGAGGCCCAGCTACAGTCGTAGCGACACCAAGCCGAGCTGCGAATACGGCAGAACCTGGGGGGACAACTGATTTCGCCCCTGCAGCTGCGTCAGTCAAGCAGACCGCGCTGTCCCAAGGCCCTCTGTCACCCATTGTCAGCAGATCCTCCATAGCAGGACGCCGAAGCCCAAATAGGCTTTCTTCCAGATTGAGTCAACAAATTGTGCTGCCAGCAATAGGGGGATTACCAGATCGACGAAGTGGCGCCGGACACGGCGCTGGTATACTCTTGCCCCCTGATGCGACTGCAAGCCGCATGTCTTGGCGCGATTCTTGGACTTCGAACCCATCGACTGATCATCGTAGGACGACTCTGGTCCTAGAGTCGTTCCCGGCCCCACCCGGAGATGGGTCAGGTTCCGGCAAAAGCCCTCCTAGAACAAGAAAACCAACCCCCTTGCTACGAGTTGTCTCCGAAGATGGTGACGAGGCCATGTCTTTCGAAGAACAGCGGCAGAGGTGGCACACTGAACGTGCAAGAGCGAAGCTGGAGGGGATCTCACGATTTTCCAACGGAGGGTCGGCACGGATGATGGGATCAGTTAGAACACCGTGGCGTGCAAGAAGTAAGGCAACAGAAACTGATGAGCCGTCGAAGTCGATCAGCAAGCCCACCGTGGTTGGCGGACGCTCATGTGAGTACTCATGGTCGCAATGGTCAGGAGTTGGACCAGCCGCCCGCGAATCATTAAAAGTGAGAAGTCCACCAGTCTCTCATATTCTCAGTCGACCGGTGTCAAGAAGGAGGCCCAGCTTTGCGAGTAGCGGCCAGTTTGAGTCGGTCACGTCCTCTGACAGTCTGTGGGAAGACGAGGAGGATCTGGAGGTGGAGGAACCCAAGCAAGGATTCAGACGGTGGCAGATAGACAACAGCTCACAAGCATCGCCGCGCCTACCCTTCAACCCAGTTCGTGCTTCGAGGGAGAACTCGGGCCGGAGGAGTGCCAGCGATGACACCAGGGCTCACACGCGGGTGGCGGACAGGAGACAGCAAGTCAGTGTTGAGGAGGGAGGGCTGACGAGGTCGTCCGGCAGCCAAAGTGGAAGCTTCCGTTTTGTTTGACCTGGGCGGGTGGTAGCCGTAGTAGTAGAATTTAAGAGACACCTTTAGGAGTGACGAAAGAGTGAGGCCGTGGTGAGTGAGTGAGTGATTGAGTGGATGGAATTTCTTAGTCAGGATTCGGTGGTGATGCCATTTCGCCCTGAGCAACAATCGCCTGCACCAACTTTACCAGCCCACCTTCTCATACCCGGATCATCTTTTGCTTGAACGGCCCTTTCTCCCATCACTGCACGCGACCGTCTGATAGCGAGCAATAGGACTACTGTTCCCTCAGATTACCGTCTGTATCGTCTTTTGGTGCATATCTCGTTACGTTACCGCGGAGCTTGCGTTTTGTCCTGTTCTAGGCCTTGGACCTGCCACACACTGCACGCCGCCCGCTGCCCGCTTGTGAGATCGTCTGCAGAGGGTATATGAACACCGTCACACTCAACCCGACTCCCGAAGTGAAGAACTGCCAGCATGGGTCAGACGCTGTCAGAACCAGTCGTCGAAAAGGTGCGCCCTCCACTGATGCACTTGCTGATGCTTCGAAGAGGCCACCTGCATCCGCGCACACCCTTGTGACGAAGGCCATCGTGCCAGATCGTGGGCTTTGCCTCCTCACAAACCCGGCGATAGCTATGGATGTAGCGGCTGACCCATTTGCCTGACAGATCTCCGATAGCGGCGCCGATGACTGTGTTTATTATGGCCTCTCGGCCATGCAGGGATGGCGTATAAGCATGGAAGATGCGCACGCCGCCGTCCTCGACTTACAGCCAGAAGGAAATAGCAAATCCCCGCAGCCTGCTGCGCCAGACAAACGGTTATCCTATTTCGGCGTCTACGACGGCCATGGGGGAGAAAAAGTCGCCCAGTTCGCGGGAGAAAACATCCACAAGATTGTCGCAAAACAAGACGCATTCGCCAAGGGTGACATTGAACAAGCTCTGAAAGACGGCTTCCTAGCCACAGATCGAGCTATTCTCAATGGTATGCATCGGGTCTACAAATGATGTCCTGGATCTGCTAAGGCCCCGCCTAGATGCTCGGTACGAAGACGAGGTGTCCGGATGTACCGCCTCTGTCGGCATCATATCGAAAGATAAGATCTGGGTGGTGCGTGCATCTATCTGTGTCTCGTGGTTGACGCGACTCACATGCTTCAGGCCAATGCTGGAGACTCGCGCACGGTACTCGGAGTCAAAGGGAGAGCAAAGCCTCTGTCTTTCGACCACAAGCCTCAGAACGAAGGTACATGCTCCCCCCAGCATTCCTCTTTACGTCGACACTGACACAGGGATAGGCGAGAAGGCTCGTATAAGTGCCGCAGGTGGTTTCGTCGACTTTGGTCGAGTCAATGGCAACCTTGCACTGTCACGTGCCATCGGAGACTTCGAGTTCAAGAAGAGTGCCGACCTTTCGCCCGAGCAGCAGATTGTTACCGCCTTCCCTGACGTGATCACGCATGAGATTTCTCCCGACGACGAATTCTTGGTCATTGCTTGTGATGGTCTAAGCTCACTTTTTTACTTTGATGGGGGGCGCCGTGCTGACAGTGATCAGGAATCTGGGATTGCCAGTCGTCGCAAGCGGTGATCGAGTTCGTGCGAAGAGGAATTGCCGCCAAGCAAGAATTACAATCGATTTGTGAGAACATGATGGACAACTGCCTTGCATCCAACAGTGAGACCGGCGGCGTGGGTTGCGACAACATGACCATGATCGTCATCGCTCTGCTGAATGGCAAGACCAAAGAGCAGTGGTATGAGATGATTGGCAAACGAGTAGCAGATGGTGATGGTCCCTGTGCGCCACCAGAGTACGGCAAGTCCAGCCTCAATTCCGGAAAGACCAAGTCCCTTCTAACAGGCTGCAGCTGAATTCCGTGGACCGGGTGTCCGTCATCAGTTCGACCACGACAGCCCGGATGAGTATGAGCTGGATTTAGATCATCGACCGAGAGGCTTCGGAGGTCGGAGTGGCAGGATCATCTTGCTCGGAGACGGAACTGAAGTACTGACAGACTCAGATGACACGGAAATGTTCGATCAGAGCGAAGAAGACAAAGACGCCGCAAACCAGGTGAAGAAGAGCACCCCGGACACGTCAGATGTGGAATCGGCCCGAAGCGAGCGAGAAGGGACACCAGCACCACAGTCGGCCAGTGAGGAGTCGAAAGGATCAAGTCACCGCGATGCCTCCCAGGGTAAGGACACCGAAATCAAAGCCGTAGCAGATGAGACGACGGCGAAGACAGTTGCCTGATAGCAAGACACAAGGAACGCTCCGGGGCAGACAGGCAGATCTTTTTCCACCACGACTAGCGATACCCCTGTCGTCACCGCATTGATGAAGAGTATCTAGCATTCATGAGATCGGTTAGAACCGCTTGTGGAGATTGCACCTTGACTTCCGTCGTGTGGGCCATGGTGCTCACGTTGTTGTCGTGATGCAGCACAGCAGTGAGCTCAACGGCAGCTCCATGCCACATTTCCAGCCGTTCAAGGGCATGCCATCCAAGAGCACGTTATGTGTATCTCAACCGAGCACTGGATTGACTGCAACTAGGCTAGGCATCGGCCTGAGCAAGCAAGCATTTCGTATTTCCCCGTGACATCCAATCACAAATAGCGGGCAAAACGATCGGTGACGTTGGACTTGCAGCTTCCTCCCAAGCCCAACCCGTGTCGTCGTCGTTTCGAGGCAGCGAGTGGTACGAGGAGGTGAGTGCTTGCAGAGGAGACGCACATGCCCGGCTGCTGGTGTGACGGCATCACCGACTTTGCCAACAACAGGTTTTCTTTCAGCATGGCACATTTTTATTTCCCGTGGCGATCGCTGGAGGGCGAGTAGCACACAAAGTACGGAGTAGATCCAAACCTCTTACCACACCTTTCCATTGCCAGTCTGGCTTTGGGCCGATAGTCCTAATCACCCAACTCTCACTATTGGATCCATCTCGCTTGACATATACCCCGAAATTGTTGGTCTGACGGTGGAGCTTGGCACAGCTCGTCGCAACTTTCTTGACTTGCTCAAGTCTCGTCTCCTGGTGCTTCTTTGCCCTGACTGCGGGAACCGTCTTTCGCAAGCATTAGTTTTGGAATCACCCCGTCAACATGTCTTCTCCGTCGTCAACTGCATCCGCAAAGCGAAAGAGGTTGACTGCCACGGCCGACCTCCAACCTTCATCACGCGATGCCTCCGGCGAAGAGCTGGCCGACTCTCCCTCGCATAATTTGCGGAATCGCAAGCACGCTTCAAGCAATTCAATTGACAGCAACATCCCGCCTAGCAAACGAGCACGTACGCGGTCAAATGCGAAAGCTGTCGAGTCTAATGGGTCCCCTGGGGCAGACGTTACGCACGGCACCTCCGGTGAACCCGCGAGCACCACTTTGGACAGTGATGAGGAACAGGCTCTCAAGAGACAAAGTAGAATCACAAGTTCATCGACGAAAGCGATTGTCGCGGGTGACCATGGTACAATGAAGGATGCCGGCAAAGCTGGAATGAGAGATCCTGTGGGAGGCTACAAAACAAATCCGCCGCCTGTGGGTAGGCCCGTCAGAGTCTATGCTGATGGAGTCTTTGATCTGTTCCACCTGGGGTAAGCTAGGGAAACTGTCCCCAGCGAGTATCTGCTAACTTTGTGCAAAGGCACATGCGGCAGCTCGAACAAGCAAAGACCGCCTTTCCAGACACCTACCTGATTGTTGGCGTAACAGGAGATGCAGAGACACACAAGAGAAAGGGGTTGACTGTGCTCACGGGCGCAGAGAGGGCAGAAACACTCCGCCACTGCCGATGGGTCGACGAAGTCATCCCGAATTGTCCCTGGATCGTCACCCCCGAGTTTCTCGAAAAGCACAAGATCGACTACGTGGCGCACGATGATGAACCCTATGGCGCAGATGAAGGCGACGACATCTACGCACCTATCAAGAAGGAGGGCAAGTTCCTGGTCACGCAGCGCACAGAGGGCGTCTCGACGACTGGAATCATCACCAAGATTGTCCGAGACTATGAGAAATACATTGTGCGGCAACTCAAAAGAGGCACCAGCCGCCAGGAACTCAACATAAGTTGGCTCAAGAAGAACGAGTTGGACCTGAAAAGGCACATGCAGGAACTGCGAGATAGTGTCAAGTCCAACTGGATAACGGCCGGCGGAGAAATCTCGAGAGACCTGCGATCGTTCTGGACCAACGCTAACTCTCGACCGGCGAGCCCAGCTCCGTTTAACAGACAGCTGAGCGAAGGTGTCCTCAGGAGTCCAACTGGCGGCCTGAGTGTGGTCGAGCAGTTGAAGCAGTTGGAGGCAGGTCAGGCCGACAAGAGAAGCATATCTCCGGGGAGACTCAGCAGGAGTGAGGACTTTGCCGCTGGGTACAGCTTAGGATTGATTGGTGGTGTTAAATCATGGGTAAGCATCATCATCACGACCCCAGACGGGCCATCACACAGGGTTGAAGTGGATTTGCTGACTCGAACACTGCAGATGATGCGTGGCCAACGAGCACTGCGAGATAGTCAAGCACCAAGTCCGGAAGGGAGTGAGGACGACGAGGCTAGGAGTCCCGTCAGCAATGATGGGAATGATCGAGAGCCTGTCACTGTCACCCTGACGCCCCCGGCGGGGTTCGGGAGAGGTCGAAAAGGAAAGACTGCTAAGAGCGATCCTCAGGAATCTAAGCGAGAAGCTTTGGATGTCTTGCATTGATTCGGCACTGTGAGACGCATGGTCTCTTCTGCTCGAGGACCTTTTTGGCTGGGGGACTTCCTTGCCAGCAACTCACCGGTCATTCACTTTCCGAGTCGACATGCCTAAAATCCGTATGTGGCCACTAATTCTCTGGTATTGTAGTGAGAGCATGGGATTGAAAAACAAGGCTGGTGGGGAATTAGACAGGCGTATGGACGATATCACTTCGGGGAGCTTTTGTGCTCTGTTCCACAGGGCTTGCATTGATAGACACCGTCAAAAGCATCTGCTCGAGCAACAACGAGCTTTTTATATACATCTATGACAGATGGAATGACGTGAGGAGAGGATCATTGGCACCAGTGGGAGCGACCAGAACGTGTCTTTGTATCATTTTCTTTCATATTCTGCCAGTTCCGGTTTGCAGTGTCTATCGTCCCTAGCTTTGAGTCTCTATGCAGACATCTCCATGCGTGCATTGACTTGATGTTCTGTGCAAGATGCAAAAGTGTAGCTTTGCTCGTGGTGCACGGTTATCATCAGCTCCAGCCTACCGGACCTTGCTCAGTGGTCCGGCCCCTCATCACATCCAGAGCAACCCTTGATCACGCGAACTCTTCATCCGTCGATTCATCCGTCGATTCATCCATGGATCGACTCATTGATACGTGCAACCCACTAGAACGAGGCGTGCCTAGAGGGATGCTCTCTTCATGTCGTCGAGCTCCGGTCTTGTTTTCCGCCTTCCACCTTCCAGAGTACATCTCCCCCACACACCGCAAGGTCACTTCCCATTCCGAGGCAAAAATCGTCTATGATCGCGGCTTCTCCTTCTTCTCCTTCCACAGCGCACTCAGACCCACGCCCGAGACCTTGACGACCTTGAATCGCACACCGGGGATATCACCCTTGGCCTTGCCCTTACGACCGAACCCGGCGAGCAGGACCTCGTCGTTCTCGTCCACAAAGTTGAGACAGCCGTCGTTGGGCACTGTATCAACGCAAGTCAGTATTAGTGCGCCCAACTCCCAGCATGTGGGACGAGATTCAATTTGCTTTTGGGTTTATTTTCTCCCCTTCTTTTCTTTTTCCGTCTCTTTGCAAATGTGTTTTCGTGCCTTGTACTTTGGAGATGTAGAGAGAGAGAGAGAATATACGTACCGAACGCGGTCACCTTCTTGCCATTCTTGATCAATTGCACGCGCACGCACTTTCGGATGGCCGAGTTGGGCTGCTTGGCTTCGACGCCGACCTTTTCCAGCACAATGCCTTTGGCGTGCGAGGAGCCGCCGAAGGGGGAGGACTTGTAGGCCGTGCCGAGGAGGCGCTTCTTGTAGTGCAGGTCGGCCCAGCGGCCTTCTTTGCGGGCGGCGACGAGCTTGCGGGCGGCGTTGAGACCGCGAGGTTTGCCTCTGTTTGTCATTTCTGGAGAACGGGCGGGTTGGTCTGTCAGTATAGTTGTAGCAGGGGATGAGGTTAGGGTGACGATGATTTGGGGATTGGGCTCAGGCTGTAGTGAGGAAAGGATTTTTTGCGAGGGAGAGAACCTATGTGTTCTCAGGAGAAGGGATTGGTTGATGATGCGAGGACAGGGAGGTGGTCGTACGTACTGGCTTTCTGTGACAAGCAGGTGGTTGGTGAGGGTTCGGTTGACGGCGCTGAAAGATCGACTGAGCGAGCGACGACGATATTGAAAGTAGATTTCAAAAAGTGGAGTGGTGCGTCGCCAAGACGAAACTGCGCTTGGGGCTCAAGTCGGCGGAACACTATCACTGTACGGCAAAGCGGAGTCTCGATTTGCGCAGTGCATTTGTCTACGGTCCAGTACCACCCACTTCCGGCCTCGCGGTCAACCACTGTGGACTGTCGTACTCCGTCTCTCTTACAGGGTACATCAGACCTCCATGGTCGGAACATAGCCCTGGGTACAAAGGCGAGAGCACCGCTCTCAGCCCAAGCCCAACAAAACCCCCTCTCACAATCATGGCCTCACAAAGTGTCCCTCGCAAGCCGACTCAACTCGAAGTCCCCACGACCGCCTCGCCCTTCGAACGGCCCAAACTCACCACCACCACGACTCGCACAACGGCGCACCGCCTCCCCCCGCCTGCTCTCTTCCAAGGCCCACCGTCAAAGAATGCCTCGCACATCTCTCTCGCTTTGCCCACCGACCGTGTCCCCGGGGCTCCCTCCACCGAGACTGAAAATGCGGGCCACCAACACCGGATCATCCGCCCGTCGCGCGTTCCCCCGGCTTCCTCCTTCTCCGGCCCCAGCTCCGGCCACCTGCATCAGCGTGCCTCTGGCGCAAGGGGGGGAGCCGTGGCGGACGACAACCGCGCCGAGCAACTCTGGGCGGAAATGCAAAAGACGCTCGCCGACGTGGAACTCTCGGCCATGAACACGTCCCACGTCTTCGGGGCAAGCCACCTGCACGCGCTGGAGGACCTGCGCACGGCCCAGCTCTCGCTCGCGCAGACCTGGGCCAAGACCGAAGCGGACGAACTGCTCGAGCACGACTTCGACACCACGAGCAGGAACGAAGCCAACGTCGGGGCCGCGTTGGAGGCCAAGGCCTCGGCCGCGACGGCCGCTCTTCCGCCCATGTCCAATTCTACGCCGAGCACCGCGCGGGGGAAAGGCACTACGCCGCAGACGGGCTCGTCTCCCGCAACCGCAAAGGACGGGAAGGACGCTAAGGATGCGGGCAAGCCTGGCGCCTTCGCGAATGATAAGAACCTGGAGGAGGAGACGGAGCGGGACATCCAACTTGCGAGGAAGCGGCGCGAGGCCAACGACCGGTATTTCTCGCAGGTCAATCGCGGGGTGTTGGAGGTGGTCAGTAAGCTCGATGAGGTGGCCGGGGCGATGAGGCGCGTCGAGCGGGAGAGCCGCGAGATCTGGGACGAGAGTACGGACGAGGAGGACAATGAGGACGAGAGGACCGGGGGCAGCGAGATAGAGGAAGGCGATGCTGATGGCGAAGCAGGCAGTCTCACGGAACGGTCGGGCCTGACGGACAGTCCTGTGCCCGTGAGGAAGGATGGCTGAGGCTTATCTATATTCGAGAGTCCTTGAGGCCCGTGGTCCCCGAGTACACCTTCACCTTCAGATGCTCTTTGACGGGCCCTCGCGCTGCTGGGTGGGTGGGTTACAGCAGGAGACCGATGCCGTGGGAAGAGACTCTTAGAGTAACCCTACAAGAAACGGAGGACGCCAAGACAGATCTCCCTTCTCCGTTCGCTTCAGTGGAGCCCCTCAGCCCGTTGACAAGGTTACATACGTTATTCACGGCAAAGGCTGCCCTGCAAGAGGTATTGTCGTTGGAACAGTCAGGCCTGCCTATCATGTGGGGACCCCCAAAAGAAGATCATGTCCCAAGTCAAAAGTACCTGGGGGTGGAATCGAATTCCCCTCGAGGGAACGAGACTGAAGCTGCGACCAAGTGATGGCAGTGGCCAGCGTCTTCGCATGAGGCTATCTTATGATATTGGGGGATGATGGAAGGTCATGTCGACAATGAGAAGGTACAAAGCCAACGCCCACGCACAGCGATAACTAAAGCCCCGTTGGAAGCTCCGGAGGCACGTCAGCTTTGTTATATGGTATATTGAGAGCCAAAAGGGACTCGACCTATCGGGCCTCTTTGGCGTGACCGAGTTCACGTTTTGGGAGCAAGCGACCGAGCGGAATTGGCATGGAGCAAGACTAGGACTGCGCTCATGATACTCAGTGGCGTTTGCGTCGCTTTCACGTTGACGGAGGCATGGGCTGGGGAAGCAAAGTAAGAGACGAGTGAGACTCTCATCTTGATTATTTGAATCTTGGCCATTATATGAGTATCCATCGCCTAGGCTTCCGCCACCATGAATGCAAAAGGACCGAGAACCATTCTCTGCCCTGCGCCTCTGACATGTCGCCCGTTCCATTCAGCAGAACCACGCAACCATTCTATGCGCTATTCTCCTTGGACACATTTTCGGTTGTGCCATCATAGTCATACCGACTTCGGAGCCGTTGCGGCTGAGGCTGCTCTTCAAGACTGGCAGGTTGATCGACGAAGCGGACGGATGTACTCCTCTGGCGTGTCCTTGGACGAGCACCATCTGTTTCATCCGTAGCTTTTGCCACCGCTGTTTCCTGGGGTGTACCGCTACGCCGTAGGTGGGCACCATGTGGCTCCTCGGTTGACTCACTCTCGTTCTTCTGGCCCGTATTCCCGGCACCGTCTGAGCTGCGCCGACTTCCTGTTGAGACAGCTTGTGAAAGGCTAGAATCACCTCTCCGCCGTCTTTTGAAGTTTTGTGTCAGGAAAGGCGAAGGTGTCCGAGGAAGAGACGCGAGGTAATCTCCATGACGGTCCTCGTCGTCCAGTTCGGCCCAGATACCTTCTGTGTCAGGGTCCCGGGGCGCATGAACTGGCAGCGTCGATGGCATCGCACGGGTGCGGCCAACTCGCACAGGTCTTTCTTGGTCGTTAGAATCTTGCGAAGCAGCACTGGAGTTTCTCCGCTTCCTCGTGGGAAGTAGCGGAGCTCGTTCGTCTACCGGTGACCGCAATATCCCCATTCCTGGTGTGAGCGGGGTTTGAGGAGGAGCAGGTGACTGATGAGCAACTTCCTCCGGAGTGGTATCATCCAGTCTCCAAGACAAGGCTAGGACACCAGTGAGGAGGATGGCGGTACCCAAAGCCACCAGACCGGCATCCCGAGAGCTTAACCTCGACCCTTGTTGGAAATATATCAGACCGTCTAGAATTGCAATGATGTTGTAAATGCAGAACACAAAGGGGTATAGTACGCTGGTGCTGCAGAGGCGTAGACCGAGGTGCAAGTAATACAACTGCGTCAGTGCGAAAAACAGTAGCGCAACCAGGATGAGCCACGACTGGAAACGGTCGAACTGGTTCTTATGGTCGACAATGGTCCGGACGACCAATTCAACCGCTGATTTAGCGACCAGGAGCGAATGAGCCGACAAAATGCCAGATATCAGAGCGTAGGAGAGACCTCGAGTCAATCGGAGCCGGTTGACCCGAATCCTCATAGGGTGGGGAAGCTGAGCGGTGAAGGAGCGGGAAAGGGTTCGTTGGCGATCCGTGGATATTGATCCAGCTCGAGATCTTGGCCTTTCGGTTTTTGCCAGGCTATCCGCAATGCGCTTGTGGGAGGACCACATCTTGAGGACATGGGCGAACAGTATTGTTGCAATCACCACAAGCATTGTAGCAACCATCCACATGATGAAATCTCGCTGGCCGAGCAGATGTAGCAACTGCCGCAGGTTATGCGCGGGCTCGCCAATTGCTCCAAATGCAGCTATCAAGGCCGCCCCGGAACATGTCAGAAGTGTGCCAATCAAAGAGAACCGTGTGAAGGGCTCGCCCAGAAGCAGCGTCGCAAACGCGGTATTGAAGACAAGGCCCGAAGCTTGCAACGTCGAAAGCACGGGGAGAGGGAGGGTTGTGATTTGGATGGTACTGCCAACCACGTTGGAGACCAGAAACATCAGCATGCCCAGCTGCCATCTCCGTCTCTTGTAGGGAGGAGTTCGAGGCTCCGTGTGAGGTTTGTCATCTTCGATAATGTGTGACTGTCGTTGGAGGGTCAGGCCCAGGCTCTGGACTGAGGTCGACAGGAGGCCAACAATGACTCCAATCTATACGACAGTCAGTCTTCGCCCATCAGGATCAAGTAAATGCATACAGCAATGGTGCCTTGGGGCGAGATATCGCCCAGTTGGCCCATGGTTGACGGAGACCGGCAAAGAGCAAAAGCGCATTCGTGAAGGCAGCTCGCCGGAGCCGCTCATCTTGGGACCCTGTGCATGGAGAAGAATAATTTAGCTGGCGAAGAGATCCATGACTGTTATTCGCTCGACGGCAACGATGCAACCGCGAAGGCCAGCAGGAGAGCGAACGGCTTTACCGTCTCCAAGGGAAAGCGTTTCGGACACAGTCAACATGAGGTCATGGGGGCGACCAAGTCTGTGATCGGATGCTTCACCGTAGGACTGGCTTCTCTTTCCGGGTCGCATTGCTGCGACGTACTGGCGTCTCCAAAATGCTTGGGCTTCCATGAGATCAAAATTATCTTCGACCTGTATTGCATAGGTGCTCCAGCGAAGCTCGGCGAAATCGACAATGCAGACGCCAATGCAATTTTACAGGTCTAAATGCCTTCGAGAATAGCGGTTCACGGGACAGTACACTGGATCTTCCAAGTTCCGTGCTAGTTGGTGGTAAGTCTACGGAGTACCTTACCTCGTATTCGACCGTCTCAAACGTCCGACTACAACAAGTCTGCGCTCGTCTGCTACGAGCTACCGCCTCGAAGTTTCCTTTCCAACCCCACAGTGCGGAAACTCAACTTCATTAAGAAAGCCTGGTGCTCCCTAGTGTCCACATGCATATTCTCCTCGTCAGGTGCTGCAGCTCTTTCCACTAGCAAGTCGCCACAGCTCTGTGAATACACCTTATCGCCCCTGAACCCATCAATGGGACGGGGCGTTATTGCGTCTCGGACGATTCTCATGGAGGGTTGTTGTCAGCTTACTGAGACACACACCCTGCTTGATCGAGAGCCCAGCCTTACACTGTTGACGCTGCGGTAAGTGCAAGGCTGGGCCAAGACAGTTATTCAGGGGTGGCTTCGATCTTGGACCCTGAAGTCGTACATTTTACTCGCAGCGACAAGGCCCAATTCGAGAGAAATGAGGTTGCACATGGTACTATCGGAGGAGTTTAGGTCCCAGCTGTTTGCCGAAGCGGGGAGGAGTATGTCCTTCCTGTCGTTATTCGTTCATCAAGCGAGAATCGTCGACTTTCAACAGGCAATTACCAAGTACAACTACGCTCATGGAGGAAATGATTCGAACAAAGCCGTGTTGAATAGAGAGCGTTCTTATCGGTGGCTATAAACGAGCTTTCTTCAGCTACAAGGCAGATATGCACCAGAGTCTTACTAGAAAGTCCGTTTCCGCACCAGCCGCGTTTTGACCAACCACCTGTAGACCTGCTTGGTACGAAGTTCAGTTTCAAGTCAGCGCCGGGATTGTGTGGTGATCAAAGTCTTGATCAAAGATGTCGTCAAGATCGTCAGGAACAACAAGGGGTGGCAGATCTTCCCAGTTGAACGCGTCTGGGGGAAACTGGTTGACGGCTGGCCCGCCCAACACTTGCAAGTCTGTATCAGCCACATTCAGATCGGCAACGTGAGGATTCGGAACCGGGATGGCTTGCTCCGGAACCTCCAGACTTCGGATGACTTCATTGACCATGTCATCGAGACCCTCGGCAGGCATGGGGAAATTGCGTCGCTGGAAGATGGCAGTAAGAATGCCAGGAAGTCTTCTGCGTAGAAAGGGCCTCGATGGAACCAAGCGGGCGATACGATCTGTGGATCAGTCAACAGTCTGCTAGCGACTCGGCACCTCCACCAGCGATGCGACTTACATGGAGACAATGGCGGCGGTTCATCTGGAAACAGAATCTCGCATATGGTCTTAAAACTCTGCTCGATGGGCCCACTGAAGCGCTGCGCTTTAATTGCAAGCCATTGATCCGCAGTCATCTTCTCTGTGAATCTCTCGGGGTTGACAATCGGACAGGGTGGATCTTGTCTCAAATGCGTCACGACGTCTCCTTGACTCTCGAGTACGACAAAGCACCGCCCACAATAGAAATCCGGCCGCTTGTGCACCCTGCAAAGATGCTGCCTGCAGTGAAAATTAGCATTGCGCTGCAAGGTCGACCGAAAGGTAGCGACATACTTCAATCTGGCGATGCTTTCAAGTTTGACGGCCTCACAATGGCGATATTCGTTCTGCGAAGTGTTGCGCCAGGAGAAAGTCTCGCAATCATACCAACAATATGGGCACATGATCTCAAGCCCAACATCGGGCGGACCGTGACTCTTTTCACTTTCCGATTCCTCTTCATCTGCATCGTCACGTCGAATCAATTTTTGCCTCTTCCGCTGATGACAATCTTGTCGGCCAGTTTTTCGGCTGCTCTGGGTTACGTCGGTCTGCGTCTGAGCCGTGGCTCCTGCCTTACCTGTGGATGGAGCCACGTTTTCAACAGCGGTCGCAAAAGAGTCAAGGAAGTCTCGCTGTACTCCCAAAACTAGCTCATGAGCTGTCCAGGTGAGGAGCACCTCCCGACGGGCGGCGGCTATAACAGACCTTCTTTGGACTGTTGTCAACCGTTCTTGATCCCGTGGCGTTCCCTCTTTCGATGTGTGGCGTTCCAAGTCTAGCACGAATCAGACATGATTGGGGATTGCAGGTTGGATGACATACACGGTGACACGGGCAAAGGTGCACCCGGGAAGAGGATCTGATAGATGTTGTACCAGCACGCCTCCGAGCCAGGACTTCTGCAACTTCCTTCCAAGGGAGCTATTCGTTCCCTCTGTTGATCAGTCATCGCTTGTTGGTAAGGATTTTCCGCTTCTGCGCACGTCCGACCGGCGTGTTCGTGCTCAACCAATGCTTCCACACCATTGAACACAAGAAAGCAGCGGCTGCAGTAGTGCTTCGGAAGTGAATGAACAGCGTAGAGATGCTGTCTTCAACCAATTAGCATGGACTCGTCAATTTGTGTGGGTTGTTGAACACACTTGAGACGTCGGATACTTGAATGTGCGCAACTTGAGCATCGTTGGTAGTGGTCGGGGTCGTATTTGGTAAAGGGACACGCAAAGAACCTGTTACGCTGCCGGTCTTGCACAGGGCCTGCGAGACATTTGCGCTTTTTGTCCCTGCCTCGTTCATCGCTACTATCTTCGGGGTCGCCGTGGCCGTCTGAGGACTGTTTTAAGGGCGCGCGCTGCCTTCTGGCTGCAACTTTTGATGGGAATGTGGCAGACGACGATGATCCGTGGGTTCTGGGATTTGAGTTGGGGCCGCTCGAATTATGGAACTCCCCTCCGTCGAACGTGTCAGTAAGATACCGAAGGATGTCTGACTGTTCGATGATGATCGAATGTGGCCACTTCGCTGATAGTAGGGATTGCGTAGCCCCACCCGGTCTCGCGAAGGCAGATTCTTGCGAGCGCCTTGGAGAGACCAAGAGCTCTGACTGAAGCGAAGTGGAACGAGAGGTGTAGGAAGAGTTGACTGAATCCCTCTCCCAGTCTTCCGCGACCGCATGAATGGGATCCGTCGTGGACAGGAAATCAACACCCGGTGACGCTTCCAAAGGTTCAAGAACGCAGGCCATGAAAAACCGGAGCCGTCGTTGGAACTTCGATGTGAAGATGAGATACGTAGTAAAGTCTACAAAGTACGGAGTAGTCTAGGTGGGAAGTCCGGGACCAGGATGGCATCTACCGCTATATATCGTTGATCGTGAGCCGTTGCTGCCTAAACACTTACCGGTAGTAACCCGCGCCTTGGAGGCATTCAATCCGGCGCGTTGATGCCGAAGCTCACAAATGTGCGTACTGGTTGGATTGCACTTTATCGACAGAGCTTCTCCGTAGAGCCTTACTCGACCGTACTGTGTACTTGAGTACTTTCTCGCAAGCTTGTACAACGCAACGTGACCGTACAGATCTCTTCTATCTCGGTGATGGGCTCACACCAACGCCCCTCCATCGTCCCCGGTGGTGAGAACCTCGAAGGCCAGCACCCTGTATCGGACGCCACCCAGTCGCTGACTTCAAGTTCTTGTCCCCACGTGTCCTACGCGACGGCCCTTTCCGTGGCCAACCCTCAGGCTGACCGAACCTACTTACATAAGTGAGGTCTCCTAAAGTACAATGTAAGACTTCTCGAGTGCCGCCGAGTCTACAAGTCTTTACGATGTCACCGAGACAGCACAGATTAAGGACCATTCAAGGTAAAGCAGCTTGTGTGTTGGTCACCCCGCCGCCAACGCCTGGTATGCATATTTTTCTTCTATTCGACTTCATCCACCGGCTTCTCCAGCCCGATTTTGCGTCTGATCTAGGGTGGAAGGCGCGAGCAGGCTGTCATCGCCTCGCTTGTTCTTCTTCACGAAGAACGACCAGCCTTAGAATCAAGTTCTTCAGGCCTTCCACTTGCTTGAAGGCGCCTTTTCTCAACGATGGCTTCTGAAGACCTTGTCTCGACATGTACCTCATTGGCTCCAGTACGACCTACCACAGTTTGCACGCGTAAAGACGTCGTCTCATGTCCTTCCTCATCTTGCGACATAGCATTTCAATTTCATGGCGACAATACAGTATCGCCTAGATTCACAGGTTCGTTCACGCTCGTCGTATCATCTTCATCGCAGCCGGTGACATCTGTGGACCACACATGACTCATACCTCAACACCATCAGCCAGTCTAGTGCACTGAGCTTCAGCAGGTCCTTTAACCTGCTCGATGGTACACATACTACGTACAGAGTACTACTGTGTACATGGTACTAAAGTACTTACAAGATATATAAGCTCGACCTCACATCATCCGGTTTCTCGATCCTTCATCGACGCTCATTTGCGCCACCATCTTCAATAAGGCACTGCTCAACACCGTTTACTGCGTCACACAAAATGGTTGAGATAAAGTAGTACAGGACGGTGCGATATATTGGGACAGGGTTCTCTGCCGAGAAATGATTGAGAATGTCATCAAATCCATTCTTTCTAGAAGTGGCCCTACGTACGGCATCAACTCTATTGTGCCTCTCGGCCCTGAATCGCCAGCCCGTCTTGAGGTGGAAATCTGAAGAGCGTTGCAGGTCAGAATGTGTTTCCCAATTTCAAAACGCCACCAACGTAGAGTACAGTTGGATTCTATCTAGTATTCCTGTACCGTCGGATGCCTATGCCACCCGATACATACCGCTCAGGTTCTGACGGTGGAGTGCTGGTCTGATGCTGGTCTATTCCCCATCAGATACAGGTCTATTCCCCATCAGATACAGGTCCTATCTCGATCTACTGCTGTATAATCTAGATATGTATATGAATAGTACTAAATACTAAATACTATGTAAACCTATATTAATCATAAATATTAAGGTCGATAATATCCTTCAGTTATTATAGGAGAATTCTAGAGTTGATCTTAAACTAATTACACCTTAGTAAAGAGGGAAGTTCTATAGACTTAACATTAGAGGTTTAAGTTTAATAAGCATACGAAATCCGCTTAAAATAGTTTAGCCCAGTATTATCTCTACAATTGTATCTGTAGAAGATTATACTCTTAAATTTACTTACAATATATAATCTACGGAGTATAAAATAACGCTGCAGTCATCATGAAATAAGTATTGTTAAATCAGCACTAGTATATACTAGCAAGAAATAAAATGTGATAGTGTACATAGTAAATACTAACTTCAAAGCTCAGCTCAGAGTTAACTCAGTGTCGTCTCCAGTGCAGCTTACTACTGAGTAGGTTCACTTTCGTCTCTGGTGCAGTTCAGCGTGAGCTCACTCTTGGCTCTGCCAGAGTTTGGCTCATGCATACTATTGTAATGTAAGTACTGGATGTACAAGTACATACTAGTAGTCAGCCGCAAGTGGCTTCACGTCGTGGCTGATGCCTCGTATAGGCTCGAAGTTTGAGTGAACTCCGAGTCCAACTCGAGCTAATCCACTGGTGTTGATCGCGGCTTCCCTCGCACGCATAGATACATAGAGTAACCACGTACTCACGACGCCTGGATGACGACGAAGATTCCGACGTCTCCACCTCACGACTGTATTATATATCATCAGTAGTATATACTACATTATGTACTGTACTTTATGTACGGAATACTGATGATTTCCTACAAGGACGGCCTGTCAATGTGCTTGCTCAACTGACGAGACATCCAGGTCTAATTCAACTGTATAGGCGCCTCCAAGATAACCCCATGATGAGCCTCAACAGGAGGAAATAACACTGCATGCAAGGACATGCAGTACGTCGTACAGTTCTAGACTTACTGTATACATTCTAAAGAAGACCGTTCCTGAGATGTGACAAGGACATCCAGGTAAACATCGCGGCCTAGGCTGTTTCTGGGGAGAGTGAAAGCTTCGAGCTGCAGGTCGAAATGCTTCGATACAACTTACAGCACATACTAGACTATTTAGCCATACGTTGCGCACAAGGGTCGGAGACGAGTGACAGGGCTTCTAATCACTGTGCACACAGTACTGTACTGTAGTACATTACATGGTGGCAGCAACCCAATACACGCGCCCTGTTTGACCGGTTCGACCCTCCCTGTGAAATGAGTCGTTCTACAATTTTTGGTGCTGTGGGTGCGCATCAGCTTAGGCTAGGACATAGTCCACCAGGTGAATCTTGCTGTACATGGAAGTCTCTTGGTGTATCACCCAATGAAAATGTCCGCACATCACAATGGCCGTCCGTGACCGGACCTGCATTTGTCCAACATCAGTTCAAAGGGCGAATCTACGCGATAAGTGGTCGGCTGAATGCAGCGAGGGAGAACTCACTTACCACTAGTATTCCCCGCAACCCCAATTTGCATTGATGTCATCCGGAGAGAGCCTCACTACGGCAATCTTCCAGTCGTCTGTCCAGTCACTTCCCTCGGGAACCTTGAGAAGGCGCCTGGAGATTGTTCGATTCAAGCAACGCACGTGGAGCAACATTGGACGATGGTGCTCAAGCTGATCTCCGCGACTCCGTGTGAACTCATGCTTTCCCTGTCACTCACGCGCACATGGCTAACTCACCCCAGGTCGCCGTATGCGCGGAAGGTGCGCATAGCTCTTGCTGAGAAGTCTATTCCATTTGAACTTGTTACGGAAGTTCCCTGGGATGGCACGACCCAGACACCGCTATACAACCCTCTCGAGAAGCTTCCGGTATTAATTGACACAGAAGCTGAAACCGACGAAGACAAGGCTGTGTACGAGTCACACTTTATCCTCGATTGGATTGAATATAAATATCCCGCGCCACAGTATGTGAACCTCGTGCCAAGAACAAAGGAGAGTGAGCTGTTCGGGAAAAAGGTGCAGGGTACGAGATTCTAACCCGGTTCGGCTCATGACCAACTGTGCTTAACACGTTCACAGTCACCGCCGACGGGATTTGTGACGCCTGCGTCTTGATGTTCTTCGAGAAACAGCGGCTTCTGCCTTCGCAAGAATGGACAGCTCGCCAACTACGCAAAGTCGATGGTGGCTTGAAGAAATTGGCGGACTGGGTCGGGGACAAGGACTTCCTTATCGATGATCGCATTACCCTTGCGGATGTGGCGGCCGGCTGTGTGCTGGGTTATCTTCGAGTGCGATTTGCAGAACATCCGTGGCAAGACTTGTATCCTAATTTGAAGAGGTACAGTGATCTTTTGGAAGCAAGGGAGTCATTCCGGATGACTCGACCGGTCCCTCAGGCCATTAATGACAAGGTTGTCTGAGTCGTGGCCATGGGTGTCCCCCCCAGTCCCGAAGGGTACATGTCTATTAGTAAAGCAGGTCAGTCCTAGTATCAAAAGGACCGGGCTAGAGCGAGAGCAGTCGAGCCTGGCCACGGGGATATCCAAGGCTACCGGTACAAGATCTACTTGGGACTATGAGAACCCAAGGAGTTGAGCGCGCTGGCGAGGTGGTCAAGAGTCGATAGCTACACCTCCCAACCTTAGAAATGCCCTGTGCAACGTAGCGTGGCTTTCCTGACGCACACGGATGGTCGACTGGATGTCGACGGATTGGTACCGCGACCAGGAACACCATGTGCTGCAGACTCTGAGGACAGTGTCCCCAATACCATGACGCACCCAGCAGGACGGAGGTTTGGACTGTCCGAGAGCAACGCACAGAGATATGGTTCCACCCAAGTGCTCGCTGCCTATATTGATTTTGTTCAGCGCTGGCATCGGTACAGTTTCTAAGCTCCCACCAGCGTCGGTCGTGAATTTGCAGATGACGCACCGGCACTTCTTCGTTCTTCTACAACCCAACGTTCCGGTCCGTGAAGGATCGGTGTAGACGACAATACACAGTTTCAAAACCTCTGAATCACAGCGAGGCTTCCCAGACCGCTGATTGTGGTTCCAGTAGATTGCCTTGGTATGGGTCTTACATTGAAGGCTATCGGTCTTCGGACGGTGTGACGGGTCAAGAGCCTTGTGGAGGACGTGAAGTGTCGTACGGCTGGGTGCTGGCGATCATGGCCGCTGGTGAAGCCTCGTGCGCAAGCACCTTAAGCTCGTGCTCAAACGACTGGTGTTTCTGGAGCTTTCCGAGGGGGCTGATTCGGGCGACATGCATGCTT